GAATGGACTCATTAGCCTTTCTCGGTCGCTCCTAATTTTCCTTCTCTACCCGGCCGATTCATCAATAAACGGATCCCCCATTACTAAACAAATTGCCTCTGCTAATGAGCAGGGCATTTTTCAAAACTGTATAGATTTCCATCTCGGGAACTTTCTTTCATCCACCCATCCGTGTATAATTTGATAATAATTCAGCCGCTGACCGTTTGTCTGCCAATTGTTTCCATCAATAATAGGAATATTCCAACAGAAGGCACGCAACTGCTCTCCATTGCACGGCGTACCGATTACGAAATGAGCATGCACAGGGACGGAATTTAGAAAGTGGCCATTTTTTTTATCCACTCTTAAAATTTAATTGAGTGGAGCATGTCAAATTTATATTTGAAGATGAGCCTCTCATCCATCGTTTGTTTCAATATTCTCATCACGAGCTCATTCGAGCAGAAAATGCAAACGGTGTGCAAATCTACAAATTCCTTGTTTACATATCCGGTATGCAACGAGCTGTACAAAGGGTCAGATCCATAAAAGATAGAGAAAATATTCCGAGCAGCAACTACATTTGTGAAATAATTTGATGTTAGGAACCATGTTTTATCAATTATTTCCAACAACAAATTGAATTTTATTGAAAGGGGGGAGGGCTGGCATGAATTTTTAGCAGAATTTAACAAATTAAAAATTAAGGGGCAAAATTAGTTGAAACTCAAATTGTGCAATGAGGTTCCAGAGCTAAAGAATGGCCAGATTCCTTGGTTAAAAAAATTTGCATTCAAATGCAAAGTAATTTAAGGCGAAATGAGGTAGGATTTTCAATTACGACTTTTTTAATAGTAATTAAAAGTGATTTAATTTCAAACCAAGATGATTAAATACGTTTTAACGAAAACTATTTCACCAAAAAACTGCCAAACGGGTTTTTTTAAAAGGTAAATTTCAAGAAAACAGTAAAGTTACCTTAGTGCATTGATTTATGCACTGCATTATAATTTAATTAAAATTTGAGCCTTGAACTAACTGTCTTAAAATATTCAAATATTAAGTCTTAAATATTGGTAATATTTCATCTTAGCTTAAATTGATTTTAATAATTGACAAGGCGAAGTACTCGGTCCGATACAAAGTACTTTGCATATTAAAACGAATATTACTTTATAGAAAAGCGATTTACACGTCCATTGTGAGAGCGCTCTGGTCATTAAATCGAGACCGTTTATGCAAATAATCGTCGACGCGCAAAATGAGATGGAAAAAAATTCAAAAGGCGGCGGCCGGCGCGGCAAGGGTGGTCTCTTCACCTTGATGACAGACGAAAATGCAAAAGATTTCACGAGATTTGCATTGCAGATCGGGCGGCGCGAAATAATTATATGACTTTTGGGCCGCTTAATTGATTCTTAATAACTGGCGCGGCTGAACGTATAAAATTATTAAACGAGACCGACAATCTGACGATTTATTACATTCCACTTTTCCTGCCTTGTAAGATATTAATAAGGTGTTGAATGGCAGCAAAATGATTGTCTCTGCGCTGATCGATTGGAAATTAAATGTGCGCTTGAGATGCACGAGAGGCGAGAGATAAGATTGCCGCTTTTATATTGATTAATCATCTCATTCCGCTGTCCGAGTGATCTATCTTTGATTTATAGCCGACTCATAACACTCGGCGTGCAATTCCTCACTTCAAGGTGACAATTTCTCTGCTTGTCCACTGTGATTCATACGCGTGCCTACATGCGTGCATTTTTCTACCGCAATATCAGAAGCCGGAAGCTGTAAATATCTGACCTGGTGAAGGAAATTCTGATCAATCCTTCTTCAAATTTTGCTCAATATGAACTTCTGAGAATGAATTTTTGTGAATTGCCAAAATTATGATGAAAAGCTTGTGAAAAAACCCGGCTAGTTTAATATATTTGAAATATTTAAAAAAAAATCTTATTCACAATATAATATTTTTTTGAATCCAAATTTTTTTAATTTGACAATCCAGGACAACAAACAATTAATACGCGGCGTCTCTTGCAGCTGATTAATATTTCATTTAGCAATTCGGTGAAAATGAAGACGTTTTTTAATAAATCTGCAACTTAAAAGAAATGCTGAAAATTCAATTCATATTATTTTAAAATTTAATTCCAATTTACTACAAAAATATTAATGGCTTCTATTAATTTTAAACTGGAAAGGAATGCACATATGTTTACTAAAATTGTGAAAATTGAGCCGAAAATGCAACTTTTTCTTTAAAACCTTATGTTTCAGAGGTTAACTAAAAAGCTTGCAATTGCCTGCAAATTTTGTTTCGATTTCAAGCAGGATTTGACCGGTCGTAATTCATGCTTGTGAAAAGGTTTAATTGCAATCGGGAAGCGCTTAAGATATAAAGCACATCGATCGGGTTTGACGTTTGTGGATTATTTCAAACGACAGGCTGGTGTATAATTTTGGCGTCAAGTGCAACAATTTGCGAGAATAAATTATCGGGGCGGCAAGAAGAGATGCGTAGGAACACCGATTCGATTCGAGCCGATAGTGCAGCAAAATCACTTAGGGCGTCCGCCCGCCCGCTCTCCAAAGATAAATTATTGCTCGGCAGAAGATAAAATCGCGAAATCAGGTGCTATTCAATTTGAAACGGAGAGTCGACAGTCTCTCTCGATCTCGTCAGCACAATCGCCGAATAAATCAGCACGCGGATTATCATTATACATACGTATGCATACATACACTGATTGCAAGGTGGACCGACCAACGCCCTGCAAATTTGCAAAACACGCGCTGACAAGTGCTCGCTACATGTTTATTTATTTAATTTCTAGCAGACAGACACGGCACGGACTGAATGCGAATAAACTTGTCCTCCAACTATAAAGATTGATAAGATAACATAAAAATTAATGTCATCATTTAATTTAATTGCCATATGGTCTCAGGTCCAGGAAATTATACACTTTTTTTTTTTTTAGATTTTCTTAACCATAAAGAGGTATATTTTGTTAAAAAAAATTATGACTTATTGAAGAATTGCGTTATTCTTAAAAAAATATCACTATGACGCCACAATTATAATTTATAGAAATTAACATTTTATTTCTTTTGAAAACATGCAGTAAAATCAAATATCACAACCAATCCCATGTTCACCATTCCTAGCTGGCACACTCTCAAAAATTTGTTTTTATTTTACTTCTTTAGTTTTACAAGTGAACAGAAATTTTTACGTGTCTTTACCTTTTTTAAAAGCAAAAGAAAATTCATAATCATAATTTGCACAGAAAAAAATTAAGCGGATTTCTCTATTTGAATATATTGGTAATCCTGCCCAATTATTCTTCTTGCAGCAATGACTGTGATCAACCAAAGAGGCGCCAGCTGGTTTCCACTTAAAAATTCTCATTAATTCTTACATCACTTACATGTCTTACCGAGCCAAACTTCTTGTAGGAATCAACAACATAAATAAAATGAAATTATTAATTAACATTGAATTATTTTTCAGCCATGGTCCCCAACTCTCTTTTAGAGAGCAAGAGAACTTCAAGAAAAATATGCCAAAAATTATAAATAAAATGTGGCAGATTCGAGTGTTTTCCATGGTAATAGAATCAAATATATAAAACATCTTCTTTCAAAAAGAGGACTTAAGCCAAATTTGTCCTATCATTTCTGTGGTAAATTTAATAATCAACCAATTCAACTATGCATAAACATGGATATGAGTAAAATTCTCTTTCCTCAAGAGCGTTTTATTTATTTTTGCTCATTTTTATGATCAATATGAAACTATTTTTACACTAGATTGAGCAATAGACTACTTTTACAATTTTTCATACTCTGACCTTCTGTACACAAATCGCTTTTTTATTCCGCGGAGTTAAGTGCATGCGACGGTACTTTCGATATCAGTAAACAGACCCGGAGCTATTTGGGCTTGCATATAAAATGCAAATTGCTCTGGGTTTTATATTCTCAGGTGTGTGTATCGAATCCGAGACGCCGAGTTTGTTCGACGAAAGAGAGTCACGCCGCGCTGCAAATTGCGGTGCCTCCCTCTCTGCCGAGCTCTTTTTCGCGCAGTATGATTATGAAAAATTAAAAACTACCATCATTACCGCGCGATCCGCCGCATAATAAGCACCAGCCCAAAATTAATTTACATTCATAAGCCATAAATAAGTCTCGCCTTTATTATTATTTCGCGAAAATCGCGGATAAGTGGACCCATATATTTGTCGAGAGAGTGCCAGATTGCTATCTCTCTCATTCTGGTTCGTTCTCGCCACACGATGGCATTGTGCTGTAATTACGACCCTCCAGCGTCCGGCCTAGCTGTCCGGCAAGAAATAAGCCAACAAGAGCAGTATAGTTGCTTGATATGGTGCGCTCTCTATTATTTAATCTGCTCTCGAAGTGAAAAATAGCGAAAACCAGTTGAGGTTTTACGCTTCCTTATACGATCCTGATATTTATTGAATTCCCTTCATCCGCATCAACAGTAAGGACTTAAATTTAACTCGATCTAGTTATCCAACAGTCTTTGAAAAACAAAATATTTAATTATTCATTTTTCTAAGAAATTTATGGCTAAAACAAGACTTGATAAAATTTTAATTAAAATGAGATATCAAGATGCAACAAATGAATTAATTTCAATAGCATGAAATTGTAAAATATTTTTCATTTAACACAAAAAAAGCTTTAAGACATAAAATATTTTTACTTTATTTAATGTTTTATGTTTTGAGTATACAAAACGGTACATACTTGTTCCGTCATTCATTGAATTTTTATTTCATTAAGCTCTTGATTACTATTTTTAAAAAGAAAATTATGTTCCTTTCGCACCAGTTTCAATTAAAACGCTCCATTAACTCCTAAAACCGTTTTTGCTTTAATAGACGCATGGAAAACAATCCTCTTGTTCGACGGCGGTGGGCCACGGCGAGATTAGATAATATCCATGATAGTAGTGGCTGGTGGCTAATTATACGGTGCCAGCCACCGCCGAGATTCAACGCTCCGGATCAGTCGCATGCGAATGGGTGCCACAATATTCAAATTTAATTATAGCCGAGCTAAACGGTGCGCGGCCAGGGTCTCAACGTGCCCTGAATCCCGAATGTAATTTGGCGCATACTTTCGTAAATACTTTTTTACAAGACGCGGTGTCATTCATATTTCAGAACCACCTACGCGCAGTGATTGAGTGCTCGCGATGCCGACTGTAAAAACACATTTTTCAGGCCTCCAGCTTTTCACGTCGGCAATAAATCCATCAGCATATATACATACGTGTAACGCAGAAAAAAAAATACTTTCCTCGTGATCCTTGCTTGGCTAAGCGCCATCAATATTGCCCTAACTGATAGTGATGAGCGCCCGGGGAAAGTTAACTTGAAACTGCGAAATTTGTTGAATCGCCAAAGTAGCGCAGAAATCTTGATAATCCAGTCGGGGGCGTCAAAACGGCTGTCAAAACTTTCACGGTATGGCACATTATGGCACGATATTAAAAAGTGAGCCAGTCATCTTGAATGTAACGGCCTGCTACACTTGAAAGTTACTGGAACTTATGCAACCGTTTGCACTCTTTTTAACAGCCAGTTGCATAATTTTTAAACGCAATCGGATAAACAAATGGAAAAATAGGATAATTATTGATTTTAAAAAGAAAGAAAGAAAATATCCCATTTTTAGTTGTAAATTGTTTATTAATGTACCACCGGGCATTCTCTGCCCAAATACATCATCCATCCATTTTTACATATAACAGTGGTTTTTACGATAACAGTGGTTCTTAAAATTAATCAATAATGTTTTATTTAGCCTTCTATAATGCTCATTCTTGTCTGTTATAAATTTTTTGCAACAATTCATCTTCATCCTCTTAACATATTGTTAAAAATTTAAATTGTTGTTATTTACTTCAAATTTCACATTCTTCCGTTTTGAAATTTTGGCCACGATGTTCAAAAAACTCAAAAATTCCAAAAAAGAGAAGACAAACAAGAAGAAGCCTGCCGCGAAGAAGGAGTCTTTGGAGCAGCTGCCAGAAAGAGATGCGTCCGGCGAACAGGACCTTCCACTCGACGAGACGAGCCCTGCGAATTTAGAACCCAAGGCCGATAAAGACACCCTGACCTATGACCCTGCCGAGGATGCGAACAACGAAAATGAAGACCTGCCACCCGAACTGCAGATGCTCGCCGTGCCCACGTACATGCTGGGTGCCATGGAAAGGTCGGCCACGTTTGTGGTGCTGAATCGCGAGCGGAACGGCAACACTTTGAGCTTCCGGTTGCAGGCGGACATTGATCCTGAGGCTCTGAAGCGGCAGCACCGCCTTAGAGAAGAGCAGAAACTGGCCAGGGCAAAACTTTTTGAAAACGAGCCCCCACTTCGGCCAAAATTGCACACCAGGTAATTGGTAATTCCGGTAATTCTGTTAGAATTTCAATATTTTAGGGTTGAAAGTAATGATTAGTGGATTAAGCAACTTTGTCCCATAAATGAACTTTTCCAAAATTTAAAAAACTATAGTTCAAAACTTAAAACCCAGAGATAAAGAGAAGGCAAATACTCCTCAAATTATTTCATATTTTATTTGCATGTGAAAATATAAAAATTTCTATTACACCAATTAATAATAATATTGCATTTAGAGAGACGTTACGTTTTGTTTTAATTATAATTGTATTAAAATTTCTTATATGAAATAATAAAATTTCATTTTTTTTTGCCTGTACCGCAAGTTTTAAAATTTCACATAAAAGCATGGGTGAATCTTAAAAAAATTTAATATTTGTTTTAAATAGAATAATCATACAATTTTGTTGGTGATTTGCGATTTTGTTTTAGAAATCAGTGCATTTCATGGCACTTTACTTAATTAACAAATTTATTAATTCTGGCATAAAATAATTTAAAATTCTTTCTAATTTAGGGTTGATTATATGAAGCACCATCGTCTGAAGAATGCGGGTCTGAAGAATTTGGTGGTCAGCAAGAGCAAACCCACCCCAACACCCAGTCCTAGAAAGTCACCTCGCGTCCGGCCCAGTCCTCGTTCGCTAAGTCCAAAGGTCAAAAGTTCCAGATCAAAAAGCCCGGTTAAATTAGGAATGAAAAGCGTTTCCATCGGAAAGACTCAAAATCGGCAGAGTTTGGCCAAAAAGCAGGCGAGCCCCAGGAAAAAGTCCGTCGCAGCTCCAATAGCTCGCAAGTCTGTGACTCGGGGTGCAGTTCGGAAATCGGTCGCTGAGGTCCAAAAGGGCAAATCCAGTCCCAGCAGAGCCCGGTCCAAGTCTGTGACCTCAACACCTAGGAAGTCGAAAAGTGCGCCTGAGATTTTGAAGAGCAAGAAGGCCGGTTCTGCCGCTTCCACGCCAAGGGCCTCTCCTCGCAAAGCCAAAATTTCAGCGAGACCTAGCGTAGCACAAAGAAAACCATCCAGGATCCCGCAGTCTGTGTTGCGCAAGGGGTTGCAGAGTAAAAAGAGCGCCAGCAGTGGAGGAAGTAGCAAGTCTGCTGGACGCGGAAATGCAGTCAAGATCATACAGGTTCATTTGAAAAAACGCTGAAATAAAATTCTAGTGTGAAACAAATCAATTTTTAGAAAGCCAAAAAATTCATTTAAAAAATGTAAACTGTGTGGGAAGAAGAAAAAAACGATTTATGTGATTTAATTTTATTATAATTGTCCCAGGTGAAGTAATTTAAAAAAAAAACAATCGCATTTTTTTTTTAATTTTCCATTGCTTGTAGTTTTGTTATTTTTAAAAAGAATCCTTAATTCAACAACAATACTTGATTAAAACTCATAATTGCACCAAAAAACTGTTTAGTTCCTAATGAACCTAAAAAGATATCATTATTGTTTAAAATGTCTTAAAAACGTCCTTTACATTTGTGAATTAGCCATCATAAAGACGTAACACATCAAGAGGAAGAATTTTTGAGAGAATAAAAAAATGGGAGGATATTTTTCACTCAGTCAAAAATTAAAGGTTATTTGGACATTTTTACTTCTTTGCACCTTTTCGTCCTTTTCACGTGTTTGTTTTCAAGTGACAATGAGTATAATGCAATCTTGGAATGTGAAGCGTCTAGTTTTTTATTGATCAAGAAGAGTGATTATTTCTGAGGTTTCTCCGATTTAATAAGCAGCCCACTTTCAGCAAGATCATTAGATTTTGACCTCTTTTATCGGCAACAACCACGTAGAGCAATCAAACGCGTGCCGTGATAAGAGGTCCATTGAAAACAAATCTTCAGAAAAATACACTTCTTCAAGCGGTGTGCTTTGAGCAATACTTGACGATTAATTGAAAGAAAATGCTTGAGTACACACACGTATTTATTATCAAAGCAGATTAGAGGCATTCAAGGGTCGTATATAAGAGTGGTCCAGGATTTTAATGGACGCAGATTCCATCGAGCGGAAGGAAACGATCATCAATCGCGATGTCAGCAGAGGACGACCTTTTGGTGGCGCGCATCTGCGTCATGATCCTGCTGCCAGGCATCACCTTCGTGCTCGGCATGTTGCCCACCTGGCTCTCCATCATTTTCAAATGGGACAAACATGTCATATCGGGACTTCAGGCATGGAAATTTACTTTTTTTTAAGGCTTGGTGCTTTTTTTTTATCAATTTTTAAATTTATTTAAGAAATTAAAAAGTACAATTTTAAAATCATTAAGAAAATGCAACTTTTAATTTAAATAAAATTTTCTCAAATTCATCCGATCAAAAATGCTTACATAATTTATTTTTATTTCTCAAGTCAGCCACCTAATGAAATAGAAAATCACAAATAAAATTAAATTATAAAAATTTAATTTAATTTTTCCCTAAACATTTCCATTTTCCATTTTCTGAAAGTATAATTTAAGAAATAATTCTCTTTTATTATTATTTAATTGTAATTTTTAAACCATAAAAAGGATAAGAATTAAATAACATATTTTCTCCAAATAGAAATTAAAAGAGAATTTCGTATCATAAAAAAAACTTTATGAATGAAAAGACTCATTTTAATTTATTCAACAGGGAAAGAGAGCGCAGTTTATCTTTTCAAAACTGCTGTGTTTTGCGGGTGGCGTGCTTATGGCCACAGTGTTCATGCACCTTCTGCCAAGTTTGCGTGTCGACTGCGAAGAGCAAGTGACAAACGGAAATTTACCCGATGCTGGTCCTGCCCTCCCATGGGCAGAGTTTTTGCTCAGTTGTGGATTCTTCTTTGTTTATCTGGTGGAAGAAGCCGCTCATGCGTTTGTCCACTGGCAAAGCAAAGCCAAACACCCTGCGCCTGTCCAGCCGACCGCCCCAACACCGTGCATTGAAGAAATCCAGCAAAATGTTACCGGAATTCGACCTCATGAAGAACATGACGAAGAAAAGGTACAAATAATACAAATCAATTCTTATATAAACGTGTTAAAAATTGAAAGAAAAGAATCTCACATTGTTAAAAACAAAATTTTGATTAATTTTTTTAAATATTTATGTACGAAATGAATTAAGATTAAAAAATTAATCATTGATTTGCAAAGAATAAGATATTTTCTTGTAAAAGATATTATTCAATTTTTGCGATTGTTGATTAGAGAATTTCAATATTGCACACAAAACGTTCTTGTTATTTTTGGTATAATAAAATTAGGGCTCCAAAACCGGCCCAATTTTTATTAAAATATTTAAAAATTAAAGTTAAATAAAATTTGTAAGTCATTTTTTTTTATTCTAGTGATGAATTAGAAATGATATAATCATGTAATTATTTGTAAAATTTTCAACCACACCTCTATAATTCTATTAAATTTATTACATAACCTCTAAAATTTCTTTTTTAAGGTGCCCATTGACGAAGAAACTACACCAAATGGTCGTCACAGTTTGTCAAATGGGCATGGGCACAGTCACAGCGGCGGTGCCCATAGTCATATCCCGCCTTCAGGAGCCACTGATACCGTTTTGGCCAATGTGAGAAATATCATGACCATCTTGGCCCTGTCCTTCCACTGCATTTTCGAGGGCATCGCCGTCGGAATGGAGGAAACGGCGGGCGAGGTTTGGTACCTTTTCGGCGCCATTTCCACCCACAAGTTCGTGATTGCGATATGCGTGGGAATCGAACTGCTCGCCTCAAAAACCAAAAGGAGTCTTGTCTACACTTACGTTTTTATTTTTGGGTATGAAAACCTAACTTTCTCTATTTACGGTGAGAGTAAAAATGAAATTGCACAGTTTTGTGAGTGCCGTTGGAATTATTGCCGGCTGGCTTATTGCAACCACGGGAGCGGAAGGCGCGGACAAAAATGCGGTAACGGTGACGATGCAGGGCATGGCTGCGGGAACCATTGTTTACGTAACTTTCTTCGAAATCCTGCAACGAGAAAAATCAAACAACCAAAACGGGTTTTTGCAACTCGCGTCCATCATTCTTGGTTTCGCCACGATGGTTGGAATGATGAGCTTAGGTTGGAAACAATTTGTAATAATATTTGCTTATTTTTAACTGAATTTTTCCACAATTTTTAGCGCCAGATCCATAAGAAATCCAGCATGTGGACACTTTATTCCTAAAACCACAATATTTTCATTTTACGTGAAGGAAATGCATCCACAAGACTGATCTGACTTCACTCATCACTTGCACATAATCATCCAGAAATTAAATATCATCTGTAAGTCTGATTGCTTGGCATAAGGTTCAGTGTCTCATGTAGAGGCCAGTGTGCCTCTCAACATTGACTTTTGGTGCCAAATTTCAATGCAACAAGTATAACATATTATGAAGGTGTTCTTCCATCACAAATTATTTTTGTGAAAATAAAAATCTGAAAAAAAACGAAATCAAATTTTATAATTAAAATTAAAGTGACCCTCTTAATTAAAAAGCGACAAAGACCTATCGTAATAATTAAATCGCACACTCGTGCCCGAGTCTGATTATCACCGCAAGCGAGTCATCGTCATCAAGTATAGCAGGGAACCTTAACATAGTACCACTAGGTGCCGCTTCGAGCAAGGTCGACAGACTGACCCCGCAGTTACCAACGAGCGAATGTGCACCGAACCGGAGAGGCGGAGAACGCCAAGGCGAGCCTCGGCATTGTTTTGGTTCTTCAAAATGAGCGCCACGGGACCAAGAATCGAGGAGGACTCGTTCGGCACCTTCTTCGACGAGGAGCTGAAGACGTCTGTGCCCGTCCGCAGGTTCACACTCACCAACAGTCGCAATGTCTGCGTGCAAATCATCAATTACGGTGCCACGATCACCAATATCATCGTGCCAGATAAAAACGGCATCTTTGCTGACATTAATCTCGGGTTCGATAACATGGAAGGTTAGTTTTATATTACATTTTGATACTTTGCAATTTGTATGATTTTTATATATTTTACGTATCAGCTAAAAAAAACTATTGTTTTCATATATTTTTTTTTGTTTTCAATCCAATTCGTAATTTGAAAATAATTATTTTTCAGGTTACACCAAAAATTGGGTTAATCCGTACTTTGGCGCCGTTGTTGGCCGCGTGGCTAATCGAATAGGCAAAGCGCAGTTCAGTATTAAGGGACAAACTTTTCATGTGTCAAAAAATATTGGAGAAAATCATCTGCATGGAGGTTTCAAAGGCTTTGATAAAGTAGGTTAATTTTCAGAGACATTTTTTTACTATCAATATAATAAATTTTATAATTTTAGAAAATTTGGGACGCGAACGTGGAAGGCGTGAAAGTGACCTTCTCATATGTGAGCAAAGACGGGGAAGAGGGTTACCCTGGAAGTGTGCTGGTTGCTGCCACTTATTCTCTCAGTGAGGCCTCTGAGCTGCTTCTTGAAATGACTGCAACTACCACTAAACCCACCCCTGTTAATCTCACCAACCACGCTTACTTTAATCTTGCAGGGCATGTGAGTAAATTGTTAAAGCACAAAATTTTAAACTTAATACTTTTTTTATTTGTAAAGGAAAAAGGACAGGAGGGATTGAATGAGCACAAGGTGCAAATAAATGCCAGTTTTTACACACCAACAGTTGACTCCATCCCAACAGGTACATACATTTTATATTTAAGATAATTATTTTTAAGGAAATAGAGCATGAAAATTGATAATAAATTACTTAGACTACAAAAAAAGTAAAATGCGCGATGAAGCTAAAATTCAATGATTATTTATGTTTTTAAATCACGTAAATTGTAATCTGTCTTTAAGCAGAAACCACCTAGATGATAAATTAACCATCATAATTACTTCATTTGCACAAATTAAAAAATTTAGGTGGTGAGTTTTGAAAATAAAAATCTTGTTTGCTTTTTTAACCATAAGTTATGAGTTAGTTTGTTAAATGTATCACTAAAAATTAAACCACCTAAAATCAAAATCTCAATTTCAAGTTATATTGAATAATTATTTTAATAATGGCAGTCAATATTAACCCAAGCCAGGCCCACACAAATTGTAAGCGAATAATAAAAAATATGCCACTTATTTCTTTAAAGGTGAAATCAAGCCTGTAGCGGGCACAACCTACAATTTAACAGTGCCAAAACTACTGAAAGAGGTTTTGCCTTGGACACCGGATGATGGTTTTGACCTTAATTACTGCGTGAATACGTCCAAACCACCAACCATCGTTTTAGTTGCCAAGTAAATTTACTATAAGCACTCGTCAATATTTAATTCTTATCAAAATGCAAATTCTCCAGAGTCACTCATCCACCGAGCGGGCGTCTTTTGGAAGTTTACTCGGACCAGCCAGGAGTGCAGTTTTACTCAAGCAACAATTTGCCCAGCGAGAATATCCTGCAGGGAAAGGGAGGCTGTTTTTACACCAAGCACGGCGCTTTTTGCCTCGAAACGCAGAATTATCCTGATGCGGTCAACCACGTGAGTGAACCTTTCAGCAAATAAAAATTTCATGAGCCAATAATTCGATATTCCAGGTAAACTTCCCAAAAGCTGTGCTCCTGCCTGGAGAGACGTACAGACACAACGTTAAGTATTACTTTGGGATTCAAACTGAAGAACAAGGATCTTGCACTATTGCGTAAAAAAATAAAAATATAAAAAAAACTTTGAATAGTAACAACAGAAAAAAATAATTCTGTTGAAATTTAACAGTGAAATTTATTTAATATTTTAATGTTTAATAAATTTATAATTAATTAAGGTGGTTCCAAAGCCTAATAGCCTGAATTGTTAACCAGTGAATAAATGACGCTAGTTAAATTGTAATTGTTAACTTTTTGTTATAAAATTAAATAAAATAAAGCTCTATTGCTTGAATTTTTTTGTTCAATTTATTTATTCAGTCTGCATTACTTTTCAACGATTTTCTAGCATTAACAAAATTTAATATGATCGTTCGATAGTAAATTTTTTTTTCTGTATTTCATTTGCTTAAATCCAAAACTCGGTTAAATAAATTGCACAAGTGCAGTGATGTTAATCTCACTCAATACATAGAAAGTAGAACACAAAAGCTCTCAAAATCAAGGAATGCGGGCTTGTGAAATTTTCTGTACGCTGAAAAGGCCAAGTTTGCAGAATGTGGATGTGTGTTTAACACACAGGTCAGGTCAGGATGTATGTTTATATATGAGAATCAATTTGTGGAGTGAAAGGGATGAAGAGCGCCGGCGGGTGTTTGGGCATAAAAGGGCAGCAGAGGGAAAAAGCGATCCAAATTGTGCGGTGCTTGTCCCGCGGGCGGACACAAACAAATCGGCGGTGGTGAACGCACACACGGGTGGGTCTCGTTTAATTGTTTCAGAGGTTGGCCCGGGGCCAGACGAGAGCGGGGTGGTGGCGCCGCTGCGCGCCGTGACCCGAAAGAAGCGGCGGCGCGCGCGGCTCCCATCAAGGCCCAGCCGCGTCCGACCGACGGACCGACCCGACAGCGAGCCCACGCGCGGGCGGGTGTCTGATGAGATAGGTTTTGTCGTTCGCTTATTCCCTCGGTTAAAAATAAATCAAAATGGGGACGACCGTAGTTGAGGCACCCGCCCCATCCGACGAAAAAAAGAAGCCCTCCAATTTGCTGCACTCGGCTGGAGTGAATTTCGAGCGACGCTACCGCAGCAACCAGACGGCCCAAAACTACCACGTCGGACAGTCCGAGGTAAGTACCTCTTAATTCACTCTCTTTTGATAGCATAAAAACGTGAGGACAATATAGTGTTTTTTTCAGCCGTGCGAGACTAATTGGCTCGAATCCTGATGCGAATTCCCAAGCTGCGTTTTCAATTCGGCTTTTGTGTCGGGAGCCAGCGCTCGCTCGCTCACTCGCTCCCTGCCAAAGTGGACCAGTCAAAAAAATTTGCGCGGAAACAACTGCTGCGATTTATCGATTTGACGCGCACAATACATTGGAATATTCCCCCGATTGGTAATGGCAGTAGTTTTGCAGCATTTCTCAATTTCTGCCGAGCCACTCGTTTAACTTTGAACGGTCTATTTTGAGGCTGAGATGCACAAACGATTCAAATAGTCGTAAATTTTTCCTCAAATGCGTCATCGTTGTGCTTTGAACTATTTCCCGGCTCTTTACGTTTGCTTAGAAAAACGTTTAACTGGCATATTTTAATTTGCAATAATTAAAATTGCTATCTTCGATTGAGCAACTCTCAATCTATTAAATCATACGACTGAGCTCATAGATTGTTTTCATTTAATGAGTAAAAGTTAATCAGTTCAGCGTATTGCTCACTTAGAACCTTTCAATTGCAATCACGAAAGTGCTCTGATGAGCTACGAGTTTCAAATTATTTTAACTGAGATCCTAATTTCTTATTGAGAAAATTTGTATCCTTTTATATTAGTTATCTCTCATATCCCAGATAAATTCATTATTTAAATTAATAAAAATCTTAAAAAACGTTAACATTGCTACTATTATTTACAGTTAAAAGCTTCTTACATGACTATTTATATAATAAATATTTAATATTTAAACTGACGAGTTTAGATATATTGTCTAGCATATATCAATTTCAATATTTAAATATTAAAATCAATCAAAAATGAATTCAACAAAATATTACAGTTTCCAAAACTTATAAAGAATTATAAACTATTTAAAAACTGGAACTGTTTCTTGTCTTGTAAGTTTTCAAAATTTGGAGTTTGATTGGTTTCGAGTTGATGACATAAGCAATATTGTATTAATTAATGACGACGAGTCTCCCAAACGTGTCTGTTTTCGGGAGGCAGCCAAAATTTTGCGCGGCTCCTCTCTCTTTCTGTCTGTTTCATCTCTCGTTAATTTAAATCAAATTAAATTCCTCTCGCAACAAAGTGCGAAGTTTTAAAGCAAGTCAAGCGCGTAAATAACGACTTGAAGCGTGGCAATAAATTTAGCTTGTTGGTAAACACTTTGGCGGCGTGCACATATCTATGGCCTCTCGCAATTGAGGCGAAGTGCGTGCGTCGATTTGTATTGACTGGCAATGAGTGTTCATTGTTTATTTTTGTGCGGATGGCTGGAGCTGTTGGCAAATAATCGTTAACGCCAACTTGCAGGCGCGTCGTGAGTTGCGCTAGTTTAAACACTTTTAACACAAGCAGAGTCTAAAATACGCCGCGGATATAAGAAAATTTAAAAATAAGTTCGAAAAAGTTTTCCAGATGTTGAAATTTTCTACGTTTTTAAATATATTCATATTTTTGCAAAAAACTTTTTTTTATTGATTCGAAATGAATTTTAAGCAATATTTCTTGGTTTTCATTGCCATTACTTTTTGTTTGCCATTTTTTTCATTTAAAAATACCTCAGCAAGTCGCGCAGAAAATCTGCTAGAAAATTGCTGTTGATGTTGAGCCAAAATTTAAGCATCTAGCTATCCAAGTCTTGACAGGTGAATTGAATAGTCCTTGTTAATTTTAATTATCAATTCTTTAAAGAATCCAGATGACCTGCCAGATATTTTATCAAGAATTCTTAAAGTTTCAGTTTCTTTTTTTAATTTATTGTGGTAAAAATACTTCAAAACCATTATTTCTTCAATTAGTGGATAATTTGTGTGCATTTTTTTTTAAATATTTTATTCATTTTCTTATATATTTTCTGAGAGCGAAAACTACTGATCCCAGGCCCGATAAACTAGAATCTTCAGAAATGAAATATTAAAACTGAATCATTTCCATGTTTTTTTCTTTCCGTGCAGGAAACCTTTATCTAAACTTCCATCGAAACATAGAGTTTGGAAACGGGAGATGGAATGTTTAGATTTTCAACTTTTTCGACGAAGGGGAAAAACAATCTAGATTACCAGAGACGGGGGGAGCCGAGCAAGAAACGCGAGTAAACGGTGGCTATCATAGTTCTATTTCAGTTTTCCGCGTCATGAAAACACGACTCTAGTGTATCAATAATAGAGTGAGGGAGCCGGTTCGACGCTATGATTTTCCAACTTGCTTCGGCTAAACATTACAAATCTGCAAAAGGGACATCTGGTTTTCAAAAGCTTCCGAACGTGGAAGGACTAGTGGAATGTCCTCGGCAAATGATTTATTGAAAGAATGCTCACGTCCTCCAACCGCTCGTATAACTTGATTTTTGTATCTCCAACAGTCTATTTCGGGAAGAGCCGTCTGCCTGCGTTGCTCATTGTGAACTCGAAATACTCCAGTAAAATTCACCCCCTTAATTAACTCGTCGGTTTCTACTTGCGGAATGAAAGTCAGGGCTATTTTATTATCACGTTAGCCTGAAATAAACTTCATTAAATTAGTTGATCACGTTTCAAAAACATTCTCAATTAATGTCTAAAGTTCCAAAAAAAATTTAATTCTATTGAGCTTGTTTCCGTCGTGACGTGAAAAATTAGCTGTTTCGTTTTAAACGAAACTATTTAATTAGGCCAAAGTAAAGAATTGTGAAATTTGCGAGCACAATAACGTTAGCGAGATGCGCCACTTGAGATTGTTAATTGGATAGGGCTTCTCAAATAATTGGCTCTGCTCGCAGAGCACACCCCTTTGTGCACGCAGATAGGCTAATTGCTTGGCGCGCGTGTCGAGCGGGTTGCATAATAAGCTCAAACTTTTATCGTAAAAGTGAGCGCGTGCCAGATGTTTACAACTCTATCAAACGAATTTGTAAGGCATCAATTTCTTTAATAAAATCAATGAACGTCTTTGTCTGGAAACATTAAAAAAAATCAAATTAATTTAAGATTGGCAAAAATTAGTCTAACAAAACAGAAACTGGACAAGATCATTTGCATAAGATCAGAGCAAATTTATAATTATTATTGTTGTTTATTTGTCCAAATTGTTACATCACATTGTTTACATACAGATTGTTGAAAACATTTATTTGGAAAAAAGAAATTGTTGGACAAAACGGCACCACCACTAGCAAAAATTTTGCTAAAACTTCCGAGGCCAAAAAGACCCCATCCGCCGCAGTGAGCCTCAATGGAAATTAGAATTTTAAAACTTTTGATTTTGAAACTTATGAAAATTATTGAATGATTGAATTTTTGCCGCAGGTGGTTTACGAAGACGCAGACGGTCACGAACACAGAATGGAGATAGTGAAGGTGTCGGAAAAAGTTGGCAATTTCCGAAAATGCGTGCCAAGACTAAGTTTTGTCGTCGCCTGCATCTTGTGCGGCTTGAACCTGTTCCTACCTGGAGTTGGTAAGAAAAAATTATAACAAAACTATTGCATAGAGTCTGAACTAATAGATTTTACGATGTATCTCAAAATACTTGATAAGTTCGGTGATAGAAACAATCAATATTATTACATCAGCTTTAATAGAGAAAGAATTCCTAATCATTAATAAAAATTTTGAAAGATTTTTTTTGTTAATAACTCGTTGTTTACACTGGTTCAGCAATGAAATATAAAATTAAAGCATGCAAAATGAAAAAAAAATCATCAAATTAATATAATGTAGTGAGTAAAACATTATTCACATTTAATACAATAAAGTATATAAATACTTAAGTCTAAAATCTTTTTTAACTTGAAACTAACGAATTTTGAACGATTTATTCAATTATTATAAATTGCAACTTAATAGGTTTTAAAGCAACAAGAAACATTGTTAAAAATAATTTCTAAAATAATGTTAAATATTATTTAATTTGTTGAAGAGTGAAGTATAGCAATTCATTCATAAAATTAAATTTTCAGGAACTTTGATTGCCACTCTCCGAGTGGTTTGCGGTGTTCAGACAAGCAACCCTGACCGCTCGCAAGCAATTTGCTACGGATTTTTGGCTGCTGTCCTGCAGATGCTCCTCACCCCGCTCATCATCGGCTGGGTGTGGTCTATCCTCTATGGGGTGTACCTGATTCAGGACGCTGGAGGTCTCCCTCCTGAGCAGCCAGGCGCCCCTTCGCCTTGAATATGCCGTCGGCTATTTTCTCTCTGTCTTGTCACGCCTTTTACAAAAACCAAAGTCTGACCGCTGATTTTATTTCACCATTCTCTCTCACGTGTGATGTTTATCGTATTTTCTCAGACATAAAAGAAATATAAATCGGAGATCTTTGATCAAAAATATTGTCGGCCTTGGAAATTTCTAAAAACATATACATACAATAATTTGTCTTTTAAACTTTCATGTCGTGGACGTTACACTTTTGATGTATTTCTTGTACACACTTTTAACAAAAATCGTGTTCGTTTTTCTTTATACCTTTTTTACTCAGTCTGTATGTGCAGTTGCGATATATCAATAAATTTACTTCTATGTACTAATTTCATTGTTATAATAGAGATTTCAAACCGCAGATAATAAAGCTCTCAGTCATCCATATTATTTTTTAATATTTATAATATATTTTTGACGTGAATATGTAAATCAAATTAAAGAAATTCTGATATTAGGATAAAACTAAATCTGATTTAGTCTGAAAATAATTAAATTAATTTCAGTGTGCATTTTTATATAAATTGAATTAATGACTAGGTTTATTTTAATTGCATCTGTCAATATAGTACGAGATCAAATAATTTTTCAGTGTTTCTACTTCCTAGGCGGCGGATACACCACACGTGCCTCTCCATTGCGTAAATGGTATTAATATTAACGCATCCAAAAGTTGAGATAGCAGCTATAGGACGATGCCAGTGGCCTTGGCCGTGGTGGCATTTTTTATCGCCTGTTGATGATACAGTATTATAACAAATCTTCAGTAGCAGTTCAGCAGATTTCTTGCTCTGAAGTTTTTGCATCACTTAATTCCCGTTATTACAAAGCAAGCAAGTGCATCATTTATAAATACTGATACTCTAATGTTATTTAGTTTTTATTATTAATTAATTAATTGTTTTAAAATTTTATACAAAAGATTTAATAATCTTTTTAAATTATTCATACTGATAGACTAAAATAATTATTTTTGCTCACATCATCATTGGAGGAACTGATTTATTATTGATTTCAGATTTATTTATTTAAGCAGTTCAGCAAGTAAGCCTGTGAATATCCCATAGTAACAAGCAGCAAGAAAAAATATTTTACGCGTATTATCCAGTAACTAAAGATTTTTACTGATCCTTAACGCTCTATTTAAACTAGCTTTACATAAATGAATAATTTTCATTGAATAAAAGTAATTTAAAAATATTTCATTTATAGAAAGTTAAAAATTTAAAAGAATTTAATATTTTAACAAGGTGATTATAAATTGCTAAATCATAAAAATATTATTTATTTAGCAGGGTTGGGTTGTAGCATTAAATATTTGGTTGTATACTTCATACATTTATCCGATTTTATCTATTTTTAGATATTTTATTTTATATTACTTATTAGCTAATTCTTTTATAATAAGTTAGCTTGTACTAAAAAATTCAAAAATAATTTCATAAGAGTACACTGTCATTTTATTAGATTTTTACTCGGCGCAAAAAAAGATTGTAGAATGTTGCCTCTGAATCGTATTACGTAACAAGTGGTCTGTGAACTGCACTGTGTGCAATCAAAACCTTAAATAAGCGGCCGAGCACAAAAAAAAAGTGAACCAGCAGGCAGAAGATAAGATCTAAAATTAAAAAGTTCCATAAAAAGTAGCGATAAAGGGTTATTAGGACCCAGACTGGAGTGCAAATTTAAAGTTTTTGACCCTCTCATGGGCAAAACCGGTTACAACTTTTCTGCGCAGGAATATATTTGCAAACAAAACTTTTAAAAAAGGAAGTGGAGGTGTGTGCAAAAATAGTGAGGACGAGAGAGCGCGAAGAGCCGGTTAGCCTTGGAGTTTTATTAGCACTGGCTGTGACGTGGTGGCGTTTTTAGAGGCGTGTGAGCTCGAAAAGCCAAGCTATTGGCCGCAGTCCTTGGTTCGCCAGACAACTACGCAGCCGAGAGCTACCCGAGCGACCGACCAGTCCGTCGTTTGCACTTGCATAGTGTACATTACCACTTGACATTGGCATCTTGGTGAGTCTTCTTCCTGCATTCGCTTTTCTGTATTTTGCACAATTATTTAAATGAGCTATACAATAAACGTGAGACCTCTTTCAATTCCAATAAAAGAATTAAACGCTTTTCTGACATTAAAAATTAGTATTAAAAACATAATTTGGCATCTTGAATTTCATAAATTAAATATTTTAAATCCCTTCAATCGTGAGGTCCAAGATTTGGATTTTAATAATGAATATCTTATTTTGGTGCTCAATTTTTTTGAAAAAAAAAAAAAAATAATAAAGGCCCAATTTTATATTTCATTATTATTGTTGTTTATTTGCCCAAATTTACATATTTTCAATTCAAATTGTGTTGCTGATTTTGACATAGAGCTTGTAGTGATATAATTTTATTTGACTATTCTTGAAAGCATCGTTATTAAAATCTTGGTAAAGGTCAAATTCCTAACATCCTAGAACATTTATAAATTTTATTTTAGCAACTGCTCAGACAGGAAGTGATAAACAGCCGGCTTGATATATTAGACGCCGCGCGCTCTTAGCATTGAAACTTAAACCGACACAAAAAAGAGAAGAGAAAGCTGCAGACTTTCAAGCGATAATGCAATCAGTGTTGCAAAAATATCCACAATCGTAATCATAAAACTGGTCGTGGACTTAATTATTAATGAAGCATTCGCAGGTTTTTTCACTCGTTTTAATATTTAGTTCGCGCCACCTGTTGTGGGGCAACACGTGCCGGCTGTTCACTTTTGGTATAAAACTGAAGGGATTAATAGATATTTATAGCAGGTCGTTTAATTGAACCGTGGGACTTTCGTAGGCGGCTAGCAATTGCTTTCAGGTCACTTGATGGAATTTCCCATCGAGGGTCTTTTATCACTCTAATGACATGTATAGGCATGACGTTCAATAGAATACTATTTAATCATTTGAATCACAGAGAAGGCAATTGCCTTTCTGGTCTATTTGCTGCACATAAGACGTGCGCCGAGTCTCACTTGTTTTATTTGATATTACATATTTGCATATTATCCTACGTGCTGACGTAATACGTAATAATATGTGCCTCTGAGGCGCACAAAGTGAAAGAAAAATAATGTTGTAATGCAATGAAACCTTTCCAGATGGTAGATAAACATGGTATCATTCGGTTAACTCGTTAACTTTCAAAAATGTTGTAGGGTAAATGAAATTTTCAGTAATTTCAACGATTTGATATTAATATTCTTTTCTTCTTTTTTTTTCAGATAAAATAATGCTTGCGTTTAGCCAGAGAATGCGGCGGCGACGCCCGCACAGAATGGATAAAGTGACCAACACGATTTCTGCCGAGGGAACAGCAATATTGTGTTTTCCTCCTGACGGTGCGTATTTTATTTTTAAATCAACCTTCAAAAATATATTTTTGTTTTGGATTCACATTTGACGCGTAAACAGATCCGCGTGCTGTTAAAATTAGTGCACCGGGTACTACATGCCACATAATTATTTTCGGTGTCACCTTTGTTTTACGCAGCTGCCTGGCGCCTGCTTTTCGTTAGCATTCGTCAATATTATATTAGGAAGAGAGCGCGCGCGTGTTGCCACGTGCGCCTCTTTTGCGCCGTCGTTTTGGCATTGTATTTATTAGATTTAGATTTCCAACATCAGACTGCAAAAATTTCACACCTTTTCTTAATATAACCCATAATATTAAAGAAATTTAATTTCATAAATTATAGAACTCATAAATTATCGATTAAAAACTAGAAAAAATGTATGCTGGTATAAAAACAAATAAATTGCTTGAAATATTTTAACCGTTTCTCACCAAAATTTTGCTATCCATTTAAGGAAGTTACGCAGTAAAAATGACAATCGACAATACCGAGAGGTCACGCCTCGAGTCTGCGCCTATCCCAATTTGAAATTCAAACAGTATGGTAAATTTGTTATTCACATCAATTTTATCTGGCCTGATTTTACTAGACAAATAATCATTATAAGAATAACAACAACATTCGTGACAGGAATAGAAATAACCATCCATACTAAATTTGTCAACAGCAATTATGTGAACATTGAGCTAAGTTGGACAAAATACAGTAATTTAATGGTGATGGATACAAAAATCACAAACTGAAGTAATTCTAAAATCATTTTATATTGAAAGAAAAGTATTATCAGTTATTCTTCTTTTGCAATCTAAATATTAGCTTTTTTTATCAATAAAACTTGTATTTTCAATTTTTTTTCGGTCGCGGTTTTACGCTTCCATAAAAAATATCCCTAGTTAAAGTTCTTCTTTGCAAATACGTCCCAAAAAATTTTAATTAGTTGGCAGGGATAAAATACTAAATTGAATGAAGAAAATATTTTAAAGGAAAAAAACTTAAAAAAAATCGCACTTTTAAACCTGATTTGTTCAACGATAATGAGAGCACACCAAAGCTCTTCTCTGACTTTTGTTTCTATTCAATATTTTAGTTGGCACTGTTTCTCAAACACATAAATTTATTAAATTTTTTTATAAGTTTTAGCTAAGTTTCATTTTTTTACTTGAATAAATTATAAATAATATTGTTTGTAAAAGTAGCAATGTAAAAATACTTATTAAAAAAAGTTGGTGACACATTTTTTCACTTATGACAATAAGTCTAGTCGTGTATGAACTTTCTTTCAAATTAAAATTTGCTTGTTAAATTGAAATCATCTGGAATTTTTTGAGTGCTTATTGAGTTAAATTTACTGATCTAATTGTTTATTATTCAAATTTCAGGTTCCTCATTTCGAGGTATGATGACCACAAATTCAAAAGAGCACATGGCCATGGACGAAGACTCGCCGTATGTGTTGTATGGCCGAGAGACACCGACCCCTGGACAGTACAAAGTGACCGTGGCCGACTTGGAGACGGGTCTTCAGTACCACATGGACGCGGTCCAACTGAGGGGCGAGTTGAGGAAACGGGGCAGGTCCATGTCAACAAGCCCCGAAATCATCACCCACTCGACGAGCGCCGCGATTCCCATCGGTGGTGGAGGACACGCGCAAGGTCACGGAGGTCAAGGTGTTGGCTTCGAGGACATCTTCCTGCTGGAGCACTCGTGTCCGCCGAATTTGATCAACGGCGGCTTCCTGGAGGAGAACAGCGAGCTGAGTCCGGTTGGCTCGGACAGCACCCGACTCAGCTCGACCCCAAGTCACAACAGCCCCCTGAGTCCCCTGCCCTCGGCCAAGGACGACGCGCCCCTCGAGGCGTTTTCCAACCCCCAGTTTTCCCTCGAATTCGAAAGCGAGGAGGACACTTTGCAGTTTACGGCCAACACTGTGCACCGCGGCCAAAAGGCGGACATGATCATCCAGAGGCTGATGGCCGGTTCTAAACTCGGAGGCACAAAGTGCGTGGTGCTCGTGGGGCCGTTGCGCTTTTCAGTCAGCGATACGGTCACTACCGATGCCAACATGGCTTGGAGCATGTGAAGAACTTTGTATTAAGGACTTGGGAATTTTATCAAAGTGTATGTATTTTTGAAGATTTGAGATTATTTTATTTTTGGAGGAGATTTTAGTAAAGTCAGTATTTGTATAATTGAAAATTTTACAAGAAGATCGCAATAATGTTGAAAAATTAAAAATTTAACTGATAATTATTGTAGGTTTGCTCTGGTGAGGATTTGTCATGATCAATTGATCATACAAAGCAACAACTATAATTGTATGTGCATCTCTTGTCTAAAGTCTAACTTGAAAAGTAGAAAATGAGATTAATGAATGCTAAGGGTGACGTAAATTAAAATTATAATGTAGTATTTATGTAAAAATGAAAGTTTTCTCATTTCTACTTATAGAAATTAATCCAAATATGTATGATATAGTCTAAAAAATTAATTGTACGTACTTTTCCCATTTTTTAAAAAGCTACTTACAAAGTGTGAATGAAAGTAGCTTTGATTGTTACGCTCAATGAGCTGGAATAATTTCATGTTTCGTCAAACTTTTAAGTGATTATATTTTCCTGAGGTGCCATTATTATTCATAAACCGATTGTGCCATTTCATGTTAATTATTACATTGTTTATGTGAGTGCTACGATTTTATTTAAATAATATGCATTGTCATTGTAAAATTTTGTATACTACTGTAGACCGTACATTTTTGCCGTACTTTTAAAAATAAGAGCGCTGGAATGCAATATTGTTGGGATTGGGGACCATATTCTGTATGATGAACAAATACAAAAGTCAAATTGCATTGCCCAAATGATATGTAATTTAATTTCATCTCCTCTCGCTCTCACTCAAGTTTATGTTGGTTTTAAAAAAGGCGAAATAGAAAAAATTTAATGCTACATAATATTATAGTATGCCGGTTAGCCTCTATGACTTTATAGCTTACGCTATACGCCGTTCATTACACATTAAATAATTATGCTTAAAAGTGGATATTATGAGGTCTTCTTACCTTGGGTGCACGGCGATGGTCGTCATTCATGGTTCATATTTCATAATTTGGTCGCTCCGATGAATCCTACGTCGACTCAAATTCGGCTTGATATGGGTTGCAAATTCCTAAAACCATGTCGGCACACGAAGCACAAAGCCAAATCGGCAAGAACACAATGAAGAAGTGGCCAGCACATTCTTTACATTGGCATATTCAACGACACTAAACAAGTGTGAACAAGTATGACACGGCCCTCCCACCCTCCTGCATGCAGCAGGGCAGCTTTTTGGTGGCAGCTTGGAGCTCCTGTGCAGGCGTAGAGGAAGCGAGCAAATGAGGAAACAAGGAACAAGGCAGGAGGCAGTGTGGGGCAGTGGGTGAAAAATAATACGTTACGTTGGCTTATAATTTAAAACTTAATGCGAAATTTAATTTTTTTCAGTCAATATTCCCATATATTATTAAAAAACAAATAATATGTAAACAAAAAAATTATTTTAGAAAAGAAAAATTTCAAAAATCTAATGTTACTTGATTAAATTTATTTCATTTGTCTATCCCTCTTGGGAATGACACCATAGCGGTTAACAAGTCAGGTCTGCTAAATCTGAAGGGCCGATCAGATCCGATCTTCCTATTTTGGGCCTTTTTGCCCTCTTTTTAAGTATTTTTTTTTTTTTTCATGATTTCTTTTATTTTATAAAAAATTTAAAGACATTTGGAAAAAAATGTATATATAAAGCGCAATATGCGTATTTCTCATGGATTTAGTAAGTAAATTAAGTAAAATCTTAATAAATCCATGCTGTACGTATTATTTTTGTAATCGCGCCTCACGTCATTTTTAGGAATTTTCGAGCGATTGTCAATTGTTTATGTTTATGCTCTCTATTTTGGTTACGCCCATTTCTGCATTCGCCGCTTGAGATTTTGCTGCCTTTGCCAGACCGCTTTTGCATTTTCTAGAATAATCAGGGATTTCGCCCTGATAAACTCTCAGCAGGCAATAATTTTTGCGCAATATGGGAAGCAGGGATGAGCAAATCGAAGCCTTTCGTCTAGAACACGAGTCAGACGAGCACTGGGAGCTGCGTCGCGAGTTTTTGGAGGAGCACTTTGACAAGTTCCACACCAGCAAACTCCTCTGCCTGTCGCACACCTACGTCAACATCGAAGTTCTCGGTTGCAGGTGAGAAGGATATGAAAAAAATCTAAATTTGGGCCTCTGGATTATTAGTTTCAAATTAATAATGAAACAAAAATTGCCAGGTACCCTAATGAGACGATGAAAATAATCGCGGATCTGGCAGCCGGTCTTGGTTCAGCTCATAAGAAAAGAAAGGAGAAGAATGCTCAGCGAATCACCATGGACGCGTCAAATGCTGCGGAGCAGCGAATAAGTAAAAATCTCTCTTAAATTTATCATTTATTTAGTATTACTTATTCTTTTTTTTACAAATAAAATTTTCCTATAAAATTGTATGTATTTTTATGCGATCAAATAATGTCACATATTGATTATATTTTTTGTATTTTCTATTTCAGAACACAGAACTGGTGGTGAATTGCGAAACAACCCTCAGCCGAAGGTTACGTATGGTCCAAGCGTCGTCGGTGGTCCCTCTGTCAACTATGGACCACCGGTGACAGGGAACAGGAACTACGGCTACAGAACTTAATCAGCTCGAATTGTTAGAATCAGCACTATGTATCAGCAGTGCAGTGCAAGAAGGCTAAGTGAGTGGACTCTTTCCAACCATTTTTTTAAGTGCAAGAAGGTATAATTTTATCAACGATTAAAAAAAATCACATTCTTCTTATTCTGGGTGACCAGATTGTTCAAGACTAGAAGAATAATTATATAAAATTTTCATAAGACAAAATATTGTCATAAACTTTGAATAGCAGAAAGCACCTTAATTAAAAAAAAATAGACCTTATTCAAATATCAGAATTGAATTGTTTCAAAAAACTTGTTTTATTAATTGATTACTCATGCAAGGATGTGCAGGTAAAATAAATTGACCCAGGCAGACCCAGGTTTGGGCAATCAATGTTCAGATTGTATTTTCCATCACTTTTAGGACTAACTTTTTTAGAGATTTTGTTCATTTAAAACAAAGATTCAACAAATTTGGTTCTTGAAGAATAAAAAGAAATTTACTGAAGCGCAAGTTCATCATTTCTTTAGGGAAACCATTTTGCTTCAAAATTCAAACTCTGTTATGTACTGTTATGTTAAGGTCGTTATCAATGTTAGTACATATTAAGCATATTAATTTTGGGCTGTACTTTTGAAGGAAAACCGTATGGATATTTTAGTCACTTTTATCAGCTGCTTCACTTTTTTCTCTGACCTGCTGGGCTAAAGTACCCTAAGTGCAATCAATCGGGCCTCCTATCGTCCGGACTTTTGCTCTTTAAAGATAAAGATTCGATAAATCGTTGAGAACGAAGCTCTTGAGCGTATTTCTAAGAATTTCGTGTCAAGCTATTTTTTCTCCATTCAAGGCCTTCAATGCTATAGCGCTTGTTGCTTAAGAGTTGTGAGTTACTGAGTTGAATTTTTTAAAAGAGGATATTATTTTAAATTTATTTTAAACCCTCATTGCCGTTTATTACATACTTAAATAAATAAGTTTTACCGCCCCTTAAAGTGGATCGATAAAATCTATTTGGGCAGCCAACCAAAATCGCTTGCCCTTCCACTGTAAAAAAACATTTTGGCCTTGACGAGTATAAACACAAAAACAGACGCTCTTAATCTTTCCTGCCACAAGTATTACATATATGCGCTAATAATTTTTAAACTTTGCCTAATTACTTTAATTAAAATTCATAGATATTATTTACTATTGCACTAACTTACAATTAGAGAGGTTGACATCCCTAAATACATATATGGAAGTGCAAATCAGATCTGGACCGGCACAATTTGTGAGTTATAAAAATTGCTTTGAGTTGTTTAAGCAATTTAATACATTTAATATTTTGAAACTACATAGGTGCGCACAACTCTAATTGCGTTGATTCCGTTTTTCAAATGCACATTTTGGTATTTTGCAATTTGGAATCAAACACCAGGTACATGGAACGCCGTCCTCAAAGTGCTGCCTGTTTACAGTTTGGTCCTGTTTGTCGTGTGGCAGGGCAAAAAGTGAGAGAGACACCGCTCTGTCTGCATTTTATGAAAAAATAATTTTTAACTCTGTGGTTGACACATTTTTAGAGAGCACGCTTGCAGGAAGTGGATTTTGCTGGGGTTGTTGGTGTCAAGTGTTGGTGACGTTTTCATGGTTTGGAGAACGCAGTTGGTCAATGGCATGGCCACATTTGCCCTCGCGCAAATTTGCTACATCAAGGCGTTTGGCTTCACCCCTTTGAAACCTGAAATTGGTGTCATACTTTTTGCTGGATCAGCAGGGGGTATTCAAAACATTGTGTTTTTTGCTATACAAAAAAATTGACATAAAATATCTTATTTGTTATAATTTTTAATAAAGCCCTGATACTTTTGGTGCCTGGGTTGAAACATGACACATTCCTGCTACTCGGATTGCCTTTCTACAGCGCACTTCTGACCACCATGGCGTGGAGGGCAAACGCTAGATTTTTCGCAAAAGATGTATATAACTTTAAAATTGTTTAAAAATTGAAATTTAAAAAGTTTCATAATTAATTTGTAGCGGACTTGCAAGTGGATCAGGTTAAGCACAGCAATTGGATCAATTTTTTTCCTGCTCTCTGATATGATAATAGGCTTTGATAGATTTTTCTTGCCAATCGAAGATGCTCAAGTAAGTTCTATGATGAAGAAGAAAATGAAACTTTTTAATTAAATTATTATAGGTATATATCATGTCAACTTATTACGTAGCTCAACTTGGAATAGCTTTAAGCGCAGCAGAACCACTACCAAAAGCCAACAAACAAAAATGACAGGCTGACAATGAGCAAGGAAATAAAGTCTTGTGAATTCTTTTGGTATAAACCATTTTATTTATTTTTTATCTCCGCTACAATGCACTACATCACTGCGAATACAAGTATGAACTCAGGGATATTTTGGGCCATGGCTGATTTAACAGCAACATATCAAGTGACCTCAGCGGCACTCTTTTTTTAAGAGAAAGAGAAGAATGGGTACATAAATATACCTTTGGGGTAAAAGATTTTCAATTTCTAGATTCAACAAGATAAAAAATTTACAAAAAAGTTTCATTTGGGAGAACATCCCTTGTTGTGTAGCGCTCTTTATTTTTAGTCAATTGTATGACTCACATTGAGTCGTTGAAGGATTTCTTGTGAAATTTAGGAGCTCGCTTTTGTTCTTGCTCTCGGTTACAACTAGAGAGCAAAAAATAGAACGCTTGAAATGACAATTGAATAGTGCTTTAATTAATGTTGTTCTTTAATTCAGTACCAAAAACATAGATACCTTTCCATACATTGGGTGGAATTAGTTTAACATTGGGCATATTTTCGTATTTAATTATACATTGTAGCAAAGTGAAATTTCATCAAAACTTGCATTTAACAAAACTACAGTACAAATAATAATCTGAGAATGAAAATAAATTACTTTTACACATTTGAAATTCATATTAAATACATAATTATAAATTGTTAAATCATGGTGCCCTACTAAATCAGTAACGGATATCACAATGAGTACCACAACAAGCAGCTTTTTTTTACTTTCTTTGTACGGTGCCAATGACATCCAGTGGCGCAGCGTTAAGATAATCTTTGATGTTAAAATGGAGAGATTGTGGATAATAGCTCCACAACGAATGCAGTTTTAATCACGTCACTTTTCTTAAGTGTTAACAAGATGAAGATTGAATAATAAAGAAAAAGCATCAGGCACACTTCAATTGTCAGTGACCAAGTGCCACGTGCCACATTGCTGTTAGAAAATAATATTTCTACGAACAAGGCTGACAGAAAATGCATAAACTGTTAAGTATTCTTTGAAAAAAATTCATCCTCGAGTCATTTAAAGCAAATCCAGATACAACCTATGTCCATGGGGTTATTTCTTGCACTTCATTCAAGTACAATCGATTATCAATTGTTGGTGCCGAGATAGTCTAAAGTTACAAGACACTTTATATGAATTGAATTTTACAAGAGAAAATTAAAAAGAAAATATAAATTTTATGATAAATAATTTGCCGTCTTCACAGCAACGATATTTGGACAGAGATCTATGCAACATTATCAGCCAATAAAAGCTTGGCGCTCACAATTACAGATGGTCATATATTTTCTTCGTAATCTGGAGTTACTGAAGTGACTGTCAGGCAGCAGCAAAGAAATGACTACCAACAACTGCAGTTGAGGTAAAAAAGCCTTCTGTCACGCAAAATGTTTGTTCCGTTATGAATTCAAACTGCACTGACAGGCAAACAAATGGAAAATTGTGTCGGTTTGTAATCCGAGGAAATTTAAGCCGACGAGATTCTACACACTCGACTCTTTGCTCTCAGCACCCAGCAGGTGTCCACTCTCCATTTCGTTCACTTGCTGAGACTCTTTTTGCAAATTACCAAGACTGCCTAATGCTGCGCTAGTTCTTTGGCGGCAAGTATAAGGGGTGTCACCTGGAGACGGAGTGTCTCGTCCCTGCGCAATTAATAAAAAAAAAAAAAAAAAAAAAATAGTCATAAGTGTTACCAATTACAAAGTGTTAAAATTGCCTGTTTCGAAGGTCCACAGCATGTCGACAAAGCGCAAGGCTTGTCAGTCTTTGGGCAGTCTAGTTCACAGGCCTCGGTCTGGGAGGCAGCCATCAGGGCGTCACCAGGGTACTGGTGCATGAATTTATCAATTGTTTGAAAAGCATGCTTGAAGTTTAAATATCTACCTCAGTAAATTCAGGCTGAATGGTAGTTGAATGTATTCCTTCGTTGTGGAAGAATTCCTTAACCTTTTCAGCAATTTTCATATATTCCGACAAGTTATGGCATCTAAAATATCCAAATAAGAGAAAAAGAGTTTCATTTTCATTTCATTATTTAGATTCAACCCACTTGATATGTGCCGATGCAATAATCCTATCCCCAGCTAATTGCCAGACGTGGAACTCGTGAACAGCTAAAACTCCATCTACTTTTTCTAATAAACTCTTTTGAATAGCGTCAACCTGCAAAAATGTAAAAGATTTAATTTTTACATAAAATTATCACATTAATTATTTTACCTGGATGTGAGTGGGAACAGTCTGGAGGAGAATTAGGGCAGATTCCTGTAAAAGTGGCCAGACAGAATTGAGGATTAGTATGACCAGCACAATACTGAGGGCAGGGTCCATGTAGTAGCGGTACTCCCACTTTGTAAAGGCCACGACGGAGGCCGATATTATTACAATGACAGAGCCCAAAGCGTCTGCAAGAACGTGCAGGAAAACCTAATGAGAGAAAATAAAATTACTAACAATAAGATTGTGTATAAGACGTTAAAATTAAAAATAGTTATGCCTTTATTTATTTTATTTGAATAATTTTTTAAAATTTATTAAAAGTCCAGATTTCATGAAATATTGAATGCAATATAATTTATTTTAATTAAAATCACTCACCCCTCTCATGTTCATGTGTGCAGAGCTGTTGTGCATGTGAGATGAGTGGCGCCTGTTAGAAACCTGCATCTTGCTGTCGTCCACGTTATCCTCGAGTGGAGCCAGCTGCGATAAATGCGTATGCGTTTTGCCAACGCCGTGAGAATGCCCATGTGCAGAGCCGTGTTCTGAATAAATTAATTAGAGTTTCATCAGCAAGGGAAGTTAATATTATAAAAAGTATATGCGAATCTTACCATGAAAAAGAAACAATCCAATCACATTGACAACCAGTCCGATGATACCAACAATTAAAATCAAGTGAGGATCGTGGATTTCCTCAGACTCAATAAACCTGAAGCAGGGGGAAAACATTATTAACAATCAAGAAATAATTAATAGAAGGAATAATTCAAATTACCTTTTACAAGCTTCAACGGTGATAGAAAAACACAAAGCAACAAGAAACACTGCATTTACAAGGGCTCCGAGAACTTCAGCTCTGGCCCAGCCGAAAGTATTTTTCGACCACTTCTTTGGTGACATCTGAAATTTTAATAGAAAAAATCATTTAAAATTTATTTAATTATTATTGCTTATCAGTTATTTAAATTTCTTATGACCTTTTTAAACATCATTTTGTAATAAAATGGAGTGGAATTGATATTTAAATTTTTAAGCAATATGTCTTCTTTTGTAAAGAACAATAGAATTTCATAAAATTATTTCTGCATATTTGCAATAATTGCAGACATTGGGATGTATTATGCGAGCGCCTGTTATCATTCAAACGGCTAGTCCAATTAAATAAAAAATCTCTCGGCATTGTATTCCCCTTATGGCACTCGTGACATAATTTGCAAATGCAACTGATTGACAAGAGGAGGTCTCTATTATGTACCTTTACTGAAAGGAAGGCAATCACTAAGGCTGCGACGTCGCTCAGCATGTGGAAACTGTCGGCCACCAGGGCCATCGAGTTGGTCACATAGCCCACCACGATTTCGACCAGGAAAATAAACGTGGTCAGCCAGAACATGGATATGAGGCGGCACTTTTTGCCCGTGAACTTGCCCATCGTGCTGAGGTGCTTCTTTGTACTGCGATCAAAACAAAAAATGGATGAGAATCAATAAAATTGTCACACTATGTCGCAGCCTGCACAAATAATAACGCACACACAATGTTGCAAAACGTCAATAGCAAACAATTATACAAACACACATGTGCCCTATTCGCCGGAGACGAACAGCAGCTCCAACCGCCGCGTGCCTTATCAAGTGGAACAATAGCTAAATAGCATTATCGATAAAGCTACACATAGTTTTAAAGTGTTGAACTGCAGTGATAATATGTGCGTGAGACTTTGAGTGGATTTGAGATAATGGAACATATGAAGCTGGTAATCAGTGAAAAATTGTTCCTTCTTTGGACTCGAAGCGCACATTCATTCTTCACACTTGTCCTTATGAGCTAACTTTTAAATTTGCCACTACATACCACTATTAGAGGCACAAATCAATCAATTAATTTTGACCAATGTTTAAATACTGTCCACACCTATTTAAAAATATTATTTATTATAAATATCAGACAACTTAATAAGAAATTATTTTAAATTAAAGAAATCGATGAATAACTTTCAAGTAATCTTCCAAAATGCAACATTATTATTTTTTCGTCAAATTTAATGCTTCTTAAAAAGTATGTCTTGTGGAATAAGAATAGCAGTGGTCAAATCTAGAAAAATATTTTCTTTTTAAGTGGAAAAAGTATTGTTTGTATAAATCGAAAATGATTAATAAATATTTTTATTACTTTCATTTACGCTGACAATCCATCCTCCTTCATCCACCTTAAACCAAACTATTAAAAAATTTAAAGGTGAATTTAATAATAATATGGCAGCCTTAATTAAATGAAATAGACAGTTCCAATAATTAATTATACAAGTATTATTACTATTTATTCTTCTCAGTCAATACAAAAAATTTAAATTGGAAAAAAAGAGAAGGGTTTACAATACCTATAAGACAAAATGTATAAAAATTTAACATTTTTCATTCAACCTCAACCCAAACCAGCGGCTGAATTTTTCTATGGAGCTTAAAAGAAATATAATAATGATAATAAGTTAGTTTAGAGCTTTGGTCATTTTTTACTTTCGAAAGCCATATATTAAATTTCATTCACAATTAAATGTGGTTAATGCAGCTTAAGAAAGGGTAGGTTCTCGGATCAGGGTCTGTCATGAAGGTTCAGAAGGTGTTGTCATGGCATTGTACTGATCGAAGGATTTAGAATGTGAACTTTGCAAATTACGCAATAAGTATTTAAGTGTATTTATGAAATTTTATTTTTTTTTACATATTTACAAATTACTAAAAGAAATCGGAAACCATTGAAATTTTTAAGCAAGGCAGGGGAGAAGAGGCTGCGAATCGAGCTAAATGCGTCAGAACGAATAAACACAAGCAAGTGATTCATAATAATGCTAACAGGAAAATTGAAGGAGCTGGAACAATTTCTCCTTGCGCGAGCAGCCGTTTGGTTTGAAATTTAATAATAAACTTTGAAAATAAGCTTTGCGTTCAACCCTTTAATTCTATTAACAATTTCCATTTAGGAAATTACATTGAAAGAAAAAAAATCGAGCAACTTGGATAGTTTGTGAATTAGAGCTCTGTCAACAGTCTTACCCAAAAAGCGAAGGTGGCTGGCGCGGACGGTCCCTGCTGAGGGTGTTTCGCGGGTCGGTTCTCACGCCCTTGATTCGTATCTGCTCATCATCGAAGGTTGCATCGTCTCGTCAGCGGAATTTCCAGCTTTTATGGGTCGGTGGTCGTTTCGTCGTTTACTCGGGAAAGAATTGCACACGGTACCAACTTTAATGATTTTCTGATCTCTCGGCTCTCGCTCGGCAGCTCGTCGTTCTTTTTTCCAACGAGAGGAGAGAGGCCGAGGGCGGGTCGCACACCGAGAGGTGGGGGTGGCAGTCAAAGAGGTACGAGGAGGTACAGCCAAAGAGGCTAGAAAACAGTCGGGCCGAAAACGTAAACAAACGAAGGGGAAGGGAATCCAGTGCTTGCTGCTGCAGAACGATCACACACACGTGTTTTGATTCGACCAAAAACTAAAAGAACTCTTGAATTTGTGAGAAAAGTGTTTTTTTCTAGTGGAATAAACTTGAGCTTGTGCTCGGAGCTTGACGTCGACCTCATCAAACTTTCCACTTTTGAACCGTTGCATTTATTCAGCTAATAATTTTCTTTAAAAATGGCTAACTCATCAGAAGGTAAAATTGAGTTTTCAGACTTTTCAAATATGGAAACAAATAATTTTGGTCTGGGGCAGGTCTGGGGTAAGATTGGTCGCACACCAATAATGCATAATTATTTTGTTAATTGCTGCTTTTTTTATTTCCATCTTTTTAATGAAAATTAGAGACGCTCTTTTTAAATTTTCTCTTTTTTTATCGTTAAAAAATTTAATTTAATCTTGATCTCTTTTTTCAGTGCCAGATTTGGTGCCTTGCGGGAGCGATGAAGAGGACGATGATGAAGCTGCGTGGGATGAGATGGAAGAGACGTCGCAGCCCGTCCAATGTTTGTTTTGCTCAAAAACGTTTCCCTCCATTCTGGAGACAGTGTCGCACGCAGCTGAGGGACACAAATTCGACCTAAAAATTTTATCCAAGAAGTACAACATGGACACCTACTCGTATATCAAATTGGTAAACTTCATTCGAATGCACAACATGGGCGCCGACGAGCTGATGGTCTGCAAAGAGCCCCTCTGGGACCTTGACATGTACCTCAAGCCAGTATTGGAAAATGACCCCTGGCTGATGTATGGTACAGAAGAGGATAGCTTCATTAGAAGTTTAAAATTAAAATTTTATTTTGATGATTTTTAAAATTTCAGATTTTGAGGAGGATCGAGTTTTATCGGAGCCAAGGAATTTCACTCCAACAGGGTATCACGTCGTCAATTCCGAAGACGGAAAGGTCACATTGACTGAGGCGCATTTCCGAGAGCTTCAAAATAACCTCGAAGGGTTGCACATGGCATTGGCACAAAAAAATGATGAAATTCAAATCTTGCAAGGAGACATTGCCCGAATGCGATCTCTGTCCAGAGCATTGCTTGAGGCTGGAATCTCTGATAAATCCTCAGGTAAATATATGCAGCATTGATGATTTGGTGTTTTTATAAATGTGTTTCTAGTTGAGGCTGATTTGGATACGGTGGTTAAAGGGATCAAATTGGAGGATGACGAAGCTTACTTTAGCAGCTATGCCCATTTTGGGATTCATCACGAGATGCTCTCCGTTAGTCAAAATACCCTTTTTCAGATATTATTTTTATGCTGGATATTTTAGGACAAAGTTCGAACCGAAACATATCGCAATGCACTCTTAAGCAACGAAAAACAGATAAAGGGAATCACTGTGTTAGATCTTGGATGTGGAACTGGAATCCTCTCGATGTTTTGCGCGCAGGCAGGTGCTGAAAAAGTGGTGGCTGTTGACCAGTCTGACATTATTTATCATGCAATGGATATAGTTCGGTAATTAATTTACCAACTCTTTGGAACCGTTCATTTTTTACATGCCCTTTCAATTTATAGTGAAAATAAGTTGGAGGACCAAATTCAGCTAATCAAAGGCAGGTTAGAGGACCTTGACAACATTCCGAAAGTGGACGCAATCATATCAGAGTGGATGGGCTACCTACTTCTCTTTGAAGGAATGTTAGACAGTGTAATTCACGCAAGGGATCACCACCTAAAGCCTGGTGGTCTTCTTCTTCCTAACAGATGTGATATGAGCTTGGTTGGATTATCAGATTTGGGCAAGTTCAGGATTTCAAATCTTGAATTAGGTCTTAATTGAAATTTTCAGAGCGGCACAATGAGCTCATTGGATTTTGGGAGGACGTTTACTCTTTCAAAATGAGTGGCCTCAGAAAAGAGACTGTACATGTTCCTGCTGTGGAGATTGCTAGACCAGAATCGGTTGTGACTACTTCTTTTAAGCTTAGAGAACTCGACTTGAACAAATGCACATCCCGCGAGCTCAGTTACTGTGTGCCTTTTGAATTGAAGGCTCTGCACACCTCTGGGGAGGTATTGTCTCCCACCGTCAAATGTATGTAAGGGTTCAATAATTTATTATTTAATTTCAGGTGCTGCTAACTAGTTTGGCCGGATACTTTGATGTCTTTTTTGACCTTGATAACCCAGTCAGCTTTTCTACTGGACCGCTGGCAACTCCAACACACTGGAAGCAAACAGTGTTCTTTTTGGACGAACCATTCTTATTGCAACCAGGTAAATTTAATTTGGTAGGATTTTTCTCCAATATCAAAGTTTCTTTTTGCAGGAGAAATAATCAAAGGGACGTTTGAGTGTTTGCGCCAAAAGAAAGATTGTCGGTCCTTGAAGATTTATATTCAATTGGAGGGAAAAGAGAAATTCCAGTATATCGTCAGTTGATTGCCTGCCGAGCTCATGTAACTTGCGTCTTTCGCTTTTGGCACCTTTATTAGGTTCTGTGACAGGAGCAGTGCATGTACGATCAATCAAGCTTTTTTAATCCATATGTTTAAACGTTTCAACATGTTCAAAACAATTCAATCAACGCAGACTTAAAGAGTCTCTTTTTTTGAACTGCTACAATTTTGTATTTATGTGGCAATAATTGTCAATCATTATATTTACCTTGCTCTGACAAAGATATGCTACAATCAATGTCTAGAAGTTTTTGAAATTATCTTGCACAATTTTAAAGAGGTTGTAACCATTAAAAATTTTTGAATTATAATCAACTAAAATATGCTTACAGATATTTAAATTAAAGAATTTGACTTCTATTGCAAACTTAGTTAAGTCAGATTAGGTGCTCACTAAGAGATGTGTAGCATTGATAAAATTTCTTAACATAAATCAATCACGTTTTGAGCTAAAAAGAATTAAAATAGTGCTTTATAAATTAGAAGCAAAAGAAGTTAATGAATTCTACAAACCAGGTTAAAGATTATAAATCAAGTAATGCAATTGGATTGCTTTCATTATTCACATATATATTTAAATCAAAACAGATCATTTCAGCCGAGTGAGCTATATTACAGTAGAATATTGTTAAGAATTATTTTCCAATATAAACATAAGAATTATCTGTAGTAACCAATAATTTGGTGAATATGAAGCACACAATAAATACATGCTCACACACAAGTGTGGCCCTGCTCAATCAATCTAGCCTACAGTCTGATTCATTTAGCACTACTTATCACCTTCCCTTCTTTGGCCATTGATAAGTTAATGACAATGAAAATATAATTGAAAACAAGGGTGTCAGCAGCAACACTAAAGGATCACAGTGAGAAAGCAAAAGTAAATAGCTAATTTCAGCCTGAGCGACAAATAAAATAACATATTGTTCAACTTGACTTAAAATAAAATAATACAATGCGCATGATTTCATTCAGCAAGAAAAAGCGTAGCATGAAACTATCATAGAATATCATCGTGGGGGTAATAATTTCACAACACTGAAATATTGGATGGGCAACGAAAATATAAGTTTTGGAAGTTTGGCAAGAATGCAAGAGGATTCACCAAATTTTTAAAGTAGACCAAGTCATTTAGAGTAATAGTGTAAAAGAAGGTAAATACAAGTCTTCACGCAACTCACAAGCACTTAAGTACGTTACGAGCAAACTTCAATGGCCAAAATAGTGATGCAGGACAAACATTTTCGCAATAGTCCGCAACCCACGTCACTGACGCTGGTATACAAACGAGCTGTAGAATTTGAGCAGCGAGTCCCTGTTGTAGGGTGGCCGGACAATCTGGCCCACCTCACGCTGTCATATTTCATTCTCGTAATGCCGAACGCGCACCCTCTGCTTGTAGTGGTATTCCTTCAGATAGGCCTTCAACGGCTTTGGAATGTGCAGCTGAGAAATGCCGTCGTAGCTGATGCATGAGCTTACAACAGCTCGTGATAGGTGTTGTAGAGAGAATGGGTAGTTTCGAGGCAGAGGGATGGTCAGCATTGGCTCGAAGAACATGCAACACGTCGGATCCTTATAGTGCTCAATCAATCCACAAACTGTGTCTGAAGAATAGACACCTGGGTCATGTGAGTCGAAGCTAAACCGGTGGTTCCACTGCTCAATCCTGGCATGCAGAGAACGACCATACTTTCGGAAGCTCACAGAGAAGAGGTACTCATCCTGAAGATTAAAAAATTACATTAGAAATTTTTATTTTATTTTTAAGATTTGTCAAAAGAATTAAATCATAGGCATTTTGGATTAAAATTAAAAAATTTGTCTTGGGGTGTATACCTGTGCAGAATCCCTCAGTAAGAAAGAGCCTTCTTGTCTGCCCTCAAGCAGACGCTCAGCCTCGTATCTGTCCATCTTGCCCCAATAAAAACCGCAGGCGGTGATGTGATGCAAATCAGGCACAAGACAGTGAATGTAGTCCACTTGGGTGTGCACCTGTAGATGTAAAAATAAATTAAATTTCAAAAATAAGAACCATTTCTCTTCAACACACCTTATCTGAAGCACTGATTTGTGGTAATTCAAAGGGAACAATTGATTGCGCCTGGTCTGTGTTTGGAGGTGTTCCTATGTGGGCGTGCAAAAGAGCAGCAGCCAGGCCGTCTAACGAAAGCAGATCTGCAGCACCTATTTGATTAAATTGTCTCCGTAAGGAACTAAAACGGCCAAATCCTGAAATTCAAAATTTTTACACTATTAGTTATTACAATACTGATAAAAAAAAACTATAGATAAATTAAACAAAAATGGGTGACCATCCAATTTATATTTAGCAACATTATTCAAAGTAAACATTTAAATTTAAAATAAACTTTGATACCCTAAATTCATACCCAATTTTAGTTTACCTGGTGGCGGTTCCACTCCTTCCCTCATTTCCCTGGCCCTCTCTAGTCTAGCAAGCTCATCACAGTCCTCAGTGGGAAAATCTTCAGGTTTGAATCTTGACAGATCAATTACAGGATCACATCCTACAGCACCTTCCTGATCACTCGGCATCAAATTAGCGGCAGCCACCGCCAGAGCCAAGTTGGCCTGACTTCCGAGTGTACTCGGACAGGAGCTCCTGCGCGCCTTTCTGGCCGCCGCCGCAGCTGCCTCTGCTTCGAGGTCGTCTGGATCTTTCGGTGGGAGGCAGTCGACCTCGGGGAGATCAGGAACATAGGGGGCGGCCGCCTGGAAGACGATGCCTGCGCCCAAGTGGTGCTCGGCTGTACGCCGGTAGCCCGTGCAGACGCACACCTCGCATGCGGCGCTTGGCTGAGGTATGTCTATCGACTCGGAGGTGGTCTTGCTTTGGTTTACTTTCATCTTGCGGCAATTTAATTTGGTAGCCCAGTTCTGCTGGCCCTTTGACTTCTTTTTCTCTGCTTTTGCTTCGGCAGACTCGCTGCTGCGGCCTCGCCTTGATCGTCGTCCGAAAACAAAGGACGTCGCTCTAAAACATTTAATTTTTCAATTAACTGCATGTAACTTGAAATTCAATAAACTACAAACAACACAATTTGTTTAGAAAAAAATTCTCATGATTTTGATTGATATAATCTAGTATAATAGCAGTTGTGAGAAGTTTTGAGGTGGAACTAATCTGTGCGTCAGAAATTCTGCATCGGTAGAGAATGAGTCACAATATTAGTAACTTTTCTAATTATACACCATATATGCCAAGCGTAAATGTTTAAATTCAAAAACAAGTAAATGATACTCTAGCTTTTTTAAACAGCTCAAGCTGATCATACCCAGAAATTTCCTAATTGACCATCTACAAACTAAAAACTGTTTGCTTCTTCAAAGACAAATGTGAACAATAATGCACTACCGTTCCCTAACTTCAACAAATTTGACTATTATTGTTTTTACAGCAGTTATAAAATTATCCTATTCGTTTGTTTATTCAGTGCCAACTAACAATAAGTTCATTTCAATTTTGTATGGAGATGGTATATTTAATATGGAGTTGCCCGTTGCCCTAATGGCCCACAAAACCACAAAGATTATTCAAAGTAAATAGTCTGATTCATATTGAACAAAAATTTAAGAAATAAGCCAATAGATATATTTGAAGAAAATGCAAAATGTGTCCCAGATATCACTAATAAAAATAAATATTGAAATTCTCAGTTCTCTTGACAGCTATATTTAAATCAACTTTCTCTGTTTGCAAATTATCTAAGATTTTGATCTCGAAATTTTTTTTTTTTTAACAATCAATTTTTTACCTTCCAGAGCCTGTAGAAGCTGATGGCTGTTGTGTCTGTGTTACCGGGTCTGACGTGCTAACATTTTCCTGCGAGTTAGATGTCATCGCACTCGACAGCCTTGTCGGCAGAGACAGCCGATGGCCCATGCTAGGCCATGATGCTTCCGATCTGCAAGCACAATTTAGAATAATTCATATAAAAATATGACAAATAAACACCATTAAATTGAGTATGAATATGAAAAACTTCAAATTCAGTTTTTCCTTTCTAATATCAACAATTATTCCAACATTTTCTTTTTAATTTTTTTGTGTTTTTTGTCAAGTCACGTCCCCAAATTGACGGATTAATACTTTTTATGCGATGTGATGTAATATAACAATCAATTTAAAGAATATAGGAAACATTTTTAACACGGTTATGTACTTTTAGTTTGTGTGAAGCAGCTTCGTCAAGAAATGATCTCCTAATTTAAATAATATAACGTCGCACACCTATAGTGTACTTTAATAATAATTATTCAATCAACATGGCATTAAAAATGACTTTAAATTTTTTATCAAATATTCACCAGATATACGTCTTAATTTACAAAACAAACAAAAAATTATGGTTAGGGTAGAAAGTTCCATTTTGATTTTCTATCATACAAGAGCACACGCAGATTTGCTATCAGGAAATGAATCAGCCAGGCCAACCACAGGCGTATAATATGATGACGTTAAACTCCACTATGTATAATGACAAAAATCCAGGAGTGAATGACTGAATGAATCGATCAGTGGCGTTTCTTGACAGCTGCATGTTTGCTCATTGTCAGACAAATATTATTTTCTCATCTCGATCTTACGAAATTGATAATTAAAGACTAAAGACCATCAATCACTAATAATAATATTCTATGTGTGCTGCTCATGGAGAAGAGCTTTAAATGACCACACACCACACACACAAACCGCTGTGTAGACATTTTAAACACATCCTTCGTGTCACTCGAATTGCGCATCAGACCCAATTTGAAATAAAAACGTCGAGCGGAAATATAATTATGAGGATTTGAAATATGTAATGAATGTGATCGGATTGCCTGAGGAATTGCTGGCGATGAGCTGCAATGGACGAAACAAAGTAACCCATAAGATAAAAAAAAAACACGCATGTGTATTTTTATCATCCAATTGAGAGCAAAAGAAGCGAAAGTATAGAGAATATACATATTACATGAAATATTTAATAAAAAAAATGCACCCTTTACCTTTACCCGTGCGTAATACGTGAAAGAATCAATTGAGTAAGTTCAATCTCGGAATCGGTTGTGCCTATTGTGTGTGGCCAACCTTGAGGCTTGAATTAATTGGCTAAAATCGTATGTTATATGAATGAGCAGGGATGGATCCGGGGTTGAGCTGCTGGCTGACGAAATTTCGTTCATACTTGAGAATTCGAACCGGAATCAGACACCGTCGGCCACGTCCGAGCTCTGAATGCGTCGAGACTCAAGACAACCGAGATTATCAAAAGCCTTCCCGAGCTCGTCACGAAAATTTTGGGCAATATACGTAGATAATTACGCAAACATGGCTCATCACAGAGAGAATGAATGGGCCAGACTTTCTCCATCCCCGAGTGTCGAATTTGCGGCGCACATCGCCCTTCTCGAATTGATTACTCACCTAGAAGCGGATTTCGACTTCTTTCCGGAGGATTTAATTTTTGTAATCGTAGGTACCGCCGTGAGAAGCTGCGAAAAGTGCAATTTTGGGCTGCTACCTCGAATGCTGCGATCTCCTTTCCTTATGCTACATTTATGGAGGACGTCCTGACGTCACTCGTGACATCACTTGGCAATTGTTTTCGTAAAATGATCAAAGGGATGCCGATATTCGCCGAGTCGGATGTGAACTTTGCGCGGTTCAAATTTTGCGCGTTGAATTTCACTGTTGCAACAGTGAAATGCTGTAAACAATAATTTACTAAAATCAACATGGCTGGAGTATCGTGTCCTTTTCGTTAAGTATTTTCCCTGAGCGTTCAAGGCCGACCGTCTAGAGAGCGCCACCGACTGGAATGTTCCTCTCGTTCCATGTATGTTCCACCGCTCGTTCGCTGTTCTGCGACAATGAAAATGGGCTGCCGTGGAGCTGCATGAACGAACCTGCCCGCCCCAGCCAGGCAGCCATAGACTAGATCAACAGCCAATGGGTGGACGCTAAACAAAATTGAACAGCAACACCGCTCCGCTTTTCCGATTCCGACCATCTTTTTATGCTTGGGTTCAAAACAGACAATGAGTTTTGGGATTTGGGATAATTCGGGGTGAATACGGCACACTACTTCCTTTCAGCAGAGGGTAACACTTGTTGTTCGTGCTCGTAAGGTGTGTTTTGTGTGTTCTTTTGCGTACCGGCGTCATTATTGCCACTTCTTCACCGACGGAAGAAGGGAACGCCAGAATTAACTTCTTCCCATATAACTGTTGTTTCCGTTCCATGCGTGTTTCATTTTATTTATTTTTGAGTTGGTTTATTAAATTTGCTTACATCCTGTTTTAAAAGAATTAACATTTTTCTGCGCTTTTGCTGATTGAAGAAATCAAATTTGCTAAAAACAATATGTACATAAATTTATTTTATAATTTAATGCTGTTCATTGCCAATTAAATTGTTTTAAGGTGTAATGTTCAATCTGTAAAAAACTTTTAATTTAAGCATGTATTTTGTAAAATTTTCTAGAAATGGACGTGGTTCAGGTAAACCCTGTTCCGGAAGAAACAGCTCCCGAAAAAGAGGAGCTGAGCAAAGATCAACCTGTCGAAGTACCTGCTGAACAACCGAACCCTGAGACAGCCCCAGAGACGGAGTTTACTCCCCAAGAAGAGTCTTCTGTAAAAGTGGAAAAATTTGAAGTTCCTTGCGAAAATGGAACCGACTCATCAAACGGCAGCACAAGCAATGGTTAGCAATTTTGAAACCTACAGGTTTTGCAGACATAAACAACAATTTTTTGCAGGCGTTGCAGAGGAGAAAATGGATGAGCATGCGAATATTGAAAAAACTGAAGAGAAAGACTGTCCAACGACAAACAACGAGAGCTCTGGGGAGACAGTTGATCTAACTATGAAGTGTGTTATCTGCAATACGTCCATGACGAAAGCAGACAGACCACTGCTTTTGGAATGTCTTCATTCTGCCTGCAGTGGCTGCATTGACACGAAACTCTCAGAAAAGAGCAATCAAGAAATTATAGGTTTGTTTAATATAGATGTTAAAAAAGAACTTGAAATATCAAATTATTACTTTCAGATAATGGAATATTGTGTGCCCACTGCAACATATCCACGATTCAGAGTAAATTGATTGAAGATCGATTTATTATTGAGCAAGACAAGACTAGCACAGCTAACGAGAGTGAGAAAGATGAATTTTGTACAAGTTGTGAGGAAAACATAGCAGCTACAAGCTACTGCCAGGACTGCAGCGAATTTTTGTGTGATGGTTGTGTGCAAGCGCATCGAAGAGTGAAAGTGACTAAAGATCACACAATCGTTGACAAAAATCAAGCAGCTGAAATGCAGAAAAGCAGTAACCAGACTCAAGCAGCTGAACTCCACTGCCCCATTCATCCTGTTGTGAGCAGATTTTAATTTAATTAATATGTGCAAAATTAATTTTGGTACTTCATTTTTAGGAAACTCTCTCCCTCTTCTGTGAGATGTGTGACCAACTAACATGCAGGGATTGCCAGCTTCTCTCTCACCGAAATCATAGCTTTAAATTTGTGAATGAAATTGCGTCGGAGGCAAGAAGATCATTGATGGACTTACTCTCAGAAGTCAAGTATGAATAATATATTATTGAGGTATGATTTGCAGTTCTAATGATTTTGTTATCAATACAGATATAAACGAACCTTGCTTGAGAGTGCTGTCACAGTAATTGACGGGCGTAGCAAAGCGATTGTTTCCAAAAAGGATCAACTTCTTACAGATATAACCAACGTCATTGTGCAGTAAATTTAAATTTTTAATTTCAAGTTGAACATTATTCAAATTCAAATTATTTTAGGCTCACCAATGTCATCAACAAACGTTGCAAGAAAATTGTGCAGTGCCTAAACGAAGTGTGTGAAGAAAAACAAAGAACGTTGGAAGACAAGCGGGCAACACTTGAACAAATCACCAAACTGACGGACCATTGCATAACAGCTGTGTCGCACCAACTCGAAACCGGCTCCGACTTAGCGCTTCTATTTTCCAAGAAGTAATTTCTTTGTTACTCTGTTACTGATATCCTAATCCATTTTTAAATGTCTCAGGACCATAGTTGGCCATTTGAATCGAATCAAAAGTAGACGAGCAGATATTCCTAATCCTGACATTCCTGTTCGAATTCAGTTTGTTGTTAACAAAATTGAATCTGTTTGCAATGGTAAGTCAAATCAGTCTTAAAATTTTTTAAATGTATTTATTATAATATTGAATTCTAGTTCTTAACACCTTGGGAGGCATAATTGTAGACGGACGCTACATGACATGTGACAAATTAATCACAGCTGCTCAGGACAGCACCTCACCAGGTCCGCCTGCAGCTCCTCAGCCGCCACCGCCTCCACCTCACCGACAGCAGCCCATGCCTATTTTGCCTATGCAGCAGCAACAGCCGCAGCAGCACCATTCTCAACACCAATTCCAGCGTCAAGGTGCTCGAACCTTGCAGCAATCGGTAGTGCCACCTAATATGGTCATACACAACACTCAACCCCCATCGTGCCTCAACATGCCTTCCAGTGTCACCATTAGACCCGCTGGCAATCCGCATCAGGTAATTATTTCATATTTTCTGTTTATTCCAAAGTAAAAGTAGGTGAATAATTTTGGCTTGAAGGTCACTTCCTCCACTCATCCTGGACCCTTGAGAAATCTTCTGTCTCCTCCAATGGCGATGCCTAATATGCCCAGAGGTCGTTCCCCCATCACCATTAACTACAGACCCCAGTCAACAATGGCAATGAGCAGCCCCTTGTATAACCAAATCATGCCCCAACAGCAAACGGCGCTAATGCAAAAGAATCAAATTCTCCATCAGCACCTCCAACCTAAAGTAAGTCACCAGCAGCAACAACACCAGCAGCAGCAGCAGCAACAACACCAGCAGCAACAACAACACCAGCAGCAACAAATCCAACAGCAACAGCAGCAATATCAGTTGCAGCAACAATATCAGCAGCAAATGCAGCAAAAGCAGAGACAACAACAGCAGCAGCAACAGCAACTCTTAGTTCAACAGCAACTCCAGAAATTACCATCGAGCATAACGATAAATCAGCCGGGCGGAATGACCATGTATAGTTTCAATAAGTATGGACATATTTTTATAAATTCATATTTCTCTTGTGTTTTAGAACTACTACGCCTCAAGTTTCTCAGCCCGACTGGGTTCTTCCTCCTGACCGGCACCAACAACAGCCAACCCCTCCACACACTCAACCCCCTAATGACAATTTCAAAATCACCCTGAGCAGCCAATGGATGAATCAAGGGGAGCAGGTTACCTCTTCGGGCAGCAGGTCCACTCCTTCACCTGCAAACTCGAGAAACTCGTTGGATGCAGGCGGACAGCTAGATTCCTTCTGTCAAGTAGTTTGTCACCAAAAACCGTAAATTGCACACAAGACTAATGCTTTTATTTCTAGAATTCAATGAAGGACCTCTTCAGCTATTTGGATTCAAACAAACAGTCCAGTAGCAAGGCAGGTTCCAGTGAAACTGCAGGGACTGTTGTTGACAGTTCGACTGGATCCCCTGGAATGAAGCAGACACCCCCTGTCGAAAGTAATCTATTCTCTGACTTGAAAGGGAGTAATATTGAATAAGATTTTAATTTCAGCTCCAGCAACAAATGATGCTCTGTCTACTGATACGGATATGTTCTCCAAGGACGATGCCGACCCTAATGATGACTGGTGTGCCGTCTGCATGGATGGTGGGGACCTTGTTTGCTGCGATCGGTGCCCGAAAGTTTTCCACACTTACTGCCACATCCCAAATTTGGGCTCCATTGATCAGTAAGTTTATTCTTTTTATTATTTAAAAAAAAAATTAATAATAAATTTTCCTTAATGCAGAATTCCAGATTCATGGCAATGTTTGCTATGTACAAACATTAACGACATCAAAAGACTTGCAAACAAAAACCCAGAAGGCGTTCTAACAACTGCAGAGATGAGACTGGCACAGCGGTGCTTGCTTGAACTCTACAGCCAAGTTGATATGAGCCAATCTTTCCGAGAGCCCGTCAATGCGGAAGTACATTTTTCAAACTCTAGATGATCTTGAATTAATTTAAACCCATATTGCAGCTGTTCCCTGATTACTTGGAGCGCATTCAGAGACCCATGTCTTTAGACGTCATTAAGAAAAATGTGGAACCTGGACATGAAGGCTGTTACAAATCGTACAGTCAGTTCATCACAGACGTTCGTCAAATTTTTAGGAATGCTTACCTTTACAATGAAGTAATCCCAAATTGTATTGCATAGGATTATTTTATTTTAATTTTTTGCTTATTATTATTATAGAAGGGGTCATCTGTTTATAACGCTGCCCAATCATTAGAGGCCGTGTTTGAGAAGCTCGTCCACTTATACACTCCCAAATACTCAAAGAGGTCTGCGGCAACGATGAGCAGCAATAGAAGAAGCCTGGATGCAGAAGACGAAGAACCGGCAAAGAAATTGCGCAAATCAGTCTCACCTCAATTCTGATTAGAAACAAACTTGCCCAGTGCAGTGGACACTTCAAGTTGATTTTAATTTAATTCATCTTGCAATTTGAAGTAAAACAAAATATTTAAATGCAACTACTCTCACAAAAGTGCCGGAATCATGTTATTAATACAAATAAATTCTTAATACTATGTAAGAGTGCAAGTTAGGCTGTGTGAAAATGGGTGGCTGAATCGAGTGAATGTGTGAGCTTAATTGTTAAAAAAAGGAGCTACCACTATCATTGAAACGCTTTTGCAAATATGTGAACAACTCAATATTATGCTTCCGTATTTTTCCAAGAATATAATATGAACGATTATAATTATAAGCTCGTGTAAAGCTCACGATTTTTTTTTTTTAGTTTTAAAGGAGTTTGAACTTTTGGCATTGTTTTTTAGTTTAAATAAAAATTAATTTTAAAATAAAATTTATTAAAAAATGTGCATTTTTTATTGAATTGAAAAAAAATACAATATTATTGTACTGTTTTTTTTTAATTATATTAAAATTAAAACTGAAATTTGCAAAATGTAATAATGTCGCCAAAAATCAACCACACCTACCACCTCGCGCAAGGAGACTTCGCGTTCGCAATACATTCGACGTTGTGTGTAGACTGTGTAGAGAAGAGGGAGGCTAATTTTTTGTGACGTCACAATCACATGATAGAGATTTCTTGCAGTTCCCAACAGCTCGGCTTTGCATTGGACTTTTCTGAAATTTAGCTCTGCTCTTTGGAGATAATTACGTAAGTATGAGTTGGGTAAATAGTTAATTAGATTTTCCTTTTGGATCTGCTTAAACGGAGTAAAATAGAACGATATCAAGCATCACAAAAGCCGTCTTTCTGGCTTTTTAGTCCGTGATTAGCAATTTGTTTTGAACGAGACGCCATTTAATTTCCTCGTCTTTCCAATTCTTTCTCGTTCCTTTCAAGGCGATTAGCAACTTTAAATCTTTCCGTTACAAAGTTCGTTAGAATATTTGAGTCTTTCCTGATGAACTTATTCTAATACGCAGTTGTGGAAGGGTCGCTGCACGCCACCAAAGTATTTTTTTGGTGCAGTTTAGACCTTTTTTAGAGGCCGAGTGCATAATAGAAAATGCTCCCCTTCAAATCTTTATCTTCATAAGTAAAGATCTGTCTGCGTTCTGTTTGTTTTGCGCACGGTATATTCGATCATTTCTGATCTCCATCTTTTTGTACACATTCTCTCCAGCGTTCGTGCCACAAACGTGTCCAGCCAAAAGATCAAGCTCCAAAATGTTTCGAGCTGGAGTTCCTATCTTGTTGCTCCTGCTTGTGTCGCCAATTTGTAAGTTTTTTTTTACCAAGAATGTTTTTCTACATTTAGTATACAAAATTAAGTATACAAGAATATCAACATTTAACCATATGCAATTAAATTCAATTTTACATTTTACTACAAAAAAATTTATTTTCAAGACTGTGCGATATCAGATCCTCTACCATTTACAACAACAACTGATGCGCCAGAGACAACAACGAATCCCGCACCCACGACGACAACACCCTCAACCACAACCCCTGCAACTACGACCTCTGCGACCACCACAACAACAAGCACCGCCGCACCTCCTACTCCAATTCCAGTTCCTCCAGAAATTGGCAACTGGAATGTCACTGATAAAAACAATATCACCTGTCTGATGATCCAGGCTACAATTAAGATGTCCATCGAATATACAAAGACGGATAACAAGGTTATTAAACTGTTAAAAAGGCAGTATTCAAACCGGGTCATAATTATATTTATTTACATTTCTCATTTCCTTTTTTAAAATTGACACTTTACCACCACTTGCATTTTGATGTGGTTGTATGAATCATCGTTGCTGCCGTTGAACTCATGACCAATTGTCAGCGCAAAATGAAACTGCCGTCACCCCTAGTCACTTGCTTTGCTAATAACTTTTCTCACAATCATTAAACATTTTTTTCCCATTTTTAAAAACCTAATCTAAAAATTGTATATTATAGTAATAAGTATGCTCAAAATTTCAGACCGGAAGCGTGGATCTTGTTGTCCCCATCAACAGTGTTGCGAGTGGAACATGCGACAACGAAACGCAGAGCATTTCCATCTCGTGGGCCCCAGTGGGTCTTCCAGCTGGCCAGATGGATAAGATCGACATTGTTTTCACCTTGAACACCACCACCAAGTCGTACCATGTTACGAAACTGACCGCCAGCGTTTACCCAACTAACTTCCCTGGTGCTGCTGGTGAGTCAAAATTAAAAAAAAAAAAAAAAAAATTGCAAAAATTACGAAGAAAAAAATAATTAATTTCAGGAAAAGATGTTATTACCCTGGAATCAAAAACCATTCAAACCCAGATCCCACCCATTCCCCTGGCCATGTCTTACCGTTGCACGAAGGTGGAGTCATTCAACCTGACTGGAAACTCGACCCTGGAAATCACCCAGTTGCAACTCCAGGCCTTCCACGCTGCCACAGACAACAAGTTTGGAGCTGGTAAAATTGATTTAAAATTATCTTAAGTCGTTAAGTCATTTGTAATTTTCAGCAAGCGACTGTGAGGCTGCTGATTCTGCGGACATTGTGCCCATTGTGGTCGGTTGCGCCCTCGCTGCTCTGGTGGTGATTGTGCTGATTGCGTATCTTGTTGGCAGGCGTCGCTCGCGCCAGAGCGGTTATCTGTCTATGTAAATGACTAGCAGAATCCACTGCACGCCTTGATCAATCAATCGTTGCCACTCTCAGTCACAAGACATGAAATTTCTTAGCAATAGTAGATACAGAGAAAAAATTTATTCTATATTTTATGGGGAAAATGGAATGTTTCGAATGCTGCAAAAGACACAAAATTTGTAGAATGTGGCGTGCAGAGGAATGATGTGATACAAGTGGGGGTACAATTATTAGAATGGGTTTTGTAGCGAATTCCATTTTTGATTGACTGAATATCTTTTTCAGTGGAATGATTGGTGCCACTTTTAAAAGCTAGTGCGAACTGAATAATGTTAAGCTTGCCCACACCAAATTTTAGTTGCAATATTGTGAAAGATTCCATTGTTTATGTTGGGTCTGAAAGTCAATAAAGGACATTTTGCAGATTTGTCTTGTTTTCTTCAAATTTTGTGTTTTGTGTATTTGTTCAAGTCTAGGCTAGGGTCGAAAATTTATAAAGGTACAGATAGATAGTCCCTGCTTCCAGAATCCTGCGACCAAAAGCCCCCTATTAAAGAGTAATTCATCTCATTGAGTTCAACTTTGCTCCAATGCATCATGTTGTAATAATTATAATATGTTTGAAAATGTATTTTCTTTTCTAAATTTCTGGCATCATAGTGGTGTAGCGTGATTTATTTTATTCAATCCTTTTTTTAAGAATTTTGCATGCAAAAAAAAATAATGCAACTTTCCTAATTAATTCCGTCAAGTTATTTAAGATAAGAAATCAAAGATTAATGTCTTGTTTTTAAGCTGACTGGTATCTTTAACTATAAATCCTCAATATCAGCCTTTTTTGTTGTTAAAAACCATGATGAGAAATTTTTCTGTGAATTATTCATTTAGTATTTATCAGTATTTATGCATAAAAACATGTGAACCAATTAAAATAAACACTTTTTTTGTATCAGAGAACGTTTTTTTTCTTGCTTCTAAAAACAAAAAATACAAATGATCTAAGAAATAAAATTCTGGTCTACTGAAATATAATAAAATAATAATGACTTTCACTGTTAAACTGATAAGAACTACAGTGACATAAATGTTGTAAGCAAAATTAGCACAGCTAAATGCAATTAGAGGCACTCCTACATCAGTGCTTAGGATAGATGCAATAAATATAAAATTTAGCGATTGCGGACAGCACATCACCTTTTTTTATTAAGGTAACTTGCGCCATAAAACAGAGATGGTGAGCTCTCAATCATTTGGAACACACAGGATTAATTATTACTTAGCTTAAATACTTAACAAGCTTGCACGTACCTGCAACGCATTTTCTTTTAGCTTAGCAATGAACAATGAACCGTTTGAAATTTTACACAGCAATTCACTCAAGAGAATGAGATTACCAGACATTTGATGATTGGCATCACATCAACAAATTGATAACAAAATAATTTACACTCTTTAGTGCACACCGATCAAACTCATGCACACTCATGGTCCACAGTCAGATCGTAAATTTGAGTACTTTCAGGTGAATCATCTTATTGACTTAATCCAGACCCTTCGATTTCCTCTTGATTCGCGCATATGGACCAATATCAGGGTCCATGATGAAGTCGTACAAAACTGCTGTCCAGGAATGGTGCTGCGGCAGATTGTCGTAATACTCGGCTGCGATTTTCTTCACCTGCATTCAAAATTAATATCTTAATTAAGTAAAAGACTGGAAATTTTATTATCTAAATAAACACCTCTGGTAATCTAGAGCCTGGAACAGCTGGGAAGTCGTGGTGCTCATTATGATAACCAACGTTGAAAGTAATAAAGTTTAGAGGCCCGTAATAAGAGTAAGTCTCATAGCCTTTCCTGAACATGTAGTGTTCAGAAATGAAGTGACCAGCAACAGGGTGCAACCCCATGGCGAGCAGTGAACCTACACCAAGGTAGGTCAAAGCTTTCCCACCTTAAAAAATCAAAATTTTAGCAACAATTGTTATACTTTATCAAATTAATTTTTCCCTTAAAAATGTGTTTAAAATTTACTTACCAACATATTGGTATACTAAGAAGTTGAAAATCATTTGGATGATAACGTTGATGACTTCGAGTTTGGAAGGTGTCTTGGGGTAGGTCACTAGCGGGCGGAATGCATAAAACAATGGCTGCAGACACACCCAGCAGAACTTGCCAAATGTATTGCAGAAAAGCCGCGCTTCCAGGTATGTGGGGATGTCGGTGTCTTTGATCTCGTCACCCTGGTAACGGTGGTGCTCAAGGTGGTAGATTTTAAAACTCACAGAAAATGGCAGGACTATGGGCAAATTGACGAAAATGCCAAACCACCTGTTCAGCAATGGTTGGCCGTGGCCAAATGCCTGGTTGTGGGCAATTTCATGGACGGCTGGAAAATTGTTCCAAAAATTAATTTTACAATGTTGAAACACTCTACGTGAGGTACAAAACACATGCCAGTGATTAAGGTCAAAGACGAAACAATTATACATACAATTTTAGAGCAGGATATGTTTCAGTACAAAATGATGCTTGATGTAACATTATTTATGCAATGCAATAACCTTTAAAATGCTTATTAATTTTTTTTTAATTGCATTCCTTGATTTCTTTATAGACTTCAAATTTTCCTACCATGCTTCTATTTACAGAGCAAGCAATAAAGTGGGGATCTGGGTGCGATTAATTATCAAAAAAATTTCATTCCAATAAATGATGCTGAACAAGGTGGAAAGAAACTTGGAAGTTCGTCACCAGAAAAAATAGAAGACAGCTCTTGAAAGTTAGCACAATATTTGTAGCCAACCTGTACAGTACATTCAAATTCAGAGCCAACAATTAAGAACTTCGGTTCTTTCAGAGATAAAATTAATCAAGTTATCAAGGTCTAATTCAAATGGCTGATATCCAATTAGTCCGGACAAAAATTATTGATTTGCAACTACGTCTTTGCAGGACAAGTTTTTATTTTAGCTGACAAAAGAGACATCTTCAAAGCGCAAAAATGGAAGGAACGCAAAAAAAAAATACTCATACCGAGCATGAGAGAGTGGTTGATGACTCCGCCTATGCAGTAGGAAGCGAGGATTAGCATCGGCCACGAAAAATCTTTGACTACCATCAGGAGCACAGCCTGCAGGGCCATCATGCCCAATGCAACCCATTTGAAGTTTGGGTCATGCCCGAAGAGCTTCTTAATCTGCGGATATTTGGCTGGAAATGAAAGAGAACATAAAAAAATTAGATTAGATTTTCATATATTAAGAATCACGATTAATTTTCCCAATTTTCTTCAATTGGATGGTCTGTTTCTATGAGTATTTACTCATTAAAAAAAAATGCTTTCTTTTGGAGATAGCAATGTAGGAATACTATTCTGTATGACTTGAGATATTAAAGAAGTAGTAAAATTAAGAAATAATTTATATATAATTTCATTTAAATAAGAAATTTTAAAATTCCATATCACCAGGGTACTACTGGAGCATTCAATGATCTGATTGTGACATTATTCACTAAGGAATTATCTGATTGGGGTTTTTCCGAACCACAGTAACAACTAAAATTAATTAATTAATCATTAACTAAGTTTAAAATCAAAATTCACTGCTGTGTGCTAATGAGCATGAGAGCATGATTTTCAAAATGATTATTGATTAAAATTCCAAAGCAGCCAAATATTGATTTAAAAAAATTCAAATTTAGATTATTTCATGCGACTTATCTTGTTCAAAATTACCTAATACCAATTAATAGCTGAAGCATAGCTTAAAATTAATTAATTAATTTTTTTTTAATTTTACGCAAGTTTCAGATTTGCGTTACATTTTAAAAAGACAAATGACAGCGCCGATGTAAAATGATGATTATCCAAGCATAATTCAAATTAACAGAGGTAAATTTCTGGACTTAAAATTAAGCAGAAAATTATTTTTTATCTTACTTAGATACATTTTTAGTATGTTATTTGTCACTCAATTTTGTATTTGTGTGTATTTTTTTTATAATTCTACTTGTTCCTAAATATAATATATAATTCTATTTCAAAATAAAAGAGCAACAACACCGTTCGCCAAAAATGATAACTCCGTGAATATTATAAAAGGCACGTGATTTTTAGTATCAGCAAAATGTAATAAAATCTAATCTCAATTGCTGGTGGTTCGGCCTACACCTTTAGACTTTTCCTTACGTCTCCAGTCTCCAACCTCAAAAGCTGATAAGAAAGCGTGGTGCGTTTATAAGATGCACATACGTGACTACAAGAGGCGTGAATATTTTTTCAAAGGGGAAAGGATGTCACATAATTTTTGTGTCGTCTATAACTCATCCGTGTATTTAGATTATTCTTATCTGTTGGAATACCCTCATGATTCAAGCCCACCTGTTTAGACAGACCATGCACGTGATTTTGTCGATAGACCTGTTCGTCAATACTTTTTACTAAAATTTCATATACAAAAACCAAACCCTTCCCAAACAGGAAGAAGTTCCGTCACTCATTTGAGACAAAGGCTATGAATAAAAAAATACATATTTTTTTTAAATAATTATGTATGTGGCAATTTTTGACGTTCCAATTCACGATCGATCCTCTTTAATTTTTCATTTCAGTAAATTTTGATAAAATCATTATGGAAGTCAGCTGACGCCTGTTACATAATGATTGAGAACCGCTACTTTTCGTTGCATGAATTTATATATGTACCTAGAATTTCCTTTCGCCGGCTTGCGTGCGGTTCTTCCGTGTAGCTCCACTCAAAGTCGGTCCTGGTCACGTGCTGTCCCATCCTAAATCGCCACGAACCCTTTTGCTAGGGTTCTGACGGGTTGTCCTGCTGGTGCTGAAGATCCGGAAACCAGTCCTTTCAAGTTCGGTCTCGTTCTGGACTAGAATGCCGACAACCAATCGAGACACCAAAGCACCAAAGCGCCCTGCCAGCCGTCCTTTCCTTCCTTCACTGAAAGGCAACGCCCTCCTCCTACCTACTTCGTTGACCACCGCGAAGCCTCTAGCAACTGCGCGAGGCGCGAGCCAGGATGACAGCGCCGGTGCACATACGAATTGCGAGGGGAGGTTATTGTCTTGCGTGATTTGGTGATGGTGCGATATTGGTGCATGGCATGTTTTGAACCTATTGATTACTAGGCGAAGATATTGTGTGCACAAAATCTGTAACGGTACCACAAACCGCAAAGTCGCTCCCCTCAACCCGAAAAACGACAGCGAACAACAGGTTCGCGACTTGACAATTTTTTTGCCGGTAGGGGGAGAAGATGAAAGTGGAGTGCAACGAAAGGAGACTAATATTTTTAAACAAGAGGGTTGGTAATGCGACGTAATTAGTGTTTTATTTGTTAAATATAGGATTAAAAACATTGATTTTATTTTTCCCTACAACTTTTTTTGCCATAATAATTGATATCTACCCAAGTAAAGGTTTAGAATTTCTTCAAAATCCATCTACCTCCATGAAACCCTACGCCATTTCCCTCCTTCCATATTGCTGAAATAGATTTTGAAGTAGAGACCGGTTTTCGCAGGGGAAATAATTCGTTTTCTTTTCTCTGGTCATCTGATTTGATCAGGAGGGTTTTAAATAATTCAGCAAAATTACTGTTTTGGCTACCGTGTTGTACACAAGCAGATTAAGACTCTATTCTGCATTCCAACGTCAACTACAGGTTGCAGGTAAAATTACTTAATTTCCCAATAAAAGTTTTAAAAATGTTCAGTGAATCAAAAAGAAAAACAAAGCTGCTGCTTTAACACGTCTCAGTAGCTGTCTTCGTTGCACTTATTATTTTTATTTCGCCCGACTAGAGTTGTAAAACAAAAGTGTGACTATCATTTTCCTTGATCAGCTTAAACCCACCACCTCATTTAAATTTTTAGGTTTGGGTCATAGGCGTCCTAGGGCCCGTAGCAACATGGCATCTCCAAGTGAAACTGTGGATAGCGATTTTCCAGTCTGGGGACTCCTTCCAAAAAAGGAAACAGGCGTTTCAGCCTTTCTCAACAAATACCCTGAGTACGACGGGAGGGGCACTGTTATTGCAATTTTTGATTCGGGAGTCGATCCAGGAGCAGACGGACTCCAGGTACTTACATAATACTTTCCCCAAAGGGCCTCCAGTATTATAGCTAATTTTGCTCTCAGGTCACAAGTGATGGAAAGCCAAAGGTCATCGAAAGAGTCGACTGCAGTGGCGCCGGAGATGTGGACACATCCTCTGTTGTTGAGGTCAAGGATGGAGCCATCACTGGTCTGACAGGTCGCAAGCTGAGAATCCCCAAGGATTGGAAGAATCCCAGTGGAAAATATCATGTAGGCGTTAAGAATGCTTTTGAACTGTACCCGTCAAAGTTGAGGGAACGAATTGAGAAAGAGCGCAAGGAACGGCTGTGGGAACCAGGGCACAAAAAGGCGCAGGCAGATGCTGCGAGGAAGCTGCAAGAATTTGAAACAAAATATCCGCAACCTACTGGTGCCGAGAAATTGATTAAAGAAGACCTGGAGAACCAGATAGAGCTCTTGGCCTCTATGGAAAAGAAATATTATGATCCAGGGCCAGCTTATGACTGTGTCGTTTTTTATGATGGAGATATGTGGAGGTTCGTAATTATTATTTAAATTGTCAAAGTCCTCTAAAATTTTAGTTTTAATTCTCAGAGCGTGTATTGACACAACAGAAGAGGGAGATTTAGAGAAATGCATCGTCATGGGCCCCTTTAGGAAAACAAGAGACTTTGCACCTCTAACTAAATCAGACCAGCTGCACTACAGTGTAAACTTTCATGATGATGGGAACACTTTAGAAATTGTTTCTATGTGCTGTAAGGGTTTATTTTTAATGAATTTTATGATTCTAATTTCTTACTGCAGCAAGCCATGGAACTCATGTTGCTTCAATTGCGGCTGCTTATTGTCCCGACAGCCCAGAGAAAAATGGAATTGCCCCCGGAGCACAAGTTGTTTCCTTCACCATTGGTAAAAATTTATAATTATTTGTAAATTTCTCTAATTTTTTTTATTGCAGGCGACAACCGTTTGGGGTCAATGGAAACTGGAACTGCTTTGGTGAGAGCTATGACGAGAATCATGAGCAAAGAGGAGTCTCTGGACGATGATGGTTGGAATGGTCACATCGACGTCATTAATATGAGTTATGGAGAACATGCGCACTGGTCGAATTCAGGGTGTGTAATTCATTAATTACACTAGGAATGATTTTGCTAATTTTTTAACCATATTATAGACGTATTGGAGAGTTGATGAATGAAGTAATCAATAACTACGGAGTGATTTGGATTGCCTCTGCTGGCAATCATGGCCCTGCTCTTTGTACCATTGGCACTCCTCCTGATATAAGCACCAATGCTGTGATAGGAGTCGGAGCTTACGTCTCTCCAGACATGATGGCAGCTGAGTATTCTTTGCGGAAAAAGCTTCCTGGCACTCCTTATACTTGGACATCTCGAGGTCCCACAATCGATGGGGACTTTGGCGTCAGCATTTGCGCCCCAGGTGGAGCAATTGCCTCAGTGCCTGCTTTCACTCTTAGAGGCACTCAGCTGATGAATGGCACTAGTATGGCTGCCCCTCATGTTTGTGGAGCCATCGGTAAGTTACAATAATATTTTTGTAGATACCATACATAAAATTAAACATTCCAGCTGTTCTTCTCTCTGGAATGAAGAGCCTTTCACTTCCATACTCTCCCTATAGCGTGAAAAGAGCAATTGAAAGCACAGCCCAGTTTATGGAAGACCTGGACGTATTTGCTCAGGGACACGGACTTTTGCAAGTCGAGAGGGCGTTTGCTCACCTTTGCAAATACTCTAATGCTTGCGAAAGAGATGTACGCTTTCATGTCACATGCGGAACCTCCAGCAAGGGAATCCACATGCGTGGAGGTCTGCAAGACAAGGCAAAAGAGCACAGCATTACGGTGGAGCCATTCTTCCTGAAAAACGATTATGCTGGTAATATTTATAATTTTATTATATTGCATCTATTGTTACGACGATAATTTTATTTTTAGATCCAAAGCCCAAAATTGATTTCAATGTTCGCTTTGCCTTGACATGCTCAGCACCTTGGGTAGAGTATCCAAACCATTTGGATATGATGTATATGGCAAGGCCTTTTGCCATAAAAGTTGACCCGACTGCCTTGGAAACTGGAGCGCATTTTACAAGGTATTGTAATTATATGTTTTTTGTTTCAATATTCACCTAAGCAAAAAATTTATTCAGCATCAAAGCATTCGATGTCGCTTGTGTAGAAAAAGGACCTGTTTTTGAAGTTCCTATCACTGTCGTCAAGCCAGCAAGTGTTGAGAGAAATGAACTGCCCGACATGGTGTTCAAAGACGTCCACTTTAAGCCTGGAACTATAAAGCGCCACTTTGTACAAGTGCCTGAGGATGCCACCTGGGCAGGTACATATAAATGATTAATTTATAATATTAAGCACTTTTTAGCCTAAAAATATTATAGTCCTCCGCCTGAAAGCACGAAAAGACACCAAGAATAGTCGTTTTGTCCTCCACTGTGTGCAGCTACGTCCTCAGTTAGTGTGCAAAACTCAGGAATTCCACAAGATGGTCAGCATTAGCCAACAATCTGAAGCAGTTCACGGGTTTCCTGTCAAAGGTGGCATAGTTCTGGAAGCCGTTGTGGCCAAATGGTGGGCTAGCTTGGGAGATGTCTCCATCGACTACTCATTATCCTTCCACGGACTTAAGCCAGAATCACCATCAGTCACTATGCATGGAGCTGACGGCATCCTTCATTTGGAAGTGAAGAGCGGACTGCGGCACGAAGAATTGGCGCCAGTCATTTCTTTGAAAACTCAGGTACAAGTTTTGCGACCTAATGACTCAAAGGTCTGTGCTCTTGGCTCAAGAGATGTGATCCCCCCGGAACGGCAAATTTATGAATTGCAGTTGTCATATTCTTTCCATATTAACAAAGCAACAGAAATCTCCCCTAATAGGTAAAGACTAAAATATATTGATGTACATAATTATTATTAATTCCTATTACTTCAGTGCTTTGCTAAGTGACTTGCTCTATGAGTCTGAATATGAATCGCAGCTGTGGATGCTATTTGACAGTAACAAACAGCTAATTGCTGCTGGAGATGCATATCCTTGCAAAGTATTTGCAACAAATTATTTTATTTTTATTTTTTCAACAAGAAATTTTTTAGTATTTGGTCAAAGTGGAAAAGGGTGACTTCATCTTGAAAATGCATGTTCGTCATGAACGTCGAGAGCTCCTTGACAGACTCTCTGACCTTACCCTTTTGCTAGCCCAGAAACTTCCGTCCACTTTAACCCTGGATGTCTACACCAGCCACTCTCAAGCTTTAGTTGCTGGAAAGAAAGCCCAGCCAGTCAGCTTGGCTCCTGGTTCCACCCAGCCAATTTACATCACCCCCCTGCCTAATGAGAAGTAAGTATATCAAGGTGTTCATTGCTCAAACTTGTACTTAACAATCAAGGTGGCAGATATATGCTTTCGTATCTCAAGACACGTGATTTATCACCTTAAGTTTTTCTCATGTGCTAATTTATTTTTCAACTTGTGGCTGGAGCAATCATAGAAAAAGACCCGACAGCATGTGGTACGTTTCCGAGTATTGCTTTCTATGCATGACTCTGGCATGACTCTTCCACTATAATCAATCACTCGATATATAATGCTATCAATGTGTAAATAACTGGGCTTCTGCATAAATTGTTGTATTTCATAGAGAAGCTCAAAAGTAATACACATTTAAAATTGATTAGACGAAATCTTTCTTGAAACAGTTCATCATAACATTAATGCAATAATTATGTATGGGAAATGTAACATTATAGAATAATTATGTTTTTTAATGAATCAAATATTTCAGGAGCCTGAAGGGAGCAACAATGGGACAGTATCTTTCAGGCACAATATCTTTGGCAAAAGACGAAATTGGCAAGAAAGTTGTAAGTTTTCTGAAAGCATGTTTTCATAGATGCGTATTTATTGTGATATTTTTAGGATTTGTACAGCTTCCGGTATATTTTGCCTCCAGAACCACCCAAGAAACAGAGCAACAATGGCAGTAAAGTAGCGGCAGCTGCTGCCGCTGCTGCTGCTACTTGCTCGTCCAGCTCAGCAGAAAGCAAAGAGGGCTCAAAGGAAAAAGAGCGTAGCAAAGCGGACGAGTTCAACGAAGCTCTGCGAGATATGCAAATCAGCTGGCTTTCAAAAATTGGTACATCTCATATAATCTGGTAAACGATTAAAAAAAAGGATAATTTTTTTGACAGGTCTTCGAGGTGCTAACATGGAGCTAAACAATACGATTTTTGCAAAGCTCAATGCCGACTTCCCTGATCATTTGCCGCTTCTGCTAGCTCGCCTTCAATCTCTGAGTGATTTCTTTGGAGAACCAAACAGCACCGAGCTGCTTTTTTCACATCCTCACCTAACGGTTGAAGCACTGGCGCTCGCCAACCAGATAATCAGTTTAGTAAATCAAGAAAAGCTACTTGCATTTTTTGGCCTGAAAAATGACTCTAGACCAGATTCTGCTAAAATTAAAACGTTAGTCGCTTTTAATACATTTTTTTTTGTGTGTGGGTTAATTAAATTTTTGAACAGCCAAATGGAAAAACAGAAAGCTGCCTTAATTGATGCCTTGGTGCGAAAAGGTTCTATTCTTTCTGAACTCCACTTGGCAGCCCAGCGAGGCTTGGATCCTGTTGAAGTAGTGCAAGAGGGGGTGGAAATTGTTCTTCCTTCGCCGACCCCTGCAGAAATAGATGCCATCATGAAAGACATTCTCAAGTTTGCAGACTACAGTGACAGCAAGGTATGTGCTCGAAAATTATTTTTAATCGTTAAAGAATCTCCAATTTCAACTTTAGGTGATTCCATTCTCAATTCAACATGCCCTTGTCAATGAACACTATGGAAGAGCTTTAAAGTTGACACAGAAGCAGCAGGAGGAGAAGCAAAGCCGGGACTTGGATGTCAAGTGCTTGCAATACCTGCAGAACTTAGGATGGGAACACGCAGCGCACCACCTGGAAGCAGGTTTGCCTGTCCGCTACCCTGCCACATACCATCCTTTCTAAAGCATTGGGTGCTTCTACACTACATGTTATGTGAAAACTCCAGGATCATTGTGACTGAACCGGAAGTGACTGAATCAGCCACTTTCATTGTATTGAGCACAGGACAGTTTGATTGAAACTTTATAAATTAACCTTTAAACCTATTAAAATGGATCAAGTTAAAGCAATTTTAATTTTATTTTGTGGATTTTCAATAAGACACTTGTGGTCAAGATCATGATACTCTTTATTTACAAGTTCTACTCATTATTTAATCGGCTGATTATCAGTTTTTTAATGATTATGAATTATGACAAATACAGATGCATTTCACTAAATATAATTTGAATGATTATGATACAATTATTACAGGAACACCACATAACTCCATATTAATTGAAAATACAAAATGATAGAAAATGGCTGTTGTCATGTAAACGAGAGGAAAATATTAATTGAATGACTAGAGATCATGCCTGCAAAGTGTAGCAAAAATACTGAGATTTACAGATTTTGCAACTATTGGAATGGTGGAAGTAGATTTATGCATCTTTATTCCAAAAAAATGCATCATATGCCGAGTTTTTACACTTCAGAGAACACCCTGAATCTTGGAACATAAGCATAGTAATATTAAATTATGTTGAAACTTGAAAATTAGTAGAAGCTTGCTGTAATTTCTTATGAAATAATTTGCACTACCCTCAAGCCAGCCTCGTATTTTTTTAAGATTAACGAAGACTCAATATTGCAATATCAACACATCAAAAAATCTTTCTGCTTTGTAAGCTAGTTTCATTCTCCAATCTAATGCTCCGTGATCAATGAATGCCATTTACCACTGTGCCAGAATTGACATTTCGCGTGTCTGAAAGGAATAATACTACATCCTTAAAATTTAAAAGGTCACACCTTGAAAATTTAATTTAAAATGTAAAAATAAATTGGCCACTTATTGATTAAAAAGTAGATTAAGAAAGGTCTATAATTCAAAAGAAATTTAATTTCAGCCACAGTTGTTAACTGGTGGCCTGATAAAAAAAATCAACAAGCTCCAATCCACCAGTGAATCAGCTGAACTTGGCAATAATTGCTTAAGGTAAACTGACAACATGATAATGGGCAGCATTTGATTTGCTGCCGTTAAAGTACATCAGGTCACACATCCACGTCCACATCACTGTCCTCAGTCTCGGAATCTGAGTTTGACGGCGACTTTTCGTCACCAACTAACAAGGCTGCTGGCAGCACACTTGATACATTTTGCAAGTTCAAAGTGGATGAGGGAGCATAGACAAGTTGCGGGTGCACCCCTAAAATTTGCTGGCCTTGTAAATTTTTTGCCTCAAGGATGGTGGACGAGTGGCCAACACTGGTGGCCACTATTTGGTGCAGCTGTCGGCTAGGTGTGGTTGTTATCATCATACCACCACTGGTGTTGTGCAAGTGATGCGTCGTGGCCGTCAACTGTTGACCCACGCTCACCGTTGCACCAGTTGCAGCCTGGCCTGCCGTTTGCGTTGGTAGATGGATTTGTATTGAATGCAACTCTGGTATGTGGGGCCGGACCTGAGGAATTTGAAAAATCAGGTTAAAACAATTTGTGTAAATGAATGATAGACTTTTATATTTAGGTTTTAACAACTGAAATTACCTTTTTGCCCCCAGGGCGGTGAGGATTTCGACATCCCCGGCAGCGGCACTCTACGCAGGCCTTGGCCTCCACATAGCAAGGACACCTTTGACCACAACAGGTCAATTTTCCCGGCGTTGCTGTTGCATTTCCACACCGACAGCCCTTCTTTTTAGTTTTTGGCTTAGGCGATTTTACCTATAAAAATGAATGGGGCATTGAAATTTTAGAAAAAAAAATAGACAATTTGTATTACCGCATTGACTTGCTTGGGCTTCTTAAACTCATTCTCAACAACCTCGACTGGTGCTGCTGCTGTTGCTGCCACAGCCATTGACGTTTGAGGAACAGCTGCCGTTGCGGTCACCACAGGTTGCAAAACGGTAGTGGCCACGGTCGGAGTAGTTTGAAAAATTTGTTCTCCGCTTGCTTTCCTCTTGAAGGTGATTTTGTTTCCACTTGCGTACATTACCGAATACAAGGACTGGCCGTTGGACACTGTCTTGATGGGTGGTGGAGTTTCCACTTTTGTAGTCGTCACCGTCGAGGCAGCAGTGGTGACCGGTGACGTAGGGGGAACTGCCCCTGACGTCTGCGTTGAACTGCTTGTGTATACGCACGGCAAAATGCTGTAGGCTGACTTTGAAAGGCCAGCAGTACTTTTGTAGTCGTCCTAGAAAGAAATTTATATTTTAATTAAAAAAAAAAATTCAATCAACGAGATATTATTTTAGTAAATTGCACTCAAATTCATATTTTTAAACTTTCATTAAAATATTATTTTCTTGAAAATATACAAGGTTTAAAATAAGGTTCATTAAAACATCAAAAGATCAATAAATGGTTTTGAGCCACGATTAAAGATGACAAGCACGTCTATTTGTTCCAATGAAATTTATTTTTATTTCAGCATGCAGTGGGACTAGTCAGAATTTTTTTCTTATCATCTTCTTCAAGGAAAATAAGTTAGCATTTTTTATTAACAGTATTTTACTGTCTATTGTAAGTAAAGTTTCTTATCTTTCTTTTATAAGAATTTTTAATATTTTCCTTGTAATTATCCCAAAATAGTAATTAACAAAAGTAATATCAAAAGATCCCTCATTTAATTAAGTTAGGTTTAAAAATTAAAAAATTATATTTTTTAAAAATAAAATTGAACTCCAGTTTACCTTAAAGCCTGCACCCTCATTTATTAAATCAACTAAACTGCCTCCATTCGTGTTGACAGCAGAGGCAAGTTTTCTGTAAATTGCCGTACTTGTAATGTATTCGCAGAGTTTCTTGTAACACTGGAGTAAAATCCGCAGCTGCACATTTTCCACATATTTATCATAGTTTTTACACCAACTACACGAAGGCTTCAGTTTCTTTTTACCACCTTGACAACCCTGAAACAACATAAATGCAATATGAATTATTGTTTTATAAATCCCTCAAAAACCATGCTGGAAAAATTAATTAAAAATATTAAAATCTGATTAAAAAAAAGTATTAAAATTGTTATTTATATTTTTAGCAAAATACAGCTTAACTCTGCACTAAAATCATAATTAATGCTTAATAATCAACACGAAACGTGACTTAGCAAAATATTAGCCAATGCAAAGGCAATTAAAGGTATTTTAAAAAGCAACCTTTCACCCAAACATTACACAAATATAAACGTCCTTGAAAAACAACACTTTTGGTGGGAAATTTTGCACAATTATAGCATAGATTTGGCCACCGATTATGGGCATTCGGACCTTGCAAACGTGGTGCTGGCAATTGGTGTCGGTGGGTGTGAAGGGTTCGATGAGCAAGTTGCCGCAGACGGTGCAGGACAAACTCTGCCTGAGATAGGGCACCAGCCGGTACAGGTCTGTCCAGCTGGACGGATCTTCGCTGTCCGCCTGCAGAACCAATCGACATGTCGACACGTAGAGACTGGTCGAGTTCATTTCGCAGAAAACCCCAGTTTCAAATTCGCCGTTGATAACTCGCGTTTGAGCGACTCTGCATCCCTTAACGCAAAATTTACAAAGGGACAAAACCTGCTCTGGAGCAACGGCAGTAGTAAACAAAAGCCGCCATCTTTAAATTGTACAGTCTGAATCAAAGACACCGCCCTCATCCTGGGGCTCTTCTTGTTGTTATATAGGAAATCCTTTCAATTCATAATATTACTACGGATGCGAATTTTTTTTTTGTAAGTAAAACATGTCTTTAAATGATCAAATATGAAAGTTAATCACAAAATTTACATAAAAATTAAAAAAGGTAAAAAAAGCATATTTTCCCGCCCTTTAATCGCTAGCAGCAAGATCTGCCGGCGATTATTGGAAATAAAACAGCCTCACGAAAATTTAAATTTTCATCAATGAAGAGAATGGAATGGAGAGTGAAGTGAAGCTAATTATTAAGAGAAATTTTTCTCGTATCATATTTACGTGTATTTAATTATGGGTATTGGAAGTGTGGATTGGACAAACTAACCATTTTGTTGTCGGCATAGAAATTATTCTTATGGGGACTATGTTTTCTGTTGTCCAATCCACATTCTAATATCCACACTATATTTAATCGCGGTGTCGATTACAATTTTGTATTTAATTTTATGTCACAGCTATATACACAAAAGGAAAAATAACTCTGAAAGCCAGGGAAAATTTGCAGAATCCGCGTTTGTCAATAGTCAAAAAAATTACTATTACTTACAATTATAAATTTAAAACTTTTATCGGAGGTTTTAATTAATTTTTCCATAATGTTTTTTGAGATTTATAAAACAAATAATATTGCATAATGTCGTTTCAGGGTTGTCAAGGTGGTAAAAAGAAACTGAAGCCTTCGTTTAGTTGGTGACTTTGTGTAAAAACTATAATATGATTAAAATGTGGAAAATGTGCAGCTGCGGATTTTTCTCCATAAGTGTTACAAGAAACTCAGCGAGCCGGTGAAATGAGAGAGAAAAAATTAAGATCAATAAATTGTTTCAGATATTCAGAAGCTTGTACAGTAGTCAGTAGTGTCGGAACCTGTTGAGAGTTGAGCAGACTTGAGAATGCACTGACCACCCTCTCACCGACGACCTCCGGCGGCTCCGGCAAGTCCGGCATCTCCGCCGGGGAGAGCTGATTGCTGATTCGCTGCACTGCACTCTGTGTCTGTTACGACAAGTTGAGACAACGCCGAGGGTTGGCGTTGGTTCTTCCTTTCTCGTTTCTTCTTCGTTTTCTCCTTTCATTTTCCTGCTTTTGAATTGAATCAGAGGCTCTTAGGCCATAAACAAGACTTGGTTGGCGTCAGGTCGGGCGCTCTCGGCGTGCAAGAGCAGAGCGAAATTTTCGGAAATTTTCCCAGGGTTCTGATCTCTCAGATGAGAGCTGCAAGCGATTGAAGATGGAGGTGAGATTGTGATAACTTAATTTACATGCTTGCTGATTGTGGTGTGACAAAATGTAAGGAAAGGAACATAGTTCGAATTAGGCTCGAGCCGCTTTGCAAGTTTTTTTCAGGGAATGACATATTTTTACAGAAATCTACTTTCCAAACCGGTCTTTCGCAAAATTTAAATTCTCCATATAAAATTCCATTTTACTTTAAAAATGTACTTATGTATTCTTTATTTTAAAATAATCGCGATCCAGACATCATTGTTAATTATGTGATACATTTATGTATCCTTCTTTTTAGAATATGTTACAAAGGAATTACTCATTAAGTGATTGATTATGAAAAAATAAATTTGGTTGCATAATATTTTGTTATTCCCGTCCTATATATCAGATAATAAGCCATTTCGCGATCGCATAATTATTTTTGCTGTACATAGAAACAGTGCGAGTTTAAAACTTTGTTTTTTACTAATACAAAATAAAAAAATTTAGAATGAACATTAATTATTCACACATTGTAGGATGAATTCTTACAAATAAATTTATATTTTTTTTAACTTTTAGATGAGACAAGCTGAAAGTGTTTTTTATTCACGTCAAAAAAGCTTATTATAAAATATAATTACGTTTAATTGCTATGATCTTGATCTTCTTTTGTGATTAATGATGTCAATTTAAATGTTCCAGGCAATTGACGAAGATATTTTCAAGTGTGACATTTGCCATGTTGACTACAATCATTATTCTTATCGGCCGAAGCTTCTCTCCTGCCATCACAGCTATTGCCTGAAGTGCCTACGAATGCTTCAAGCTAAAGACATGACCATTATTTGCCTAGCCTGTCAAAAAGTCACCAAAATTGGACCGATTGGTAATTTAAAACTTAAAAATAATTCTTGAAAATTTCTTATTTTTATATTATGCTAATGTGTTCCTCAAATTTTATTTGGGCTGATGTTGGATCGAAAATAATTGTTTAATAAGTGTGCATTATGCAGAGGTATTTTGTTGGCACCACTGATAATATCCACAACCTCCGCAACAATTGTAAAATTAACTGCATCTTGAACGAGAGGTAACAGATGCCCCAGATTTATGTGGCTGCGTTTCTGTGATTGGCCAAAATTTGTTGTTATCCGTGAAAGTGCAGTCACTTTTTCGTGCCTGTAAATTTGTAAACGTCAGCAATACTGGAAAACTGCAGTCGCAGAGCTAAAATAAGCTTGTATATATATATCCGGATCAAGTGGGTGTGTATGTTTTTTTTTACAAATCTCGGTCCCTCTTTGTTTTATTTTCTTTGATTTTCATTTTATTAGTAGCTGATAATCTTTGATGACTATTTCGTTTTACAATACAGTCAATAAAATTTCATTATTATCAAAAGAGAGGTCTGTGGTTGAATAGTTGAAAGATGGAAAACGGTGGGTTATAACCAAATTCCGAGATATTTGACTTTTTTAAGTGGGAGCTAGACTTATAAGTCTGAATATATTCATTGCCGACTCAATATTTTTGATAATTCTGCATTAATTTGCGTTACAAACCTAATTTTGATTTATCCCAGGGGTCGTTGGATTGCTGGACAACACGTTTATTTTGGAGAGGTTAGAGGATGTGCCCGAGACGGAGGTTGTTCTGACTGATGACGAAGACGACATGGGCGACGGCAAGTCATCGCTCTCCAACGGCATCGGTGATTATAGCAATGCCAGAAGGTAAATTTTCACCATTATTTTTGAAAAATTGAATTGCAAAACCGTCCTTTGACAGAAATGTTAAGAAACCAGAGCTCTTCTGCCAGCTGTGCAACAAACCTTCCGTGCCCAACTGTTCCTACAGCCACAGCCACGAGCTGTGCAAGTATGACACTGCTGTTGAAAAACTTGAGAAAGAGCTCACTAAAGAAAAAAATGCGGCTCTTGTCTCAGCTGAAAAGGCTCTTAAAAGTGCAGAGCAGTTAAGTATATTAGCCATGGTGATGGATGACGCTTGGAATGCTCTAAGGATGCATCTTGACCACACTATTAAAGATTACAATGAGCAACAAAAAATAATCAGGTTCATATTTAATTTGTAGCGTATTTATTTTTACTAAAGATTCCTGATTTTTATAGTGATGCAAAATATTCAATGGAGTCCCAAATTGATGTTGTCCAAGTGGCAAAAGCTGGAAACATTTCATTGCTTCAAGATGCTATTGGCAAAGCTCGAGACCAAAATCAAGACATGGAGTTCAGAGCACGCACTTTTGATGATAAGGTTGCGCAGTGGCAAGTTTTCACCAACTGCACAGCGCAGATTAAACTGAATGAAATAAACCCTGCCTTTCCCATTGGAAACTTTGACATAAATCTGGATTTGCATGAACAAAACAACAGCCCGGAGTGTTTATGTCTTATGTATGCTATAAACCGCTTTGTGGAAAATCGTCTTCAGACCAAAAGGATGGACAATTTGTTGGGCGGTGTGAATGCCTTTGGATCAAACACAGTGCAGGCCATTTCTGCCAGTCTTCCCTCGGCAGCTGATCTAACTGTATTTCTAATCAATTTATAGTGAACTTTAGCTTGAAAATTGGAATGCAATGTTACAGGATGGTGAGACAAACAACAATAAGAATGGGTATAAGCTGGAAGTTGTGGATACAAGCAAATCAAAAACCACAATTGCTCAAATTGTGGCAACTAAATCTTCTACCCCAGCTCCTGTCCTTGCCCAAGTTGCTGCAGCACCAAAACAAGTTGTTCGAAAGTCTCTCACCACTACAAAATATCCAGATACTGTGCATTGTTTCTTTGATCTCTTTGTGGAGAATAATTCTATTGGCAGAGTTGTTATGGAGGTGAGATTCTCAAATGATTTTAGTCTTTTGAAAATTTTGTGTGTTTCAAATTTCAACTTGATCCTTACACGAATATCCACCTTTTTTGCAGGTATATTTTAATACGGCTCCCATAATGGCACGCAACTTCATCGAATTATGCACTGGTGTGCACGGCTTTGGCTATAAATGCACTGACCTCTGGCAAGTGCCTGACAATGATCATGTGGTGGGAGGTCATTTGCGTGAGGGCGAGAAAATCTCCATTTATAATCGAAAGGAATTCCATGGCGATTCGTCCCCTCTGCATGATGGTGTTGGCATGCTCCGAATGCGCGGCCATGGTACTTCTTCCAAGGGTGAAGCTGTTGTTGCTTCTCAATTCATGATCTGGATGAAGCCGAAGGTTTTCAAGAATTATGCTCGCACCCTCGTTTTTGGTAAGGTGGTGAAAGGTATGGATGTGCTTCGCCAAGTGCCCACCATGGTCAACAAGAAGGACAATGTACCCTTTAAACGCATTCTCCCCGCTCGTATTGTGGATTGTGGCATTGGTCAGTGATAATGTACCAAGCAGTCATTTCAAATCTGGATAAAAAAAAATTGCTTTCACCGCCATGGCAGTAAATGTTGGAAGTCTTTGCCTAATTTATTTGGTATGATTTTTTCTATTCATGAACAAACTCTGATTAGGAAAGATATAATATTTTTTATATTTTGATAATGAAAGCAAAATAATAAATTTTTGTCTTCAAGTATAAGAACATCCTAATGCATTGATCGCAGTTCCATTAAAATTAGACATCTAATATAAATTTAATGTAGCTAAATTATTTGTGCATTGATTTTTTACCACAGGTAGGTTCCTGGTGATGAAAAATTTACTTAAAAAAGCAACAATGTGTGGTTAATAATAATTAATATGGAAAAGGTAAAAATAAATGCGTCATTTAATTATAACTTTTCCCAACTTGCTAAAGGTGTCAGGAGAAAAGTCATCGTTGTAATTATTAACCTAAATAAAAGCGCGGGAGTAAATTATTTAATACAAGCTTATCTTTTATTTCATCTGATACAAAAGTTTGAATCATGAGTAGTAGTGGCTGCAATCCAACCGACAAACTTGGAGACGTCAGTATACAAACCAGGATATTCTGGTAGGCCACATCCAATTCCATTAGACACAATTCCTTTTAAAGAAGATAATTGCTTAATTAAAAGTGCGAATTAACTATATGGTTATATACCAACTAGTGTAAATCTTCGGGACCTAGGGTGAACTAATTGCAATGGGCCACCACTGTCTCCCTTAAGAAATAAACAAAAAAATTAAACAATTTCATTATTGCAATTGAAAGAAATATGAAATTGGAAATAAACATGGAATTTTGTTAACCGCGCTTGGAATTGAAGAGGAATTTCACAAATTTATGATGTCCTTTATTAAAATATGGTAAGAATTCAAGCGCTCCCCCCCAATCTGTTTTTGCTGCTGTTTTACACATTTCGTTCAGACATGTTGGTAAGTAGTAGGCAAGTCGTTTATTTATTTCTGCGAGTCCTGACAAGTATAATCTATGTATGTATATATTGGCAATATATAGTGAATAATAGTTCCCCCCTTCCTTCCCTCCACCTTCATCATCTATTTTTGAGTCATTGCTCTCTAGTTTACCGACTTTACGTTTACTTCTCCTTTGTCTGGCTAGTGGCTGTGGCTTGTCTCGTCTGCGCCAACAATATCTTGGCTGTCATTGTCACGTCAATTCCCTACATAATATTTTGTTCGTCGTGTTTCGCCGTCAAATATTTTGTTCGTGTCGATTTGCTTTGCAGAGAAATTGATCAAATTATTATCTACATAGGTAATTAAAAACGCGGCAGCTTCGAAACTGAATTTGAGGTATGCAACAACAGATTTAGAGATTCGCAAGAAATTCACAACTCAAAACAGTCAAAACTCGTTCAAATTTCATCAGCAGCCAAAAATGGAAACGCGCAAAAATCAAGAATTTTCCGTCCGCCTGGATGAAAACATTTTTACAGACATCGTTCGCCTTTGCAAAATGACAAATCCCGAGAACAGGAAGTTTACTGTTGTTGGTGACCTCCTGTCCTCACAATCAGTGCCTCCAAAAAGCCATGACCCTCCGAGGCGTTCAGGCAGGGCAGGATTGGGGCCCCGCGGCCCATCGGGCTTTGCGCTGCCCACTTCAGCGGCACCATCTGATTCAGGGTATATTATGCTAATTCACGTCATTAATTAATTAGATATTATCTTTAATCTGCATTTTAATATTCGTTATTCTGTATGAATTGATAAAATCTATCATATATAAATGTACGTTATAGTTGTAAAAATAAAATATTTTTCAAAATTCAAAATATTTTTTCAGCACCACTGCTGCTCTTCAGGATTACAATGTTTCCTCTACTACCAAAAGAGGTAGAAATGTGCGCCAACAAAGAAAATCTGACAGAATGCAAGTAATTGTGGAGGAACTTGAGTCTCATCAGGAGGAGGAAATAGAGGATAGGTGGATTTTACTACCAGTATTTTTTTCTAAAAGCTATAAATTTATTTTGAGGCACACAATAAATATTTAAAGGAATTTTTCCTTTTCATATTTTTCTTGACGGATCTCATTTATAATCATATCTGCACAAAATTGATTTGATTTTTTTATGTTTTTTTTTTTTCTTTTTTTTTCGCAATTGTTGTAAAACAAATAATAAATAGATAATATAATAGGTATTCTAATTGAAAAATTGAGCACATATATTGTTAAATTTTTCAGTTCCATGGTATCTACTATTGCTACGACTTTCAAAAGAAGCAAAAAAGTTGCTGAGAAGCAGATTGAGGAAGAAGTTGCGTCTCAACAGGAAGAAGACAGTGATGATAGGTAAATTTAATATATTTCAGAATTAATCTTTTTTTTTCTATTTTTTCAAATATCCACATAATATCTTTCAGTATTATATTGACTTAAAGAATAAATTTTTTTAGTCAACTGTTCCGGCCCACCTTTCATAATATTAATATTGTTGCAGCAATTGTTGAGAAATATTATTTACTCTTTTAAAATTACAGTTTGATAATCATTTCTTATATTTGAATATTAATTATAGTGAAAGAATTCAAGAAGAAGTGCAAACAGAGACTGGCGAGGAATCAATACCATCTCAAGAGCAGTCGGCGGACAAATCAAAGTTAGATGACACAATAATTGCCTCAGGTACCAAGTTTGTAGACGATGTGGAGGAACAAGATGAAGACGAGCAACAACTAAAAAGGGAAAGGACATATTCAAACAGCAGCAGCAGCAGTTTGAGCATGAAACGCAAGTTGCCTACCACCAGCCACAGAGGGTATGCAGAAAAATTGCAAATACTTGAAAATAAATAATAATTTTGACCTTCCTTTCCAAACTTTTAGACTTCGTAACAGCGGGTTCATGTGCTACATGCTTGCTTCGTTACAAGCATTGGTTGCTGCGCAGCCTTTTTGTGACTTATTAGCTACGGCTGAGGTCCATTTGAATGAAGACAAACAAATTTATCACCTAACACACCTCAGCAGTGAGATCCAGGCGCCTTACGCATCAGAGACGGAAAAAGTGGATGAAGACATTACATTTCTCGAGGAATATGCCGAGCTGAGATACAAGCTTGACAGGAGCCACCAACAAGATGCTCACGAGTACATCATCAAAATGCTTGGGCAAGTGCAGGTCAAACTCAAGCATTTAAGGGACGTAGACATCTACGAAGCGTTACTGAGGATCAAAACTGTCATGCTGCCCTGCTATTGTGAAGGGTAAATTTCCATGACATACACAATCCATCTTTCAAACTTAGTGTTCTAAAAATTTTTGCTACAATTAAATATTTATTTTTAAATTTGTTTTCAGGATGTGCAAGCGGAATGTTACTCCAAATGATAATGCCGTGGAGGAGATTGTACTTTCTTTGTGCCTGCCAGACTCTGCAGATGACCATAAAACTGTCCAAGACCTCATTGATGCAAGCCTTCAAACTGAATTTGTGGATCGTTGCTGTGGCAAAAGCACCGCAGCTTACTATGTTTTCAGCGAGCTGCCAAGGTAAGATTTGAAATGCAAAAAATTCTTAATTTTACTATATTTATAAAGATTTTTAAAATTTGAATAATCAAATATTTCATTGTTAAAGAGTGCTGTTGGTCTGCCTGAAAAGGTATGATGCAGAAGGAGGAAAAATCAAAACGCCGATTGAAGTTTCAACTGATCTCGTACTTGCAGAGTACAGTGACATTGAAGAGTAAGTAACTTTGATGCAGGAAACCCCAGGGTAAAGCATAAAAAACCAATTTTGCAGTTCCAGGGATCAAATGAAAACCAATGAGGACAGTAAGAATGTTGATAAAATAGCCGTAAGTCCTTGAATTAAATTGAAAAAAAAATTAGAAATAAATTTTTTCTCTAGAATTTCACCAATAAAACCTATGAGCTTGTTGGTGTGGTCAATCACGAAGGGAGCACTATACGTCGAGGTGAAATTTTCTAATTACTATACTGAACCATCTTATTTCTTGATATATATTTGATAAATTTTTAGGACACTACACAGCATTAGTCTGGAATGGAACTGAGGGTGCTTGGGTGGAAGCCAATGATAAAAAGACCAAAGTAGTTGAAATGTCTAATGCAATTGTAGGCTCGTCCAAGACCTGCTATTTGTTGGTATATGTCCTGACTCGAGAGGATGAAAGACAGGAATATGCTGAGTCGTCATCTGAGTCAAGTGGTGACGAGATGAGTTATGAGAGTGACTGATCAGCAAAAAGGATAAATTGAAGAGTTGAACTGGATTTCGGAGGATATCAAAGTAGGACACATAAAATTCTTTTCAGTTTATGCATGCTTTCCATTTTTCCATATTGTGTAGCAAATTTCTCATCGTTACTTCGTAAATTAAAATAAAAGAGAAACTCCTAATACAAGTTAAAAATTTTGCTTTTGAATACTTGCCTGGCAAGAGTCTCGGCCGCCCTGTCCGATAAGTCCTGCACAGAAAAGTGTCGCGTGCACCGCATTTGGGGGGTATTTTGATTTCAAGGCGCATTCCTGCTGTGAGATAATAGGGACGGTGGCCTGCTTTAGGGTGCACTGAAGAGAACCGCTTGAGTTTTGTGTGCCCCATCCAGACACTATGGCCCAATTGTTCTCAAAAGACAGCCCTTTTAATTTAAAGGAAAGAAACAATTATTTTAGTGTATTGATTTTTTCAACTATCTTGAAAGTCACCTTGGGGAGGCAGGCAAATCGGTCGAATAACTCTATTGAAGGTGATTCGCATACTTAGTCTTAGGAGCATTATGTCGGCAAAAAAATCAACTTGGCGAAATGCGGGATGGATGATCATTTTGTCCACCGACATTATGACCGTCACGCGGTCCTGACGGCAGCGGTCGTGCTCGCCAATAATTATTTTGATGTCCTCAATTAAAATTCTATAGTATTTATAAAATAAATGGGTTAAAAAGTGCAAATTTGAAAACGAAATTATATTTAAATAAATAGCAGAAAAGATTAAAATGAAAATAACTCATAAACTCACTTTTTATCGTAACAGTGCGCCGCTGTAAGAACATATCTGTCATTTATGATGGACCCGCCGCAAAAAGGCGCGTAGTCCCGCTCTTGTGACACAAGAAGTGCCATCCACGGCATTGAATGTGGCACAGCTTCAATGCCTCCAACAATCCTACCATCGTCAGGTTCTATAAAGAAGTTGGCTCTAGGAGACCTTTGGCCGCTTGTTGTTGTGCTCGGTAAACCACAAACTTGCAAATACAAATTTTAACATCTTGCCTCGTTGGTATAAATATTTTTAACTACCGCAATCTGGGGAGTTTTGGGCATATTGCTGCACGTTATTGAAATAGTTGTTTGGCTGCTGCTGATTAAATCCAAATGCACCTGGTTGTCCAAAAGGCGGGACAAAGTAATTTGCCTTTGACAAAAAAGTGGAGGATTTTGCTGGAGACGGGTCATAAAAGTACTCAATGTGATTATTTTCAAATAAATCCGTTTCGTCTGCCTGCTAAATTTATCAAAAAATCAAAATTTGAAATCTAGAAATGATATTTTTTATTAACTCACCAAACAGCAAACTCCATTTAGAAAGGCAGTGATGAGCAAAAGAAGCTCCATTCTATCGCATGATGTGACAACCAACTGATTCTATATCAAAGCGGCGTGGATTTTTTCCATTGAAAAAATAGATCAAACAAATACCCGTGTTTGTATTAAATTGCGTGATACCCACACGTTATGTGGGTAGTGTTAATTTTGGCAACGGCGAGTTGATGACACCAGCAGTTCTAGTAATTTCTCTTTTATTACAATTTATTTCAACGTAGAATTTTATCTTCATCTATTGTCTTGTCACTCACTCTATATGAAATAATATAGTAGTAATGCATAAAAAATTCGATATCATATGTAATATAATAAATATTTTTATTCAAGATACGGAGTAATTAGGAGTAATACTTTTTGTTGCAGGGTGATAATATAAAAGAAAATAACACTGATAAAAAATTTTTGTAATTGTATTTATTGAGCAATAATTATTTTTAAAAAGTCTAATAAAAAATTACTAACATTATCACTTATGCTAAAAATTATACAGTTCAAATTCAGGCCAAAAATTCAGTGGTCTCGAAGAGAATGCCTCGTTGGTTAATTATTTCAGCATTTAGAGGCAAAGTGCTAATAATATTATAAAAGGTGTATGATATTTTTTTACTTGCAAAAATTCACTTTGTACAAAACGGAAACACACGCACACGGAAGCTCAAACAAAACTGAAAGTGTATGCATTGAAAAATAAAACAAATCACTTTCACTGATAAGTCTTGGCAATCAAAGCCATGCAGGCGGAGATGTAATCAGCCGTTGGTGCTGCATGTGCATTGGTTTGCGGGTTTGCTTTTGGCTCGAATGGGGAGCAAGAGTGATAGAAGTCGTGTCACAGGCGCTTCCACAATGATGGACAGTGCAATGCCTGCCATGAAGGACGTCGCCACAAAACCAAAAATCAGTTGAACCTGAAAATGTTGCGCACAAAATTTATTTAAAATGATCAAAAAGTTGCAAATAGAAAATTATTGAAACAAAATCACAGGGTATGCATTTAAAAAATTAAGAACTGGAAAATTTTTAATGATATTCCCTATAAAAATTTTTTTTCATCGATGAATTAGTTTAATGATTACATATTTAAATTAAATTAAGTATGCGTGTTTTTTTGTATATTTCCTCGGAAGATTTAGAATCAAATATGATTTTTTTTAAACTAAAAAGAATTTGATCCATACTGCCTTTATTTCAATGGCAATGCGTATGGTTTGATTTAATTTTATACTTTGTGAGAGCTTCACTTACGACAAGGTCTCTATTCATTATGATGGGCGCGTCCATGTTATTAAGAGCCCATTGGATGATACCCGAGTGGACGAGGTAGGCGCAGTAAGTGGCCCTGCTGAACGGGACGAGGAGTTTCGAGCTCAAAACCTTGCTCACCCAGCCTGCAAATTTTCTCGCAAAGTTATCTTTTAATTTTTTTTTTTTAAATAAAATCGTACCTCCGTGGCCTGAAGTGCAGGCGACAAGAATCCAGGCAATGGTGACTGCCCACAGGGTGTGCGAAAGAGCCACGTAGGCCGCAGAGGCCGCGGTGCCCAAGAGGCGGCCGTACAGGGCGTGCACCAGGCCGAAGTTGGTTGAGATGGCCAGCGTCCAGCCAAGGAACACCACAGTCTGCCATTTAGCCAAAATTAAATAACGGAAAGAACAATTTATAACAGATTTATCACCTTGGTCATTTTGACAGCGCCGTTAGTCTCGCTGAGGAACCAGCCGGCGGCCATGCCGACCAGGTAGGGCCCGAATCGGGTCCAAGGCTTGTCGTAGAGATCGTCAAAGAGATCAAATGGCTTGTCGACGCTCGGTTGGTGCTGCAGATTGTAGCTGATGGTGCCTGTGATGGCCCAAGAGGCCAGCAGGAGCACCAAACTTAGTACGACGGCCACTCGAGGACGCCTAAAATTTTCGTCACAGAAAATTTTTAAGCAAAATTTTGAATTTAAATGTCAAACCTGATGTAAATGAGCAAGAGAGCAGTGCCGACCAAGTAGAACTGCGTGTCTGCCGCCAAATACCAACTCCAAATCATGCACTGGAAAAGATTATTATTTGTTAAAAATTTCCAGGACAAATTTGATGAAAATTTGGTTTCCTCTTGATTATTAATATGGTCAAAAATTATGCCTATTTAAAAATAATCTATGTAATCAAAATTATTAATTAATCAGATGTAGCAATAATTAATTGATTTGTCGAGAAGCGCTTTAGGGTTTTACAATAATTGAAAGTTAAATGCACTTGTTGATTCAACTGAATTTTCTCAAGAAAAAACATTATTTTCTTTTATACAAGTTAAAATCATCTGAAATAAAATTACATGCAAATCAAAATTTTACAATTAAAGCGTCATCGCATCGCCTTCATTGGGAAAAGCAATTTTTACATTTTTTTTTATATCAAAATGACATGTTTTTCTTTTCATTGTTGACTGGGATGCAAAATTTTACTAAATTTTTTGAAATAAATTTAGTCTTTTTGAAAAAGTATAAAGTATGATACTTGAATCTAAATAAATTAAGAAGATGTTGTTTAATCACCATTTGTTGAACGGGAAACAGTGTGTTGATGTAGAGGAAATTCCTCCACCACACTTTAGGGCAGGTCAGGTGGTCCCAGGTCGGCGGATCAAAGACCGAGTGGCTTGCCTGGTACTGCGAGGTGACCGAGACGAACGCCAAAGCAATCACGTATGGTGGTGTCAGCCTTGATTCAAAATTGAGAGGCAATAAAGTTTGTTTTAAAGAGAAAACGACCAAGTTTACGACTTGTTTTAGAAGAATTATCGAAATAAAAATAAACTACCTGATAAATCTGTAGATAAAGAAATTGAAGAAATTCCTAATGCTGCGCACCACGCTGTCGGTGCAGGGCTTCTTGGTGTCGCGCGACCTCAAAAAGACGTACGCGAGCAAAGTACCGCTTCAGAGAGAAATTGAAAGATTTATTAAACAAATGTAGGTACAGGTGATTAATGGGGTATTTTAGGCATACACACCTGACAAAGAAGAAAGTGTCCACCGAAAAATTACCATTGCTGATCGATTGGAAGAGAAAATCTTTTTCCACAAGCAAGCGGAAAGCCTGGTTGTCTAATTGAACAAATAATTAAAGAGCATTTTCACAGCAAAATATTATATGACGACACACAAAAAACGCTTAATTTTTATCAAATTATTTAAATGCTGTTAATTTATTAGAGTATTTTTTTTTTAATATTACTTTTTTGATTTGGTTGTAATTTTCAATCAAAATAATTTTTGATCAAAATAAACTCCTCGCTTATGAAAAGCATAATTTTCTGTTTAATAATGCGTATTCCTAGGACAAAAAATGTGCTATTTTGAAAATCACCTGTCTGATGTCAGGTTTATAATTTTTTGGGGAAAAGTTTTTCTTAAACACCAATTTGCTTTCAAATTTTCACACATTCAATAAGAAAAAGTGAAAATCGACGTCAAATTCTGTTATTTAATAATATTTCTATTAAAATAAAAGGGCTTACTTGAAAATCTGAAGGTGTACAGGCAAGTGTGGCAGGCAATGACCCAGATGAGCGAAAAGACCCTGAGTCCGTGGACCGTGGTCAACGAGCCCTCGTGCTTTTCCTTGTCGGCAAAAAATCGTTTGGCATTTTGCCTGACAGAGAAAGCCGTCAGAATTTCCAGTGCTCTGCCTGAAATTTTTGTAAGATATTATTAAAAGAAAAAATTGTCGAAATTTCTACTTTGCAAAGCACCAGAGCTCTGGTCATCGAGGACCGCAGGGCACTTAATACTGTGCCGCTCTTCGACGACGCCCGTCGGCCCGCGGGCCGTGTAACTCAAAGTGTTGGCGTTGCATTCGTCGCCTGAATTAAAACACAAACACCACAAGTCAGCATGCGAAGGATCATGCAAGATGTCGTCGGCAAACCTTTTTTGCAGGTCTCCAGCTTTTTTGGCGGCTTTTCTTTGAAGGACTGGTGCAAGTCCACTGACGTTCCCACGACAGTTACCGTCAGGATTGCCATACATAGGACGCTGAAACGTTTCATTCGAGTCAGTTTGGAAATTCCGAGCACTAAATTTTGAAACTTGATTCAGGATATCAAAATTAAACACTTTTTGTTCTGTCAATCATAGAATAAACCGGTGAGCTTTTTCATATAAAACTGTGCACAAAAGTCAGAATTAACTTTTCAGTAAAATGAAATTTTGATTGAATTCTGTTAATCGATCTGTAGTAATTAAATATAACATTTTTATGACATTATATAAATTATAAATAAAAGAAGAAATTCTTTTAATGAAGCATCAGTAGAAGAAAAATTGTCTATAAAACATGATATTTAAGAATTCAAAAATTAATTTATAATCCATTTATTTTAAATTCAAGACAAGTAAATAATTGTTCAATATTAATATTTAAATATTCTCCTCACAAGAAAATGATGAATCCAGGATCTCCGAAGAATGTGTACTCGCCAGGCAAACTCCTAATTTTGGCCACTTTTATTTCTCGGGGCGGTCCATATCTAGGTGCAGTTTGTTGCAGCATCAGTTGCATCAGCTGCCTCACCTCAGCCTGCTCGCCGCATTCGGAAGGCAAACACAAGCCCAGCGAAATCTTTCTCGGCTGAAAAGGCGATAATTAACATCAAACACGATCAGTACTAATTCAAGGTTGAACGGAAATTTGATTTTTCTAGAAACCTTGTTACTTTTGTTTGTTTGACAATTTTGCCATGGGCTTCAATACTAATAACGTAGGCCTTGTCTTGGGTTTGTGCTTAATTTGTAAATCACGATAATTTATCGGGCCAATTTTCAGTCCAAGGCATAGAATGCAAATGCCTTCACAGAGTACGTGTGTGCAAAATTGTGTAAGTAGAACGCACTAAAACTTTATTGCATCTAAACATTTTTATTTTTTGCTTCTTTTAAAACTTAATGTCAGTCAATTAAAATTCTACGCGATTTCCTCGGTTGACGAAACAGTTTCCTTGTCGCAATTCCAGAAAGTCCATCATTTTAACTAAATCGTGTGCTCGCTGAAATTATACAGGCGCAAGTGCACCGGAGCGAAACACGCCTTGCTCCAGAGTTAGGAAACTTCCAACACGAAATGCTCGCATTAAATTTAGGCAAAATGTTGTAAAAATAATATGTAAATAATTATGTTGTTTTCCTCACTTTTGGCGTGAGTTCGTGCGTCAGGTTGACCAACAGGGTTGCGATTCTGAAGACGGTTGTCGTCGAATCGGTGGTATTTGCGGTCAAAGCGTCTTTGTTGATCAAGTCGCACTCAAGTCGGGAACCTAACCAGTACTCGCTGGCAAACATGAATCGGGCGCTGCTGCGACCTGTTGCATCGATAACTGCAAAAAAATTATTTATCAATTAAAATAAATAAGTTACATCATTATTAATATTTTAACTATTCAAAAGAAGATGATTATCGATTTTCAAATAAATTATGCGTTATTTTAACTTGCGAAAAGATTTTACTATATTAGTTATTCATAATTTATTTTCAAAAAATATTTTTTCTTTTTTTACCAAGGTTTTTGTGCTTTTAGTTTTTAATTGTCAAAACACACATTGACTGTAATACAAATTTAAATGCAAATTTAAAGCGATTAGCAAACAATTGTCAATTTGCATAATGTATTATTTGATGAACAATACAAGGTTGAAAGCTTTTTTTACGAATAGCGGAAATATTAGATATTGAATGATATTTAGTAGAAAAATCTTTTCTATTTCTGTAGTTTTTTATTATTTAGTAATTAGATCAAAAAGTTCAGTCTTTGGTCTAGTCAATGAATTTTTAATATGACATTGATAAATTAAAACATTACTCTATAAATCTAACAATAGTGTGCCTTTTATTAGGGAAAAATAGCTCATACATACAACACTTGATTTAACATGGGATCAACGTCAAATATGAAAATTATGTAGATTCTTGAGATAAATTGAAATGATAATTAAGATGCAATGTTTCAGAAACTTTTTCACGCTCAAATTTATTTTTAAAGGCCATCAAGATCAAAAAAGAAACTAAATTGTATAAGCAGACCGATTACGAAACCTAGTCTATTGCTCTACATTAAAATATTCAAAGGAAATTTAACATGCGATTATCACGTCGTCGTCGTCACGTCTGTCAAATTACTCTTGCGTCACGAATAGGCCAGAGCAACCTTGGCTTTGAAAAATCAGATTACCGCCCATACATGCAGTGCATCTGACAGACAAAGCTTGTCTGCGCCGCTTTTCTCTCAAATAGAAAAAAAATTATAATAAAATGATTCGGGCCGTGTTTAAAAGCAATTCCGCCGGCGCCAATCAAGAGAGGAAAAATTATACGAGATGGTCAGCCAAAAGGCCGCTGAATAAAAAATGAAGCTGCGGTGCGTATTCACTTTCTCTCGCAGCATCGTGATTAAATTCTCTCTTAAGTAAGTCGATCACCCAGGACTTTCTTCGGGAGAAAAAAATAACACACACTGCGGTTTTTGTTGATTGGCGCGAAATTCATTCTCAAAGTTATCACGCTCTGCAAATGCGCGCAAGCAGAATTTTTGTTTTATCTCATTTTTGTTTGTTTATTTCACCCGAATCGACGATCAAGTTTGTTTTTATAAATAATTTACAATCAATGCGAACTGGAGCGTTTTGATCTTTCTTCAAGATTGGGCGAAAACGCACAGAAAAGAAAAATAGGTTCGTCAAGTGTTTTAAATTAGCCATTTCAAGGCTGAATGTTGACTGTCTATTTATGACACGTAACAAGAATCAGGCAGAAAATTTTTAACTCTATTCCATAATTACGGGTTTGCTGATTTCATGGCTAGGAGGAGCAGAGGAGGAGGAGGAGGAGGAGGAGGAGGAGGAGGAGGAGGAGGAGGAGGATGTTCTATGAGCAAAAACGACGCCAATTAAAATTAAGAAGGAATTTTTCTCACTTTTCTTCTTCCGTGTAAAAATTAACAAGCTTTTATATAATAGCTTTCTTTGATATATAACATTATAAATGTAGTGAAATTTTAATTATAAATTTAAAAATAATGGTTAAGTTATTTGTGATTTAAGTATACTATTAATTGGAATTAATAATTGAACTTCAAATTTGAGCTTCTGATATTTTATTTAAATTTTCCATCCATAAAAAATTGCAGAAATAAATTATTTTTTAATTTTTTTTCTCATTCTAAAAAAATTTGGTAGAAAAAGTATTGTGTCTGTATTGAAATTTTTGAGGATGTTTTCTAGTCGGAAATAAAATAACCAAATTTAATAGATATTTAAACATTCAAGTGATCTCCTGAGTATTAATATTTCCATTGAAGAATAGAAGTCTTTTGTGCTTAAGAGGCTGAACATGATTTCTTTCGGTGATAAGTATCAATGAGCGAGACATGAACGCGCGAAATTTGACCAGTGTTTGAAGGACGGAGACTTTATATCGTTTCTCGCAATCAAGATTTCAAACTTTCGTTTCACCTCCGACTCGTTTTTTCTGTGTGCAACGAAGGAACTATTAATTGCAAAGACGCGATTACATTTTTTTGTGTTACTCAACCGCTCAGAGCCACAAATGAGGCGCGGACAAAGCGTGCACACGTTACGTGTATAAAAAGTATATATAAACTCGTCCGCCGCGACTATTATATCAGGGAGCTCCGAAAATATGAAAGTAAAAGTCGTCTGCACGCCGCAGGAAATAAAAGCTGCGATTTTTCTCCGGACCGAAAGAAAGCAGCAGCCTAATCAACCGGCGAAATTCACCACCTATGTGCTGTGTTGATCTAACGGAGTCTGCACTATTCTTATTCAAATGAGACGGCGTGTTAATGAAAAGAATAGGGCGTCACCTCATATGAAAATTGAGTCTTGTAATTGTTAGAACGCGTTGTTTGAAAGTGGTTCAAAGAAAAAGTTTTTAGGGCGAATCTTATTAAGTGCGTCCAATCGAAACATTCGCTTTATCATGGACCAACGAAGGTCACTTTTTGTCTCTGCTAAGTAAAACCTGAAAATTGTGCTACTTTAATTAAATAGAATGACGAGAATGGACGGGACGGCGATTTATTACATCTTTGAACGTCAATGCGTTTTAAGCAATAATTACAATTAGAAATTAAATTTTAATTGGAAGAATATTGAGAGAAGTAATAATTAATTTATAATAATGAATGCTAACATTGAGGTAGAATATTTTTTTTAAATACCATAATTACTTTTCATAATAGGCATAGATTTTTTCTGATGGGAATTCTTGTATTAAAAGAGTGTAATAAAGAGTGAATTAACCTGCAGTCCTGCACTCAATGAAATTGATAAGTGGTAATCTTTGTCTGTATATACAAATGAATAGAAGTAAAAAAACATAACACAAATTGATATCTGCATCTGTTGGCATGTGTCATTCAATACTTTCAGGAGACATTTTGAAAATAATTACATCCGTGGTGAAAATGAAAATCTTTCCAATTAAACAGAACTTTTTAGATTAAATTTACTTCTGAAATGGAGAATGAAGAAATGTATTCAATTTTTGTGAATCTGCATAATTATACTGATTGTGAATTAATTTTATGCCAACTCTGTGGTCTATATTAAAGCAACACTTTGAACGTAGGTCTTTCAGCTCCTTTATAATACTTTATTCTAAACTTGGGCTAAATTAATAAAAGAACTTATTATATTCTAATAAAATTAATAATATTTGTACTATTCATTTAATTTTTAACTTATTAATTACATAATTTTGCATTATAATACACCTATATCTAGTCCAAAATGAGACAATGGAGCTATAAAATTTGTTTGCTTTTTTAACAGCTTAAAAGGTTTTATAGTCATGCTGACTGAGCACCACTATTATGAACCGTATAAAGATTCACTTTCTGGCCATATTATTTACGGTGCTAGACTCTATTCATCAGTGAGTCGGTAAATGTCATTGTCAGAAACGTTTTGTGCTCGTCTGACCGCCAGACACGACCAATTAACTTTATATCTTTCGATTATCTAACTTTTTTATGAAAATAGGAATGAATAAAATAAAATTTATAAATTACTTTGGTGCTCTGTAATTTTTACTACTATAAATTTGTATCAAAAATTTTTTAGTAGAAGTAAAATTAATTTAAATCATTTTTTAATCTGATATTCATAGATTTTAAATTAGAAAACGCATCAATTATTTGTTCCCATTTATTTTGTGATGATTTTTTTTTGTAGTTTTTCTTTTTTTAATTTGTTTGATTCTTTTAAGAAATATCTGATTTTTTTCTCGCTCATGACATCAGAATGTTGATTCATTTTATAATTCACTTAATCATTATAGATTAAAAATAATTTCTAAAAGTTTTCACTGCAATATGTGCTATAAATTATAAAAAATACAACACCAGCATCAAAGCAATTATTACGAAATTTGAGATTCGATCAAGAACTTTTTTAGAGTTAATATTGTCATTTGGTGAAAACTCGTGAATATTATATTTTATTGATCAAAGTGGCTTAACAAGTTTTGGGCCTTCAAGTGCCCAGCGGCAAACTCACTCGGCTCATATAAACTTTTAGCCATAACATAATTACGCGTCACGCGCAGCATCAGATGAGAGTGCATAAGCGCGATGACGCATTCCGAATTTTCTCTTTCAGCCGTCTGCCCTCTCGCGTAATGTAACATGATTACCAAACAAAAAACCAAAAAAACAATATATGCTACGTGAATGAGCTCATTTTTTGCATCGACACTTTCTTTGATTGATGAATGGTATCATAAAAGGTTTCAAAGATTAAATTAATGAGAAAGAAGGAAGTGTGTGTGTGTGTGCATGCGTGCACTTATGAACTTCATAGAGAGGAGGAAGAAATGGCAGGTATATTAAGGTATGGCTTCTAAATTTCGGGCGGTTCGAAAGTTACGCATGTGGAGAAACCAGTTCGCTGACAGGCGATGCGAGTCTTTCCCTGCAAATTTTTATTTTTGGCAAAAACTTGGTAAATATCATGTTTCATCCGTTTAAAAAAAAAAAAAATAATAATAATAATTGAATATTGAAAAAGAAAGATTGACTAAATTCTATCTAAAAAATTTCAAAAATTTCAACATTAAAAAAATTAACAGTAATTTTTTTATTCAGTACAAATTTAACAGTCTACTATAAGTCAGAATCTGTAATTATTACTAAAAATTAATAACATATTATGGTTTGAACCACCGATATGATTATAGTATTGAGTAAAAAGTTCGCCCAGGGGACTTTGCCTACTGTTCTACGCTGCTGTGTATTTCGGCAACTTTAATTCGGCGTTCATGGGCCAAGGTTGAACGGTGTGTTACGCAGCGAGCGTCCAGTAAAAGCAACTAAAAAAGTGGACGTATGCTTTGCACCATCTGTCGTTAATAAATCTTACGATTTCTTAATTGATCTTGGACCATGAACGACCAACAAATAAATTCAAAGAATGTAAATAAAAACAAAATGAGATCCCAAGATATATCTTTATTCTATGAAAATTACTCTTTTATCAGTTCCACGCAAAATGACAAAAGTATATTTGTCTGGTTTAGTCAACTCGTTAGCAATTTTCACTCTGTCGGCAAAAGTTTCGCGTCAGAGGCGAAAAACGGCGTAGGAAATCCGAGTTTGCTTTCCGATTAGCACTCGTCAAGAGAAAATATCTCAACGCCTCCAAAAGGAGAAGACGCTGCGTAGAGTAAAAAAGTCTAGAGAAAACGACGACGCGTCGTTACATAAAAATTTCACCACGCGGAACCGCTAGTTTTTTCGCCACAAATCATCGGCGAAAATTGGTAGAGAAATTGATATGTTGGTTATATATTGATTTTTAATTAAGAAGATAAAAATTCTCTTTTAGATATTGTTACTCTCACACTTTATTAAGCTAATTAAGTTTAAAAAAGCTTCATCAATTAAAATAAAAACCATAATTATTTGTAAAATGATGTATCTGGATCATAAATGATCACGGATTTAAAACATTTCCCTTGAAGGTGTCTGTGAAAACACGATTTTTATTATTATGTTCATACTCTGATAAGTTTCGCGCTCTCGAAAATCGCATGTTGTGCGCCAGCTTTCGGCTGATCCGGCGCGCTTATTCTTTTCTTTCACTAAAAGCGTATGCGATAAAAAATAATATTGCGCACTTGCTTTCAATTGACAGTTAATCAGCACTTTCGTTTGCTTTTATGCGTTCCTCATCATCTGAGCCCTGCAGCTGTGTTGCGAAATGAATGTATGGAAAAAAAAAATGATTAACCAGAAGAAGAATTTTGTTTTTTTCCTCACTTGCAATTATTTTTTCGTCAGGATTGTCTAATTTATTTGCTTTCTAAAGTGAAAAATAATTGAGGTAAAATGCGCGAAACGGTATATTTGTTGAAGACGCCGCTAAAAAAGGATAAAATACTGCGACTTAATTGGTGCGATGGGTGCAATACCTAACGGGTTAGATAGTAAAATATATATCAGGCTGAACTGGTTTAAATTTAACGGTGTGAATCAAGTTTTTATAAATATTCTAAAATAATTGCACAACTTTCTTCTTAAAAATTGCAAAACGAGCTGCAATATTTAAAAAAAATTATAATATTGTTTTTTGTTTTATTCATTACACCGCATAACACTATCAAAACGTCTATATACATTTAAGATAATTAAACTAAGGTCATATTGTAAGGATTACTAGAGTCAAAACAATGGACCAAAAATAGCATTATATTATTTTTGTCAATTGTCATTTTATTAAAATAATTTAGAAAAAAAAATAAGCAAAATCAAAGCTTCTTTATTTTGCAAAATTTAATTGATTTTTTTCAAAATTTTTATACCATTTTATTCATCCAGACAGACCGAAAAAACTTTCAATCAGGTGAACAAAATCACCTGGCTGACAATTAAAATTAAGGATACCCAAAACTAATTTTGGCAAATCATGAAAAATGTTTAAACTGACTTTTCTCAGCCCAGGGTTGCGCGTTGCGAAGTCCGAGGGCAACCCTCCGCATCCCTTGCAGGCACTGGGGTTCGAGGGAGGTGTTGTTGGGCCACGAGAGTGGCGCCACGGGGTCCCAAACGTGGAGCATGGCGCCGAGGTCGGCGCCGGCGAGGCCCGCCAGCGTCGCCGCGACGATCAGCGGCAGCAACATGTTCACGCGGCCCGGTTGAAATTGACTGAGTGAAGAAAAAGATTTTTGGGCTCCCCGTCCACTCCGGTACAAACGTCCGGCACCCAGATGCGAGAGAGACACGCGCGCACCTCTTTGCTTTCTCTCCTCTCATCTGCGAGTCGCGCCGTGCAACACCCAAAAAACGTTTCCCTTCCGCCAACGCTTTGCTTTTCAATTTTGTGTGTTTTTCATTTTTTGACTCAAGTGTGTTGCTTCTTTTGGAAATAAATACTCTAGAGAAACAAAAAGGAAAAATCTTGAATCTAAAAATGCTGAAAGATTTACTTGCAACATTTGCTTATAGTAATACAGTGAGACAGTTCTTTTATTAAGCAAATTTATTGTTGTCAATGTTGTCATTCTAGAGATTTTGATTCCAAAAAAATCTCATTCCAGTCACTATTTTTAGTTGTTTAACTGCTTTAAAGCTACAATAGACTATCAACAAATTTAATTTCTGTAATTTCTGTATCGTCAAGTTCTAGTTCCAGCCAATTATAATGAATTTTACTCATAACAAATTTCTGTTTTGCTAAAAACTAAAATAGTTTTTTTTTTATATTTACTAAAAAAAACATTCACTTCAGTGCGTATTTTAATTTAAATTTTAGCAAAATTTTAATTTTTGAAATTATAAAAATAAAACAAACAATTAAAAATCTTAAAAATTTTAATTGCAAAATTCAGAATTCAATTAGAATGTAATTTTTTACACAATTATGGACAAAAGAAATTTTTTTTGTAAATTTCCCAATGATTTTAATTGGTACAATAATTAATTTTTAATTTATGAGCAAATTCAACTTCTTTTTGCATCTTAGTTAGAAGAAACCTTCTTTTCTATCTCAATATTTGATCATATACACAGAAATTAGCAATGGAAAAACAATTTTACTCTTTATTATGTTCCAAACAAACTAAGTCTCTGACTTTTAATTATCTCACTGCACAGCAACTTTCCCTGAAAAAATTAGCACCCCGGTAAACAGGGACCAACCTTTATATCATCGCAGACAGCAGGATAAGAAGAAGCTTATTAGTTATTTTTACTTCCAATTATCCTCCTTGACATGTGTATTACTTTTGAAATTTTTTCGCTCCGTCTCTTTTAAACAAGTAAATAGACGACCTTGCGATGCATCATTTATCACTTTCGTGCGCTTTCTTCCAAGGATGCTAATTTTTGGCCCGACCAACCTCAACCGTTTAATATTTAATTTCAGATTAATGCAGGTGTGAAAATATAATTCTCCTCTTTTACATCTCTGCAAGCATAAAATTAGCACCCGTTGAAGTGGCGCATTTTCTGACTAATTCCATTTTCATCTCTCTCGATGTGACAGCGACCTGCGGCCAGCAGCTGTTTATTTTTCGCGCATAGTGAAAGTGAGTGAGCGAGCTGCTCTCTGCAAATAACCAGCCTCACCTGCTGGTCACCAAATACGCGACCACAAAACCGCAAACCAAAGACCTTCAGGAAAGACAGGAAATAATTATCCGAAATTTTCACCCCTTAATTATTGGTTAAGATATACTTAAGATAAAACTTCCCCCCTTAGTTGATTCAAAAATTGTCGAATAAAAAATTAAAACATTATTTTATTTGCTAGTACATTCAAATATATTATATGGACGTGTATTTGTCCAGTCAAAATACTACCTTTGAAAATTTTAAAAATCCTACATCTTGCTTTCTACTATTTATGAAACAGAAATGCAGCTAATAGTACTAAAATTATCTTTTTACCTCTTATTTAACTGTGGGGCACTGTGGGGGACAATTAATCCTAAGGTCAAAGGCTGAGGTTAATTTTCAGAGCGTTCACGAGTACAGATTTAAAATCGTCATCGCATCAAAATTATTTATCAGCTTTATTTGATCTATATCTTAACGTTTTTGCTAGATACACTCCTAACTTCTTCAGAATTCACAATAATATACAAGATTGGAAAAAATATTATAAAATATATAACTTATTCTTGTTTTCCAATGATTGCTTTTATTAATTATTTTTAAGGAACCATGAACGCATCTGAACAGATCAAAAGAATATATTCTTTAACTACGTCCACATCAGATAATTTATATGGATACATTGTATAATGTAACTTGTGATTGCAGGGAGCAATGTTGAATCCTTCTAAAATCTCTCACTTGCGACCTTCGAGTACATAAAAAATATACAGGTTCAATTTTAGTCCAGTCAGGCAGTTTCAAGTTAGTATGTGTACGTGTTCATAATGTTCGTTCGGAGTTCAGATTGGCGTCGATTGCGCTGCACTGTTTTTTTCCCTCTTTTCTCTCAACCTTTAAATTTTTACACCTGACACTGCGATTGCAAAACTTTAAAAAGGTCCACAGTATATTGTGCAAAGGAATTTGAACTTGATTTACTTTTTTATTCTCTCACTGGACGATGAAAATCTTTCAATTCAGCTTTTGACCTCATATGTAACAAAAAAGTGATTAGATTAGGACCGTTTCCGCGTTTCGGAACACAAAACGCTCTTTTTACGCGCTGTCAATTTCAGTATGTATCTATATGTGCCATCCGCTCCGCGTTGAATACAAATTGAAATCTCTCTTCTTCGTATTCAACTATAGTTTAACTCAACTTAATTATGCTTTGTCCAATGCGCACATGAAATGCATTGTAAGAAATAAAATGCTTGCAAAAAAAGCCGCACCGTTGAGTGTTTTTCTTCCAACTTTTAAGTAATTTAAATTCTACATAAATAAAAGACTCCCTATTCTAAAATCCAAGCAGCCTGAAATTATGGTCAATTTTTATTATTATTTGGTATTATTTTATTTTTAGGAACCATTCAATATTGATAAGAATATAATTTTATTTTTATTAACGATATGATTAAAAATACCAAAAGTTATTTGATGAGTGGAATTTATCCGCATGTAGTTGAAAAATTAAATTCACCTCAAAATCATAATTATGGGCAAAGTTGGCACTTAAAAATTGGTGTCCCAGAAAAAGCTTTTGAATACCCCCACCCCCAATATTTCTATTAGAAATTTCATGATCTATAAAATTTTAACCTTCTGTGGCCATAATTTATGTGAAAATAAATCAGTATTATAAAATTATACATCAGTTTTATTTCTCAAACACAAAATCTTGTTCGTCTAGTCTAAAACCAACATTGATCAACACACAAAGCAAAATGGAAACAACCACATTCAGGACTTAATGTAATTGCATTTATATTATTCTTTTTTTCAATTCTTGTTCAATTTTTAGTCTTTTCTGGTCTTTCACTCAATTGTCTTCTCTGATTAGTGGTTTCATCAGTGGACCTTTCTCTTGTGGTTGCCCGAGAAGAGGAAGTGCCAGTAAAAGGTGACCCAGCAGTAGGTGATGCCAACTGCACAGTAAACAGAGGTCAGCAGTAGGGGCAGAAAAGGCAGCGCGTCTGCAAACAGCAGTCTGTGCAGTATGTGTTGATACACAAACAAAGGCATCAGGCCCAGGGTGTACAAAGTTTCGAGCCGGCTCAACAGGGGCAGCCGCAACAATGAGCCCTTCTGAAGGTTGAACATCTGGTGCAGCTGAACAAACGCATAGATGGCGTGGCAAAGCACGAGCAAGCCCTTCAGAGGAATCTAGAATTTAAACATTTTTTAGGAAGCAGAAAAATATTAAAATAATAAGGCAAATGATTTTAATGATATCTCTTTTGCGAGGTTTGAATGAAATTAAGATGATGTGCGAGCAAAAGAAGTGCAAAAAAAAAATATCAAAGATATGGCCAAATTTAATTAATAAGATTTTTTATAATTTCAATTCTTTTATATATTATAGTGCTTTGAGCAACTTGCAGTTGCATAATTATTTAGCAAATAAGAATTATTAAATAAAAATCGAAAATATAGGGGTAGAAATTTTTTTTACCTCAAGCGGTGTGAACAACAAAGGGGTGAGCGAATAATTTCCAATGGTGGAAAGAAGGAGGTAAATCTGGGCCTCCTTTCTCCACAGCACAGCAAGGAGGCTGCAAGGATTTATCCAATTATTCCACCTGAACTTAAAAAATAACCAAAACTTACCTCAGTGGAATGATCATGAGGAGAACAGCTTTTTCGTGCACATGCCATCCAAACATGAACGAGGAAAAGGCACACAGAACGATGCACCGCACAAAGTGCAATGGGTTGGCTGGCGAAAGCCACAGCTTAATTAATGCAGGCTGCAATGAAATTGAAGTCAGATACAAAAATTAATGTCTTTTGAAGAATTGTATTTACCAGCATGGCAACTAGGGTACAGATGAAGGTGACCTTAGGGCTAATGGATGGTAACATGGTGTGCTCAAATTCCTGCACAAGGCCACCAGTCATAGCCGCAGCACTTGCTGCTATTGGAAGACCCAGTCTTTTTCCTATTTTTATTTTTTAATTGGCAACTAAAAATCTATAAATGTTTTGTTGTTACCAACTATGACAGCAATCTTGTCCACACTGTTGTAAAGAGCCCAGAAATTGGGCGCCCAATATGCATGACATAGGCCTCTTTTGAATGGAAATAGTCTTGAAAGTACCTAACAAAAATCAGCTCATGAAAGTTGTTTTTCTTTTATCACAAATTCAATACCTGACCAAACTGGCCCATTACGATGAAGGGCCCAAAAGATGCAAAGCAGACAAAGCCGCCGATGCCAATAAGTTTGGAAATCCTGCTGATGGAAAGTTGTTTGCCGCCAAAAATCCACAAGCCTTTAGCGTCTGGTCCTTGTGGATCTTGCAGACAGTAATTTCTGAGCAGATAGACTCCGTAGGCAGGTGCCACGTACAAAAATATGTGCTTTAAGTTGAGAAGCACGCTGAACCATAAGGCAGAACTGAGGAACTTTCCCTACATTTTGTATGTGATCAGTGAGAATTTTTGTTATAACTAGAAAAAATACCTGCAGCATCTTTGCTATAGAGACAAGCAGGACTCCAAAGAGGAAACCATTGTACTGGAAATGGATGTGGTCAACAATCAGCAGACCAGCGTTTCCCAAAATCAAAAGGGCGAGCACTGAGGTCGGCGAGCCCCACGTCAACGTCCACCGACTGCTTTTCCTCACCCCACTGGCTCGAATATACGCACAGCACCTGATTAATTATAAATTTTTTATTTGAATTTTATTAAATTCCAAACAAAATTTTCAAGTTTTGTACTCTTTGGTGCCGAAGGCTAGCATGGCGTCGGTGATGATGACTGAGAGACGCTGGAAGAGGACAGTGCGTGTCGAGGCGTACTCAAGGTTGTCCACCCTGAGCATGCCAGGGTCGAAGAGGGCAGCAACCTGCGAGAGGAGAAACTCAAACCAGGCAAAGAGGGGTGGGTAGTCGAGTGTCCATTGCGAGGTTTGGTCAGAGTACCACTTGCTCAGCGGCAACGAGTGAGTTATGGCCAGCCAGTTGCGGTGAACCTCAAAGTCAGTGGACCGACTGAAAATGTGCAGAATTTGTTAATAAACTTAAAATCAGTTGTGGGATGTCTGTAAGTTCAGTGAAACAAGGAAGTTGCAAACATACTATGCCGGCACCAGCAGCAGCTTGAAGCAGCAAAAGATGCCATAGACAAACCAGATCATGGTCACGGCTTAGGGCATCCTTTCGCTACGTGGTGACCAAGAAAACCCCTGCCGGAAGGTCGTCGCACCCTTGAGGAGTCTCCTATTAATTTTGCTAACACATCACAATAATACACACGACACAGTGGATGACAACATGCTGATGACATGTGAACAGCAGCTGACTGCTGGTGGAAGTAGGGAAAGGAGACAAAAATTGTAAAGTACTTTAATGAATTATAAAACACTTTCCTGGTTTTTTAAAACTTAAGATGACTATTAAATTTAATTTTTAATTAAAGTGAATTCAAGTGGAAATAGAAAAGATTTTTAATATTTTGGTCTACATCGCACAATTGAAGTTTTTTACTCCTGACTGAAACACATGTTGTCAAATTACTTTTGCTCTAGGATATGATGCGGGACAATTTCACACTAAAAGAGCGCACTAATTGGTTTCCGCTGCGTTTCCTAGAATAAATTTACTTTGCGTAGGAATTATTTATTTTACATTTTTTTTAAATATATAATTTTTTGTTTGTGTAAAGTAAAAAAAAAAAATTGGATATTCATTTTCAATTTAGTACTTAATTTTATTTTTCAACAATTAACAAATTTCCTTCTTGCATCCAGATACTATTATACTACAGTCACAGAATACTTGAAAACACTCATCACACACAAATACTCGCAGAAGCTTGTAACTGTCTATTATGTAAAAATACACCCCCAATTCGGTGTTGCTTCAGGCATCGGCATTTTGGTAAGAGGAATGTGTATGATTCAGGCGATGCTGAGCTTCCCTTCGCCAAACAGCCAGAGACACGAGCGGTCCACAAGCCACGCCAACAAAAAGTCGGCGCACAGTACTTGCAGCAGTACAGAGCGGAACTAATAAGAAAAATTTAATACTATTTAACTTTATTATAAAAAATGATTCTCACCTCTGGTGGGAAGTCGACAATCTCAAACTGTATGGCGAATTCGGGAACAAGCCCCATGGCTAGAGCAAGAACTGCACCCCCTGACCCAAGTAAACTGTACAGGAGTGACTTGTTTTCAGACAGGCTCTCCATGAATGGTCGACCCTGGAATCGAAATCAATTTATAAATGTAATAAAAATTCAATATTTAAATTACCCGATAGTTGATGGCAAAAGTAGAGATCTGGAGTGCCATTGAGATAATGTAAACTGTGCTGTTGAGCAAATTTGCCTCAAAGGGCTCTTCCTCCTCCTCTTCGTCTCCAACACCTGGCTCAGGAGTGGATGTCAGATTGCTATTCAGCACACTGAAATAAAAATCAGTTAAAATGATCAAAATGAATAATTACAATTACTCTTTGGGCGGCTTGGGTGAGCGTGACGTGGCCTGTTGTACAAGGAAAAAGAGGCAGCCAAAGTGAACAGCGAATTGCAGCAGTACGGTCAGCACCGTGTACATGTTGAAGATGTTCGGCAAGGGACGTTCTTTTGAAAGAGTCTTCAAAGGCTGGTATTGAAACAAATTAGATTTTTCATGTGCAAATAAACCAAATAATCTATCACCTTTGAGCGTGAGATGAAAAGGAAACACGCTGCGAGGAGGAGGCCCTGGAGAGTGGCCTGGGCATCGCTAAACTTAATTCCGTCCAGGTAGAGCACCGACTGGCTGTAGGCGAGGATAAGGGCGTTCAGAGCAAGGATCTTAAACATCTGCAGAGTGGTGACAAGTGTGCAGCGTCCCTGTTTGATGATATGGCAGATGCACAGGATTGAGGGATGCTTCGACGTAAAGGGCGACGCAATACTCGCATCTCCGAGACGGACAATTTGAGCCTTTTCCTCCTCCTCCAACTCGGCCAGCATCTGCTGCAGCTGTGGCTTGTTTGCTGCCTAAGGAAAACATAAATTTTATGATATTATAATTTAAGTTGAAATAATATAAAATTTGTAGTTGATTCCAACTCCTTACCAATCTATCAAATCGAGGGTCTCTTCTTGGGTCGGGTCGTTCGTTTTGCCTGTCGTTGAACGAAGAAGTATTTTTCACCCTTCTTTCACATCTCTCAGGACCATTGGAAAGAATTGCCACTCCTAAAATTAACGTTTCCTTGTGGCTTATTCTCAATTAATAATTTAAGTACGAACCAACATGCGCGTGTTTGAGGGCGCCAACGTCATTGGTACCATCGCCACACATCAAGGTTGTGTACCCAAGCGCCTTTAACTCAACAATCACAAATTCTTTTTGCTTGGGTGCCACTCGGGCAAATACTTTGATGTGAGGTAAAAGCGACTGCAGCAGTTTTTTGTGATTTTCCTGCATGAACACTAGACCCTACGAATCCAAACCAGGGGATATTTTACGTAAAAAATTTAATTTCAAAATACATACCTCTCCAGTGATGCAAAGGTCATATTTGCTGGTAAGATCGGTATATTTTGCAGGCGCAACGGGCAATTTCTTAGTCTGATCAATACTCTCCCAGAACCAGTTGCTCTTTTCCTCTACAAGGACCACTATGGGTTTTTGAGTGAAACGCAGCTCTTTAGCTACATGACAAGCTGTTAGTGGATTGTCTCCAGTTATCATTGTGACCTAACATGACATTATTTAAAATTTAAATATAATTTGTTTTAACATTTTACTTGGTGGGAGGCATTGATGACTTCTTTAATGACAGCCTTTGAGTCTGGTTTGAGGGGACAAGAGATGATCACAAAGCCAGCAAAGGTGAGTCCCTCTTCGAGTGTTTCTCGAGGAACATCTTTAACCCTGGCAGGACTCATTGCTGGCAACTCTTTCCAGCCGAGAGCAAGCACTCTAGCTCCTCGTCTGGACATTTCAAGATAAACCTTCTTGTAATCTTCTGGCACTTCCCTAAACTAAAAAAAGTGACAAAATAAGTAAATGAAAACAAACGACAGAGAACGTACTAACCATAGGTTCAAGTGTTTCTGGTGCGCCTTTGACTGTGGCCATCAGAATAGTGTCTCCCGTTCCGGATTGAGTATAACCAGCAACAACCGACATCCTCTTGAGTGCAGAGGAGAAATGGTGGCGGTGGAAAATTTTCATGCCGGGCAGTTTGCCTTTCTTTGGGATGACAGCATCACCCTTGGTCAGGTTCCAATCAACCGCAGTCAGGGTTGCTTTTTCAAGCGGGTCACCAACAAGTCCTTCGTCCAATTGCGCCAAAGAATGGCACGTCGCTAATACTTGGACACTCTCCTTTGGCGCCTCACTAATTGGAATCACACCCTTTTGGCCTCTGCCAAGACAAAAATTATTTTAGATTAATCAGATAAAACATAAGATTTTATCCAACTTACGGCAGCCCTGCAATGCCTTCAACGACTAGATTATCACTTGTTAGTGTTCCAGTTTTGTCGAAACAGCAAATTTCAACTTTTCCAGCAAATGGAATCCTAAAAGGCTCTGTGCAGAAAACAGCTGCAAAATTTAAGAATCGTTAATCATTTTGACTGACCATCTTCAGTTGAAATTTCTTACCTAATTTGGACAACGCCAAGAGGGATGTGTTGACAGCCAAGGAAAGCTCAATCGGCAATTCTGGAGGAATGACCGAAGTCAAAATCAGAGCACACTCCAAGAACAACTTGTATCGGTTCCTTGTCGGGTCTTCAGTGCCCTTGACCCAGACGTAGGCAGCAGCAGCAACGGCAAAGATGAGCAGGAACATGATGAAGCCAAAAGTTTCAAGATTGTTGGCTGTCACTCTCTTGACTCCGAACAAGATTGTACGTAAAAGCTTGCCCTGCGAAGTGTTGAAACCCGTCCTCAAGACGTATGCAATGCTGCCGTTGTCAGGGGCTGGACAAATATTTTAGTTAACTTAACACTTTTCATTTTGATAAAAAAAAAATAACCTTTGAGGCCATTAGTTGTTTTACTTGGTGCTGAGTGTTGTACAACTCGCGTTCCTCCAAAGAGAATGTGCAGTTTTCCGTCGGATTCGACATCAAGTTCTGTTTCAGCAGACTGGCATTCGACCGGCTCCTTCATTTGGGGCACAGATTCGCCTTAAAATAAAAAATGCCAACATTTCAAAATGTTTTTATGAAAAAGATTCAAACCTGTGAGCATGCTTTCATCAACAATGCAAGGTCCTCTAAGGAGGAGCATGTCACATGGAATCAAACCATCACCGTGGGTTCTTGTAATTGAAACAATATCTCCTGGTAATAAGAGGTCACTCATTAGAGGCCTCCATCGTCTATTGCGGTATGCCTAAAATTATATAAACTTGGTAGTGATGATTTATAAAAAAAATTATTTAACTGCGTAAATTTTCATAACAAACTAATCATTTTCAAATAATTTCTAACCATCATGAGGAAGGGTTTGTTTCCCATTTCGCGAATCTCGGCCATATTACGCAGCTGTTGGTGGACAAGTGTGCACTCGAACATGACCAGCATGACAAGGGTGAAGAGCGAGTAATACCAGTACTTGTCCAAGCACCAAAGTGCCACACAGAGAACTTGGAATACAAAGAATGGTGCCGTGGCACGTTCTTTGAACAACTCGCTGAATTCCGGAACAACCATGTCCAACCTTTGTAATGTGGAAATAATTATTTTTATCCAAAACTTGCAAAAATTTGATTTTACTGATTTCTCCCATATTTTGCTTCAGCAGCGGCAACCTCCGAGTCTTCTTTGAAGCCTTTCCATTCAGTGTAGGTTCCGTAACGATCGTTGATTGGAAACTCCAGACCTCGAAATTGCTTCTTGTTTTCATCCCAAATATACTTGGTCTTTTGGAAGAAGAACCAAGGCATCCTCTGGCCATCCTCCTGATGACATGATTTATTATTTTTAATTGAAGTTCTGTAGAAATAAATTGTTCAGAGTAAGTTTTTATCTTATGAACCTCGTAGACGCGGAGCGCTATAAGTTCTGATGATCCATTGTTCTCAGTTGGCACTACTTTGGCCACAGTTGCTCGAAAAGGATCCTTTTCCTGAAATACAGATTTTGCTGTCAGTGTTGACCTCATGAAGACAATAAGGTGTTTTTTTTGCACCTTTCTGCAGGTGAGGGCGCATTTGACGTGGACAGACCAGTGGCAGCAAAGAACTGTGAGAAGCTGCAGAAGGCCGATCACCGCCAGGCAGATGTAGCCGATCTCGAAGGCGAGGTCTGAGTCAAAGACGGCGAGCCAGCAGTAAAACCAGCCGCTGTAGAGCAGCAGGAAGGGTAACACGTAGCCGTGCAGAACGAGCGGCCGCGGGACGTAGAGGCCCACGCTGCGAACCAGCTCGTCCACACTTTGTCCCTGAGCCATTTTTTGTACTACCCTTGCGATAAATCGGACCTTCACCAACCCTGGAAGTACCGAACTGGAACACAGACCATCGAGGGCCAACAGTTACCACGCCCCCGTTCGGCTCTTTCTGACAGGGCGCTGCAAAGGTGCCACACAAACAATGGTTGCCCTTCTTCTTGGGTGTATTTTTTGAGGATAAACAAAAATTATTTATGCCTAAATTTTATAAAAAAATTTAAAATAATATTTTACAAATTTTCTCTTTATAATTTGTATTTGAACACGCATAACTTAATACATCTTTTAAAATAAAAATAGTTAGGTTGGTTATGTTGAAATGTTGGCAGCAGACGACAGACAAGCTGAAAAAAGCCTAACTTCACGAAAGAAAACAAAAATAGCAAAGGAAAATCTTGCTTCCTCCAGATTTCATTCTGTCAAACCGACTTAAGATTGCCTTCGTATTCGTAAGTGTCAAAAATTTAATCCGATTATTTGCTAACCCGTTAAATCCTGTACGAAATTCTAGAATTTACTGCCAAGCAATGGAATCGATGGATCCTGATATTTTGAAAGACGCCGACGATCCTTCCTTAGGCGGACCTGACGAGTCGGTCGACGTGTCTATTGAGGAGGACTCAAAGGTGACCGCAGACGATGATTCCAGTGATAGTAGCTCTATGGGAGGCGACATGATGGACGAACACCCAGGCGGCAACACGCATTCACTTCTGCAGGCCAGGGACAGCGACGGAGGCACGGATTCAGGAGAGGATGAGGAGCCAACACCTGTCAACAACAGCAGGTTGATTGTGTGATTTTACCGCACTTCAAGTGATGATTAGAATTTAATAATTTAATAAATTAAATTGTTAAGCTTCGCCAACGACCCTATGGAGACTTCTGCAAATTCGTCTTTCAACATAGTGAAGGAAGAGGTTTTGGATGAGAACTACGATGAAGAAGAAGACAGATCGCAGCCCAATCTTTTGCTCCCCACACTTCCAAAACCAGAACCTACGATATCACCACCTCCAGCAAAAAAGGCCAAGAAGAGGGAAAAGACAAAAAAAGAGATCGAAGAAGAGGAAAGGGAGAAAATGCAGTAAGTTCTGAGGGAAAATTATAAAGATTAATCATCAGCAGCTTATATTTTTCAGAGTATTGGTTTCCAATTTCACTGAAGATCAACTTGATCGGTACGAGATGTTCAGACGTGCTGCCTTTCCCAAAGCTGCCATTAAAAGGGTAAGCAATTGAATAACCTAGTGGAAAATATTTTGAAACAATTTCAATTGTTTATAGATAATGCAAACAATAACTGGTTGCTCTGTATCACAAAACGTAGTGATTGCAATGGCTGGAATAGCAAAAGTCTTTGTTGGAGAAGTTGTTGAAGAAGGTCAGTTGATTTTTTGTTTTTATAAACTGTTTATGGTCTTCTTTTTAAATATTTTTTTATTTATATGAATATAAAAAATTTAACTGAATTTAATGATATAATTTTTTCAGCTCTGGACGTTGAGGAAAAGATGGGTGAAAGTGGACCAATTCAGCCTAAGCACTTACGAGAAGCCGTACGACGGCTTCGTTACAAAACATCCATTCCAAATACAAAGCCAAGGAAAATCGCCAACTTGTGATGTAAGCAAGGTAATTTCATTTAAGCTCTGGTTGCGCAAGCAACTTTGAAGACTGGCTTGATTTTACGGAAGCCGTTGGGTTAAGCTTTTGTACAGACAAACCTTTGGGGCTTCCGTTTGATACTTTCTCAAGCCATGGTGTGTGTCAGCTGCTGCAACGCAATTAGTGGTTTCTAAGAACATGTTCGGGTGTGTTAAGTGAGAGACGGAAACTGTATTATTCATCAAATATAACATCTCTTTATTGATTTCTTATTTGACATACTCGTGTATTTTTATCAGTAGCATATTGTGCATGATACTTTAAACACCCATTTTAACAGTAACTTTTCAACGGCAAAATACAAAAATATTACAAAAAGTAAAACAGTTGTCATTATAAATAAAAATGAATGCTCTCTAGTAAAAATTGAACAATTATACACCAATCTGATATCATCTACCACACAAATAAAAACTTCAATGATTGTCCTCCAAACAAAAAATTAGTCCAAAATTTGGCATTTTTGTTTTCAATCAAAAATTAAGGTTGAAGTTGATGGCTCTTGACCGGGTGAAAGAGTTTCGCCAATTTGCTCGACCGTCGTTTCAGGTGACACTCCACGAGCATAATGTTTGATGACCGCCGGGATTTTGGGTTCTGATGTGCGCGGTTCCTCTTCGGTCAAACTGTTTCTGGCGTACTTTCGCATAGACCGTTGCACGGAGCCCAGTAAGTTTCTGGACGTGGCTGTGAAGGATTTGGCGCGACGGGCGGCGCCCCCTTTGGCGACCGAGTGCGACTCTTCCTCCTCCTCTAGGGGTTCCTGTTCAACCGGCGAGTGGGGCATGTCAGGGTCCTCGTAGAACCCGCAAGCGCTGGCCGGTCGAACGATGTTCTCAGGGGGCTCCTCAAAAAGCCGATTGGTCGGTCGCAACGGACAACTCTTCCTTCGGGCGGCCAAGTTGGGCACCCCTGACGGCGCCAGGTAGTTGTCCAGCCGATTGCACGCCGTTTCGTCCATTGTCTGACGAGCGCGTGAGATGCGGTAGCTGACGAGACGCACGTAGGGAATAGCACAAGAGCGCAACTGTTGGTTCAACCACTCGTCGCGCGACGAACCCTGGAAAACTGCGTCAAATGCTGCACTCCAACGACTATTGCCGCACCTGCAAAAATACAATTTGAAGTTTTGAAGACAAACATAATAAAAAGTAACAATTACACAAGAAATGGTCAGCTGTAAAATCAGCCTTGGAACTTGATTAAATCTAGCTAGACAGCTAATTCGGTCATAAAAACACCATTTTAAACCTCATAATTTGATTAAATTAAAAAAAAAATTTTAATAAAAAAAAATATGGATCCTTTGGGTTGTCTTCAGATTGAGTGATTATTGATTGGCCTTGTTAACATGAAATTTCCACTCTTGTATTAATAAAAATAAATTGATTAAAAAGATAAATTGATCTAAATTAAAAAAGAAATGAATTTTCGCTTTAATAGAATAAAAATTAGGCAATCATTCTACACAGGTGTCGTGCAGGTTGCATCAGAGAATATCAAGGCGCTTTTTGATTGACCAAAAGATCGTCGAGAAACTGATTTGAAACTGCTCGAAATTATTATGACTTAAATTAATCTTTTTGGGAATGACACTTTTTAAAAATAATTTTCAAGGAAATTTGTCACTTTTAATGTTTTCATAACATAAAAATATAAATTCTTTTAAAATACCGATTTACTGCTGCGGTCAGTGCAATAAATTTAAATTAATCTTCAAGTGTAAAAACGTCTTCACTTGCTTATTAACTTTTCATAATTTAAAATTCTTACTTCGCATTCAAATAAAAAATTTAATTGTTTAAAGTTGAGAATTTTTCATTCGAAAATGCGCGTTTATTAACTTGGACAAAAATTAATAAATTAATTAAGTTCATTAGGACCAATCATAAGGTATAATCTGGTGTAATTTCTGTCCATAATTAGATACATCAAACATAAATGAAATAATGGATCAAAGAGGTAGTAAAATGGTTGAAATTTTAGAACATTTTTTAAAAAGGAAAGAAATTTTAATCCCAACGGTTCTCAACTTTGACGTTTAGAACAATTTAAAAAAATTTTAAACTAGCAGTTAAATATTAAGTCCCAGATAAAAGACTGAATGTTAAAACTAGAAATCAAATCTACACAGTTGTAATTGAGGGCGATTAAAACTACAACCCAGCAAAGGATACAAAATTTTGTTTTAATTTAATTTTTTTATTTCTTAATGTGTGCTTCAAAACTGTGTGAAATTTCAATCGCCTTCATTTAGAACCAGAATGAGGTGCTTTTTTCATGAAATTGGGACAAACTAAAACAAGGCCACAGCGAGTGCGCGACAAGATAATCGGCTCACTCGCGTGTGCCTGCGGAAGTTTAACGCACCATTATCATCGGACTATCGCACTCTGTCTCCTTGGAACAAGAAGTACCTGTGGCTGAGGGTGGCCAGCATGGCGGCTAGCAGGCGTCGATCGCGTGGCACAGCATCAGGGCGCTGACCACGAGCGTGACCCACAGGACGAGCAGCACGCCGTTCGCGAGGAGCAGCTCGCTCGGAATGAATTCAGTCACTTTCGCTGCGATTCCGGGTGACAAAAGGGTGCAGATCGTGGACGGGTGTCGAGTGGCGGCCGAGGGCGCCGGACGCCGCCCTTATAGCGGCCTTGCGCGGCTTCGCTAATCGCGTTACGCAAGCAAGGTGTATGTGTTCGAAAGAGCACCAACCGGCCAACACGAAGCCCCTTCGCGTTTTTGTTTGCCGCGATTAATCAAGTTATGTGTGTCGCGGTTTTGCTCTTTCGATCCAACAGACACACGGCGACGTCACTCATGGAATTTTGCTCGTTCGCCACACATGCATAAATAATTCTCTTTTGGCCGTCGAATCGGATTATTTGCGCTATTTTAGGATATATTGCTGACGGAAATAGCAAACGGAATTCGCCATTGATATATGCTTATATTGGCGTGAATGAATGGGAAAGAGGATTGATTGAAAATAAACGTGTCATGTCGACGTCATTGGTAGGTATCGAAAAGTATAAAAAAACCTTCATTCCATTAATTCTAAAACTGATTTCTTGTAGTAAATGGAAAGACACAATTTTGTTAAAAACAAAATCTGGTAGAAAAAAGAGTGAACGATATTATATTCTTAAACTGTGAAAATTGTAGATAACGTTGATGTAGACTCCAGATTTTTCAATGAAATAGACAGCAAAGGGCAAAAATTTGCCCGTAATTCCTTTTTTTTACCATTTACTACACTTGTTTTTGTGTACTTTTCATTAAATATTAATCACTGATTTTGGGCGCTTATCGCTAGTAAACAAATTTTAGAAAAAATTTGTTGTTATCATCTATAAGATTTTTAGAAATTTCAAATGTTCAATGGATGAAATTATTTATTTCACTTATTAAATAAAACATAATTCATATTGAATTGAATAGCGTATTAGCGTATAAGTTTAGTGCTAGTTTTTTCCAATTATCTTCTGTAATTTTGTAAGAAGATTAAAAGTAATAATACACTGTTACTTTCTAAAACACGTTTGATTCACCGGATTCATCCCTTTTTTGATGAGGCGCACAGTATAATAAGTTACGAGATAGTTGTATTTCGTTGGACGCAGTTGTATGTGTTTGCCTTGTATGTGGGCACCGCTTGCGCAACCAGAGCAAAGCTCTCACGTAAGCCACCATGGTGACGACAAAAAGTCACCTGCTTTGCTCTCCCGGCCTTGCAAATCGAACGTCGAGAGTAAATAAACAAATAATGCCCCTTTAGCCCTGCCTAAGCAATAAACGGTATCTTCACTTTTGCTTTGTTGAGCAGTTTCGTTTCTCGCTAGACAAACACTCGGTGCCGCATAATAAAATGACACTGCCATTATATTTTATTTGAATTTATAATTATGCAATGTATAATCGAAAGTTTTTTACGCTTAAATTATATATTATATAAAATTGTCAGGAATTTTTTTTAACTGTTGAAAAAATTACGCAGGGTTAATTGCGAGTGAATAATAATTTGATTTTTTCTTCTATTTTTCATTTTTATTATTATACTTGAACACTATGGCTGCGTTTTTACTTTTTACAGACAGCTGCGACTTACAAGTATAATAAATTATCTCATTCTTTGGCACCAATCAACACTTCTTCTCTCTATCTGCATATCTTTCTCCGATGTTATTCAACGGCGTCGTTAGGGGGTTGGAACTGTCGCAACGAGGGTGACTGATCAGCAATGGCCGCCGCTGAGCCCGACCGGCCAAATCTCATGTGGCCGTAGTCATCAAAGGCGGCCGCCTGCTGTTGGGCTCTTTTTCCAAAACGCATGTGGCCGTAGTCGTCAAACTCGCGCTTCTCTTCATCCACTAGCGCGTCCAGCTGGTCCAAAAAGACCAAGTTTTCGACTGGTCTTTGCTAAGGAAAAAAACGAGAAATAAATATCCCAAAAACTGTGGAATGAAAATTTAAGAAAATTGAAAGCAAATTGATAAAAATTAAATATAAATGATGTTATGATTATATGATGTTACTGTATTTCAATAATTATATTTATTTTTAATTCTATTCAATTAACAAAAAAAATATTAAATTTTGTGCGTAGATTTTTCCACACGGGAAACTTTAACTGAAATAAGCGCCATTTTTTAATTCAATTGTCTGAATAAAGTAAGCTTCAAAATTGTGTTTTTTTTCTTCCATAATTTATTGGCTTTTAAAGATTATTAAAAATGGAAGAAAAGTCTCAAATATATGAAAAAATTGCTAAAAAACGATTTTTTAAAGAGTTTTAAAAGTGTTGCATTTGACTAATTTGTCATATCCTTCACTTAAACTAATAAAAAAGAATTACAGAAAATAGAAGCATTTTGAAATAATATGATTATCTATTTGCTCAAAATTTTAAATATTGGAAGCAATTTTTTAACAAATTTAAATGATTAAATATTTTTAATAACCTACTCTTCGAGGTATTCTGGCACCCATCAGAAGTTCTCCTGGAGCTGAAGGTTGATGCCTGGCGAGTCTGGTCAGACGTCCAGGGATTGATGAAGGGTGATTGCTGCCCAATTTGGAGCCGACAACCATAGTTGGGGTGGCTTTGGCGCCGGAGCCCCGCTGCAGGGCGAGCAGCAGCACTGCCCCGAGCCACGCGAGGCTCAGCAAAAAACTCTTCATGGCTACTCTTTAAGGAAGTAGAAATTTAAATATTAAAAAATTGGATAAAAAAAATCGTACCAAATTGTTGAGGAAAGTGAATTCTTTGCAAGAGTGTCTGGGCGTTTGATCGAGGGATGCTGGGGGCTGAAGCCTTTTATAGTGGCCGCGTGTGTTCGCGTTTTTCGCGTCACGCATACACGTAAATCGCCTCAAATCCCTTGGGATTCAAACTGTGAATATTAAAATGTTCTCGCGCCGCGAAAAGGAAGAATAAAGGCGTTAATGTAATTCAATTATCGAGAAAATTTGTATGATGATGGCGTTCAACGCCTCTTCATCTTCAGTTCATCCCCTGTAACTGGAGCATAATCATGGATGGGGGTGGTGGATTTGCTGTCCTTCAGTGCCTTCGCGTCTTGATTAAATTGCAGAATTTCTATTCGGGGAAAACTGCTTGTGCGTGTGGGTGGAAGAAAAAAAAGCTAAAAAGAATGCAACTAACGCATGGATTTCATTTAATATTTAAATTTCTATTTTAAAAAAGTAATTTTTGTTAAAATAATTATCTGATAATTATGTTTTATTCAAATATTATTTTAATTTTACTGATATTTAATTTTTTACACTTTAAGATAAATATTGTTATAAATTTCTTGGTACATATTGCTAACAATACTAATGTATGAATTTACGATAAACTTTTTTATATGTTTTTCCTTGATACTGTTTCAAGTCCCACAAGTTGTGTCATTAAATAAATTTAATCAAAGGAAAATTTTTGTTAATTTCTTTTGATAAAAACTACGCTTGTCCAACAGCACTTCCATAATTGAGTTACATATATTAGCATATATGATTGCACCGCGAAAATTTTTCATGACGGCAAATTTGTTCATTTGTGCTAATGAAAAAGGCACAAAGCGTTGAGCACTGTTGTAGACGAAGGTACTCTGCTGGCGAAAAAACACAAGGGTGCACGCGGCCTTGGCGTGAATAATGCATTAGCAGGCGTAGAGAGAATCTTTGTTTCGCGCCGTTCGGCTCGCGGTCGCCCCTCCACGTCGCGGGGCTATCGATTGCGAGTTGCCGCCTCCGAGCCTCGCCCACGGCAGAGAGGACAGACGGCTGGCGAACGCGGTGTCCCTTTTTTGATTCCCCCACAACCCTTTGACCCTGGCGACGACGATGGCCGCGTGCTTCCTGGCGCCGGTCAGGACCGAGCAGCAGATCCTGGAGAACTCGATGCTCGAGGACGACCCCAACTCGAACTCGGCCCTGGTCGCGCCTCCGGCCGACGACCCCGCCGGCGCCAAGCCCCGCTGGGGTCCGCAGCACAAGGGCGCCCAGGAACTCGCCAACCTTTACAGCACCGGTGATTTTAAATTTTCTGTTTTTTCGCTTCAATTTAATTTTTAAATTAGATATTTTTTAAATTCCGTCGGCACCCTTTTAAGAACTAATTGTCCTTTTGACCTGCGGCGGCGCCTCAAAATTCTGATGTTATCGTGCATTAATTTTTTTATTTTCTTTTGTTTGTCGACGTCGTTGCTGGCACGCAGGTTCGCATGTTGTGTATGAGAAAATGCGCCCCATCTGTTTTTTTTTTCGTTCAGCGGCATTATATAATCATGCATACGCTGATAATGCGACAAAAAATAAAACATGTTCGTGTGAAAAAAAACCTCATACACAAAATTTACCTTTTTTTTTCTTATTATTGTGGGTGACTTTCCTTGAAACACTGCGACATTTTTAATGATAGGAAATAATAATTTTGAGCTTGCAGGGACATAGCAATTGAAAAATAGATCGAAGTCGGCAGTAAAAATACTATTTTTAATTTAATCTGCTTAGGTAAAAACTTCACTTTGTCCTTGGCTGTCATGCATTATGTCACCAGCATTTGAGAAATGACTAATTTCCGCTATGTTTTTGACCTGACAAATGTTTATTTAAAAATGTTTGAATAAGAAGAAATGTTCAACCTGTATAGCCCAATAATAAAATTGAACCAGGTCAGAAAATAGAAATGGCTATTAAAATTATATCTCTCTATTAATATTAACTTCAAGTTGTATCCAAATTGGATAATAAAATAGAATATAGATAACACGCACTTACACACATTTTAAAATTTCAACAAAACTTTTTTGACCAGATTAGTTTTGTTTTTGTTGAAACGTGTTGTAGAATTTTTGTTTCAAATTTAAATTTATTAAACTTTTTATTAATTCATTTTTATTCATACCTTCATCTTCTTTTTGTTGTAAAATATGTATATTCAATATTTATTTTTAAAACTATTATGGAGAGTAAAATAAGACTTCGTAAATTACTGGCTTTGTACAAAAGGCTAAATTAAACACTTTTTTTTTTAAAATTATTTGCCTCAGCCAATATTTTTTGTTTGTTAATAATTTTTGTAGATCTTATATTTGAGAATGAATGTTTGATATTATTTGTATGTCCAATTTTATTTAAAGAATTTGCAAAGCAAAATAATAGAGAGTTACATTAATGAATATATTTTTCTATTAACTGCACCACCAGAGCAACATATTACTTAGAGTTATTAATAGCAACTTGGTTTCCATTAGTTTTAATAGCCCAGTTGAAAATTGATGCGGCAGTTTTGATAAATAATTTAATAAGACATTTAAAACATTATCAAGGTCCTGATAAAATATTTTATTTCTATCTCTAATAAAAAAAGGCTAATATATTTTTTTATTTGAAACGTCCAACCAATTATAAAGTTCGTTTCGCCATATTTTGGCATCTAATCTGCAATTTTAATTAGCATCTTCTCTATTTTAGATCCTTCATCGTTTTTTTAACCATTCAATGCAATTAATCATCCCTTCGACATAATTTATTATAAATACTACAGCTCGCAAAGCAGCGCATAAATAAAACACCATCGATTGCCACGTTAAAATATTTATGCTGTCCACGCTGAATGAACCCTTCTGATCGCGGCTGCAAATATTTACACAGTCTTTCTCTCATTTTCATAATGATCGATCAGAGCAGATCAATAAATCATTATTTTGTTTCTTGCAGGGAAGCGAACGCAGGAATGCATCTGCGTCGGAATCTGCATCATGCTGATGGCTGTGAATCTCTTTTTCCTGCTGATGCACCTCCGGCTCGAGAAGCTGAGCACCATTGTGGTGGCAGCGATGTGTGGAATCATCACTGCCGACTTCGCGTCGGGCGCCGTCCACTGGGGCGCCGACACCTGGGGCTCCGTTGACCTCCCCATCGTTGGCAAGGTTTTGAAAAAAATTTAGAGTTTCGTCAGTGGGCTTTATTTTCTCCAATACTTGCAGAATTTCATCCGGCCTTTCCGAGAACACCACATTGACCCGACCTCGATCACTCGGCATGATTTCATCGAAACCAATGGCGACAACTTCATGCTCTCCATCCCATTTCTGGGCTACATGGTGTGGCACTTCATCTCCAGTTCCGAGGCAGAAGTGCAGAGGAGTTTCTGGTGGAGTTGTTACCTTTTCCTGCTGGCAATTTTTGTCGCTATGACCAATCAGGTTCGAAATATAATTTAAAATTTAAATTATATGCAAAGATTTGAGATATTACTTAAAATAAATTTGATTAAATATTTACATTTGATAATTTTATAGGTACAAAATTTTAATTAGGATGAAGGGAAGGTATTTTTCCCATGCTCAGAGATAACTAAATTATTTTGTATTTCAATTTTTGAACTAAATGTTATGTCTTAATGTTTTTTGTGTACAATTTAAAGTAACTATTTTAGTTTTGAAAAAATAAATAATACAAGCAGGTTCTAATTAAAAAAAAAATTAATTAAAATTAAAATATAAATTTTACTTATTACGAAATTAGGCTGGTCTTGACATTTAAAAGTGCAATTTTGAGAGAAACCCGCTAAAATATATTTTTTATACAAAACCTTATCTGTAATATAGTCAAGAAAATAATATTTTGATGTAATTTTCAAGGTAATTTTTTATGTTTGCCTTTAAAGTGCGGCTGATTTATGAAGTTCCTTTCAACTTTTTGAGAGATACTTGAAAATATTCCGATTGTATTTTTCCCCAACAACGGAAGCATTTAAAATAACGTTTTGCAAAAATAATGAACTAGGCGCCTATTTATGTGATATTTACCTCATGACGTTGAGATGTAAAAAGCATTTAATGTTTACGTTTAGAAACTTACATTTGATTTTAATAATCAAAAATTAAATCCAAATTTTATGCTACTTTTATAGCAAATAGATTTTTTGAGCGATTTTCAATCTGGTACCTAATTTTTTCATCTGGCATTTTTTTAATGCTCTTGTTCCACGGATTATTACATGATTTTTTATTTGGACTTGCAGATTCACAAGTGGTCCCACACATACTTCGGTCTGCCTGGCTGGGTCGTGTGGCTGCAGGAGCACCACGTTATCCTGCCGAGACGCCACCACCGCATCCACCACGTGGCCCCACACGAGACCTACTTCTGCATCACCACCGGCTGGCTCAACTGGCCCCTCGAGAAGATCAGTTTCTGGCCCGGGCTGGAGGCCATAATCGAGTGCTGCACCGGCTGCAAACCGCGCGCCGACGACCTCAAGTGGGCCCAGCGACGCTCCTAGAAACTTTTGCCTCTCCTCAGCCAACCTTTTCGGTGCCTTTCGCCACTTTCCTTTCAGCTTTATGGTCACCGAAGCGCGTAAACCTTCCCATAAACCACAAACAATAACAGCAAAATTAATCAGACACGCATTGTCACGTAACTATTGCTGCTGTTCCTATTTTTCGTTTGCCTAGCAAACATAACAGAGAGTTCCGTAGATTCTAAACATGATTCCTTGCAAGGCCGTAGGCATTTTTTTTTTTTTTTTAATTTTGCATTTTTAATTATACATTTTTGTGTGACTATTTTTGGTCTCGTATAATTACAATTAGGGAAAAGTCAATTGGTGGAAATCAAAAGTTACCGAAAACAACGTCAAAAGACATCAAGGGCGATCCAAAAGTCTAACCTAGCCTAAGAAATTTTAAAAATCAAATTTTAAAGACATTGCTGCCGGCCAACAATAGATCATTTAAACATTTGGATCGCTCCAAAAATTTTCCAAGCTAGTGAAGAGAGTTCCTTTTTTTTAGTCAGCTTTTGCGCAATTTCTTACAATGAATAGAATTCTTTTCGTCATCTTTCCACTTTATATTATATAAGTTATTTTGTTTTTTCTTGAATAACGTGGTCCTAATGTAAGGCCTCTTGTCAGAAAGGAATCAATATTTTTTTACATAATACAAATTTTTGTTAAATTTTCAGCGATTTGTGACGGAGTGCCAGATTTTACAATGAGAGGAAGTTACAACTGAAAGTTTTAATTTCTGGCGATACAATCAATTTTGAAACATTTGACGCTGGGAATTTGTTTGATAAAATATCACCCTCCATCCTCTGCGTTTCTCTTTTGGCTTTGCAATTTTCCAAGAAGCTTTTAAACTTGAGCGGACGCCAAAAGGAGATTCAAAATTGCCGAAAAGCTGTACAGTGCTTTGATAATAAGCGTTCGGGGACCAAAATATTGACCGAATTCAAACCGCTTTCAAAAGATTGTCTCTACTATCAATAAAAAAAACTGAAGGTGCAATACAGGTGACGCACAATCCTATCGCAGTTTGCATATTTTTGCTGATATGCCTTGAAAATCATGAGGAATTTTGATAGAATATACTAGATGAACGCTTTGGTACGCCTTTCTTATACGTGATTGTGAAAATTTCTACTAACGCGGTAGTTTCTAGGAATGCATGTGATAAAGTGCACAACCTGCCGCCGCAAAACGAACTAATTAACAGTGTATAGATTTATAAATCTTTGATTCAAATTGATGTACACGCTGCTTTTCTCGTGCGTCATGCGTAATTGAAATTTTATCTCGCTTGCTGTGTTTTGTCGACAATCAAAAGAGTTTCGATGAGGGTAATTAATCTATTGTGAAATAACGTGGCTTTCGCTAATTAACAATTGATTTTTGTTTCTCGATGCGTAAATGAGTAGTGCCATTTGTGACAAATGAAAAACTCATCTTTGCCAAAGAATTATTGCTAATTTAGTTTTTTAATTCCGCCTCGAACAAATTGTTGAAAAGTCTTTGAATTAGTTGGAGATATATCAGATTTTTAGCCACTTATATATTGTTATACTAAGTCACAAAAGTAAAACCACCTGAGCATATAGACTAGTGTTGAATTCTTCAAAGTTGTGAAACGCGTTGTTGGCCGAGCCAAAGTTTACCATTAATATGGTGCTGTTTTATGTTTTAATTCTTGTTTTTATTCAATAATATATAATATTAACTCAAGTTTGTTGATTTTTAAGTTAAATTTTAATGTGCAATTAACATGTATTTTTAGAGTGATGAAAAGTTCATTTATAAATGAGTTTCCATATTTACGATGTTGTCAAGTTTCTTGTTATCCGAATTTTCAATTAATATATTTATGCTGGTATTCGCACAATTTTTTCCCAGTATTCTTTACACGGCGATACAAACAAGCCACAATCATGCAACTGCTCAAAATTATTTTAACTTAAACGTAGTGTGTGTGTACCTAATGAAAAGTCCGCAGAAATAAAACAATTTTTACCTTACACTAAACAGGGAACCGCGCGTAGTGTTATCACTGAGCTGGAAATTTTCTGTAAAAATATAATTAACCGTCTTGAAGAGTGAAAACCGTATGGTGCCTGAAAACTTATACTTGAACGCAAATTACAAAAGAGTAAAGAAATAATTCTAGTTCTTTAAAGAAAAAAAGAAAAGTGCGATTCAAGCGTCTGTAGAAATTGATTGTGAAAAATCAGAGAAGTTATTAAAATGTTTAAAAAATCATTCAAATTTTAAACAAATTGATTTGCCCTTTCTTTATTCTCAAGCATCACTTCTTTATTTCGTGCCGCTATAAATCGCTGTGTGTGCTGAGAAAGCAAATACGCAGACCGAAATTTGAAATAGTGTGTAAGAGAGAGCAAAACTGTCCACAAATAATGCGCTGAAGAAAAAAAAGAAACTTCTAAAACAAATCACTTAATGTGATAGATCATGTTATAAATTAATAAGAGGGAATAAATTTATATACAGTGCAAACTGAAATTATCCTGTTTTATTTGTAACAAAGACCGATAAAAAACACGTTTGTTTGGAGTTGATTTTTAAATTTTATTAGAAAAAAGTGTATGTATTATTTCGAGCTATAAAGGAAATCAATTATTCAGAAAAATCTTGTAGCGGAGTAGAACTAGTTGTTGCGTCCTCTAATGTCTCGCAGACGAAGTAGTTCAACGCCGAGCAGGCAGCGTGCCGCCAGAGGCTTTTGTTAAAGACCATGCACCTTAAATGAGTACACAATTATTTTTCGTGTCATTTTTCAATCTTCATATAATTTAAAATTAACCTGTTGGCAACGGCGGGGACTTCAGTGGGATCCCAGTAACTGAGTTCAACTGGGGAGTTGGTGTGGACCCAGTAGTAACTGTTCTCGGACCCAATTTCCGTTCCTCCAATCCATACGTTTTCGTTTTGCAGACCGCTAGCTAGGATCTGCCCTGCCACAAACTCAAATTCTTCCTTGGTTTCAATGCTTAAAAAATCCATTCCGCGTGCAATGCAAAAGGAACTTGCGTCAAACCATGAGGCCTGCAAAATTAATTTAAATTAAAATACATTTTATTTAGAAAGAACCTTTCTAAATTTACTTTGCTACGAAAAAATACAAATGTTGAAATGATCAACCGGGATTTTTCTCTTCTTGATGCAATGTATTGATAGGCTAATGCGCTTGGTTTTTAGCAAATTTAATACATCAAGAGGAAATAAAAAAAATCCCTGCTTGATGCAAAAATTAAGCATAAATTAATATTACAAAATGCTGATTTTGAAAGGTAAATAATTTTTTGAAAAAATTTCTCATTAGATTGGACTGCAGTAATAGTAGACAAAACCTTATTCTTTTCAGCTGAATTAATTTTGTTCAGCAAAAAACATTTTTCCAACAAGTAAAAGCCCAGTTCAGCACCTCAAACAAAAATTCGGGATTCAACGTTTACAAAATTTATTACTAACCTTCTCGTTACTAATAATTAAAATAGGTTTCTGACGTTCCTCAATCGTGTCTATAAGAATTGAAGAAATATATTATGAACAAAAAATTGTAAAATTTAAAATAATTGATTGAAAAGATTTCCTTACCCACGCTATAGGCGTCGGCGAAAGCCACAAACGAGAGGATTGCACCCGCGATAAAATATTTGGACGCTTTCATTTTTGCAGCTTGTAAGAAAGCAATGCTTATTTAGTTGCTAACAAATTGAATCTCCTTTTATATACTGTTTAATTAAGGGGAGGAGATTAATTGACCACTCAAATGAGCTGATAACAAAATTCCGCTTCCAAACAAATTTGAAATAGGTCGCTTTTGAAGTTAAGCAGAAAAACACCAATTAAACACCATTAGCAATATGAGAGCACTTAACTTCTTTACTCAAGATAATACTGACAATGAAATCATCAATTCAATAAATTGCGTCAGAAAAATCAATCAAATTAGAGAAATTTCTTTACTATCATTTTTATTAGTATGTCAAGGCTTAATGGGAAGTTTCATCGTTTGTTTTAATTCACCCCAAAAATAATTTTTTTTTGCGCTGGAATGATTAGGTTGACAACATTTTTTATTAGTATATATAACAAATAAAAACTCATTAAAATTTATTGTTTTTAATAGGAAACGTCAAGCTAGAAGAAAGTTATTTAAAAGAAAAAAAAACTAATATAAGCATTTTTTTTTTAGAGTTCTTTGCTCAAAAAATTTTTTTACCGGCCATGTCATGTGATTAAATTTGAGTCAAAAGGACCTAAAATGAGCTGGACATGCTTAGCGCGGTTGACATGTGAAGGTAAAGAACTTGAAAGGCAAAGTCCTAATTTTAATTATAGATATGCCGGATAAATAAAGAGACCCTATCAGAATGGTGTCTTTGCATCCGTAGCCGGGGTACCCTCCAGGCGCGTAGACGTTTTCGGTTAGAACTGTGGTACCTTGCGAGTCACACCAAACCTCGCTGCCTGTACTATAGTACCTCGAAAACCCAATCACTGAAACCACACGCTCAGGAGAATCTGCCAATTTTCAATTAATATATTTAAATTATCATAATAGGTGCTTTAAAAAAAAATTACAATTCACTGCAACAGTTAATTCTCTCATTTCTGCCAAATTTTTGGGCCGCCACAGATCCATTCCAATGCTGCAGCAGTACTGATAACCATATTTGTAATCCTTTCAAGAGAAAAATTAATTAATAAAGGATTTTTCTTATGTAAACTAACCATCCCAACTGTAAAGTTTGGATATGCTGAAAATACGTCTCGTGCGGAGGTTGACAAATTTACTAATTGCCCAACATCATCTTGTGAGAGGAAAAATAATTTTTATTGCTTAATTCTTTTAAATAATGTGTTATTTAAAACTTTTTCTTGCTGTCTTGAGGTCATTCATACGTGCAGCCTGTAAAAATTGGTAAAAATATTTTGTTTCTAGAGAAAATTAAAATTATACATCTGTGGTGCAAGAAAGACCAGAATTCAAACATTTGCGTTTTAGCTCCACGCATGGAACGGGCGGTGTATACTGAAATTAATCATTTTTTTTTTTTAAATAATGAGGAGAATCAATGCTAGCCAATTTACAATTGTTGTATTGAGCCTCTCTGCTGTTATCATTCTGGTCACTAAAGTCGGTGCCTTATAGAAACTGCAGCTGAAAATTTCGCTTGCCGTGTCGCATTCGTTTTCGCGTACTTGAGAAATAATATAAATCCCAATGGAATTTTTATTTTACCCCCATACCAATTTTCGTGCAAGTTTTGTGAATTTGAAACCCGCTTTGCAATTCCTCCTCATTTTGAGCGTTAATTTCAACTAGTCGAATAGTGGGCACAGGTCGAACGACATTTTTAAAGAACTTCAATCAATTAAATAATATTATTATATAAAAGTTAAGTAAAAATTAATTCAATATCTACTAATTTTTTCTGCTCAGCAACGCATTTTGTGAAGCACTGGAGTTTAAAAAAATTTTAATAATAATATAAATTTCCAATTTGGGTTCATACTTTTTGGGGTTCATTTTTATCACTGGAATTAGCTGGAGAGGTAGGGGTATCCTCAACATCATCTTTTGAAAAAAATCAATTATAATATGTTTATAAAAAAAATTCATTTAAACCATCAGGAGTTTCATGCAAAGATGCGCACTCATCAACAAGTGTCGATGGCGCCGTTCCTTGCTGCCGGACCTTTTTTATTCCCATTTGATTTATATTCTTTTTTAAATTTTTTTTTTACTTCGCAAGCGTATTGCATCAGTTCGTCGCAATCGGTGGTGCCGTAAACTGTCGCGTTGACATCCTCTGACGTTTTCACGTAAACGCAACCTCCGGCGGCCTTCGGATTTCCATTTTCCCAATTCACCTGCTCGTGTCTGAACGGAAACGCAGTCGAGCACCATTGGTAGTTCCCAGGACACCCGCTATCGGTGCCTGAAGTCCAAAATTGACCAATTGTGGTGTTTTTTTCTATAAAACATAATTAAATAAATAAAACAATTATTTCAATTACCAATAATTACGGGGAAGGGTTCCAACAATGCATTTGTGTTTGTAGATTGACTCGACAGACACAACGGTTAATCCAATTTGGCAACATTTGTCACGAGCCACTTTCCACGAAGCCTGTAAAATTTTAACATTGTAATTGATTAATAAAAATGAAATTAAAATTTATATTTGTACCTTTTCTTTGGAAAACAAGAAGATTCTATTGCAGCCAGACACCCAAGCGCCGTAATCAAAGTAATCTGCACATTAATAATTTTTTATTTTAATTCACACAAAAATTACGATAACTAACTGAGTAAAGTATTGCCACTGAAAAGCGTCAACTGAAAAAAAATTGTATTTAATAAAAAATAAATTATTTTTATTCTCATTAATTACATTCCGATCACATTTTCCGTTTGGACACTCCGGTTCATCACAAGGCAAGTCCATTTTTGGAGATCCCTAATATTTCAATTTTTTTTTTTATAGAGAAAAAATTGTTCGAAATAGCAAAACCTGGCAAGCAAAAACGTAGCTGTCAGTGCAATTTCTGTCGGTCAATCTGAGGCCGATTTTAGTGTCGGTAAAAATCTGCATGTGTATGCAGGACTGATTTCCCTTTAAATTGTCGGGCTGGCCAGGTGCCCAAGCAATTTCATTTTTTATGGTGGACGGGCCAGACCCGCACCACCTCCACTGTCCCTTGCAGCCCCTTTGCGTGCCGCCAGTCCAGTAATTGAAATTCAACTTCCAGTCGGTCGCGGTCAGATTGGTCAAACATTTCTGCTCCTCTGCAGACTCGATGACAATCGGCTCCATTCCCAAACTGCTGCACATTTCCCAATTTTCGTCCCAGTTCAGCTAAATTTAATTTCAGTAAAAATAGTAATTGTGAGAAACTTATGTTTGCAGACCAGTTTGTTGCCAAATAAGTATTTTTTCCCACACGATTCGGTCCAGTAGCCATAAGTAGCAGCGTCTTTTAAATCAGAGAAACAGAAAATAGACAAATAATTCTAAAATAATAAAGTTTTACTTTGTAATTTTCCATCGGTTCCAAACAAAGCAGGCTAAAAGGATTTTTTTCAATAATTTTTTTTTCATCAAGTTTTTATAATTGTTTACATTTGCTTTGCTTTCTGCAGGGCAAGTAGGATTCTGGCATATACTGGCTGTTGAAATAATTTATTTTCCTATCGACTTTTTCTATTGTATTGAAATACTTCACAAATATAAGACATGACTGTTAATTTGCAGAAATCGTGGAAGAACCCGGTCTTATTATCCTTTTCAGAAGTGTTAAATTTGAAACCCAAACATCTTTCCGCGATGGGTTTTGTGACAAACGTTGTGGCCCAGTGCTCGATTTGTTTAAATTCGAGGGGGAAATCTTGCGAAAAGTTTGAGGCGCATTGATTGAATATATTTAAATCGTCCCCCTCATTAGAAATTGTCGTCCAAAATCTGCTATCCGTTGTAATTACCTCTATACAGAGACAATTTTCATTAGATGATTTTTTTTATCATATGAAACTTTACTAGAGGTTATGGAAAGCAAACAATTTTTTTCTGCCAGGGTTTCGAAAGCTAGTAGGGACATATTTCTTTTCATGCACATCTTGAAAGCATCAGGAACGTTGTACTATGTAATAGGAAAATAATTTAAACTTTCATTCTACATAACTCTTGTGTACAGTACTTGATCTTTGCCGAAAAAATAATCTCTTCCGCAAGCAGGTATTATTGTGCCGGCAGTAGCAGGAGCCTTTGTCGTAGTCGTGGAAGTGTCGTTTCTTTCTCCTAATTAAATTGTTAGTAGATTATTTATTTCAATTAACTTCCACCTTACTAGCCAAATTTACAGCTTCTAAGTAACTTTGGTACTGAAAGAAGAGAAAATTCCAATATTATCTCAAACCTGAAATAAAAATGTTTTTAATTTTACTTGATCAACAGCTTGATTGTATCTGCCGCATTTGATTTTGTCTAGTGCCGCCGACTAAAATAATTATTTTAATACATTCCAAGAACAAAAATTTTAATTATTAAAAATAATTTTATAACTCTCTCATGAAACAATTCAAATTTAAGGAAAGTTTTACAATGCGCCTAACTTAGAACTGCAATTAAATAAAAATTCTGTTTTATTTTAGCGATTTAAAATTGTAAAAACTAAAAATTGATCTTTAAATTATTAAACGTCCTAGGGCGGTTTTATAAAATCACGCGATCAAAGCGTCAGGTTGCAGAAGGCTTAATGTTGAACGTGAGGGTCAAATTTTAACAATCAAAATCCTTATTTTTCCATATAAAACCATTTGTAAAGTCTTGAACTTTGAAATTTAACAATACAATCATCATCAGACATTGCTCCAATCAGGCCATAATTATAAAAAACGCACGGATGAAATAATTTTTTTTTATCAAATATATACTTCTGCATCGATGGGGCCTGCCACACTTGTAGTCGACAGCCCTGAAGTTAGAACGACAGTTGACTTCCCAGTGGTCCCAACAGTTGTTCCTGTCACTCTGGCCGTGACCGTCGTCTCTCCAGTTTTGGTGGAGTTGCCAACAATGCCACTTGCCACGGTCGCTGCTGAAGAAGTGCCAAGTTTGTTCGCGTTAGAAGTGGAGGAAACGGAATTATTTGCATTGGTGTTCAAAGCAGTTTTTGTCGTCGTTTGACCCGTTTGTCCAGAGAGTGTTGTTTGCTGGACACTCAATCCTGGCCCCTTGGTAATGATGGTTTGGGCATCAGTTCCAAATGAGGTAGGACCAAAATAATTATTTGAAGAGCCATTGTTGCTGCCGGCTATAGGCAAAGATGACAAAGGGTTATTGGGATTGCTGGTTTCAGAACCAGCATTCCCAGAATTTTGTGCCTGTTGTGGGCCCCCCATTGAATTAATATTTCCTTGGCTGCTCGAATCTTGAGGATTTTCCGAGGCATTAAAATCTTGAGGATTTTTTGCCCCACCTATTTATTAATATTATATAATGATTTTATATTTTCTTTTATAGCAAAATATTTACTTGTCAGAACATCAGTATTTCCACCATTATTTAAAGCATTTGTGTCTGCAATAATATTATTGCCACCCCCATCAGTTCCATTCCCATACGCATTTGGTTGATTAATGGCACCAGTATTAACAGGCATTGTGAGCTGTCAGAAGGATTTAAAAACTTCATTAAATTTAAAATTATAAAAAAACGCTCATGCCTGATGAATTTTTGAGTTTTTATCGAATTTTTCTGGGATAGAAGTAGCTCCAAAATTAGGCTTTTTCTTTGATTTAAAGTTCATCCTAGTGGAATTCCGCTTGGCCCCTTGTTTGCACGATACGTTACCGCAACATTTAATCACTAAAGCCCTCGCAGTTTTCAATTGATCATTCTTTGAACTTTGTGAAACTGAAAAGGGTTTCCTTATCAAAACACTATTAAACTCATTGCAAATTAAGTTTAAAAAAAAATATTTGTTTAATACGCTTTGTTTTCTGCGCTTTCAGATCTTCTGAAAGAGCTTCAATCATCACAATCTGGAATGATTTTGATCAATTTTGTGTTTAAAAATAATGTTGTTTAAATCTCACCGAAAATATAGCAAAGAACAAAAAAGTCTTTGCTGTGGACGTGTTCATTGTGTTACCCCGAGTGCGTGGCGTTTTCAGGATAATGTGCAAAATCTTTGGAAGGTGAAAATTTTTAGTTTGAAAAATCGTGACGTCCAGGTAAACAATAGGCTCTGCGCACGTCATTTAAAATATAAATTTTAAAGGAGTCTGGTTTTTATTAAATGTTTTGTACAGGACGTAATGAATTGCGCAGTAATTTCGTCACAAATAATAATAAAGAGAAACACTACATCATTAGGAAGCCCATTGCCACAGCTTTCCAACTTCGTATGACGCATTTCGATACGAAAATTATAAAAATTAACGTAAATTAATAAGAATTTTATTTTATCATATTAATTTAACTATTATATTCTATAATTTGGAAGCATTGCCAATCTTTTTTCAAGAGCGAGTGAAGTTATAATAATATATTATCAGTAAAAATTAAATGAAACCAAATATTGGACGCTATATAGAAAAAAATGCAGTGACAAAAATTTCTTGTACCAAAAATACAGGATAATTATTTGTGAAGTTTAAAATATTATTATGTGATATAGTGTGATCTTTTATTTCCAGAAAAATGCGTTGAGCCTGAAGACAATCTGAAAAGCAAGCAAACAAAATTGTTGTTTACTGGCCAATTCTGGTTTTTTATTTTCCTCGCGGGTATAGTAAATTAACTGGTACCGCACTCATACTGATTCTTAGTGTAAGTCTAAATCCAAAGAATAATTCTCCCGAAACAATAAACAAGAAAAAAATTCTCCAAGGGCATCAAAATTGCTCATCGGAACTGCTCGTCCAACACAATCCGCCGGTCTAAGCCTTAAGGAACTCTGCATTCTGCATCAGATTAATTCATTGACATTATTATTATTTTTTCAATAATGTTTTGACCGCGCGGCGGCCGGGTCTGATCTTTTGGTGATGTCGGGGTTCTGCTATATTTCATGATACCGTTTCTGCTAATTTTTTCCATTTAAACTGTTTTTTATTTACTTGAATGTCTTGAGTAAATAAGTATAATAATTTTTAGCCTTTCCACGAGTTTTACGCGCTCCAGATTCATGTTCTGGCAAATCAGAACGCTCTGCAGCACGGACTCAATCGGATTGGTGGTGTGAAGAAAAAGGGGGCGTGTCTTTGTGTTTGTTTTGTTGAGCTGAAAAATAAGCCACGATCGTCTCATCGCATTTTGTGTTTTTTATTGATTTTCAAGCGCGCGACTAGTGTAATTACCGTCGATCTCATTGCTCCACATTCGACATGACCGAGTCCAAAGATCTTTGACCGTCGCGCTTTTTGATCGCACTCGAATCGACGCTGATAAAGAGACACTCTCGGAATGTTGATGCTGAACACCACGATGGAGACTGCAACTTAGGACTTCTTTTTTCGGGCTCTAACATGCGAATTTTGGCAGTTTTTCTGCTCGTTACCCCCCTTAGAATTTCGGGTAATAATTCTTAATCAGTTTAAAAAAATTTAAATTTAACCAACCTTCTAATTTTAGCCGCAGATGAACCGAATCCGATCGAGGTTTTCACACACTCGCCGTCGAAGGGGGGAAAGTCCCTTCTGATCATTCCGATCATCCAGAAGATTGTTGGTGACCAACTGAATTTGAGCTGCCATGTCAACCGAGATGACACAAAATATAATGTCTTTTGGCATGTACCACACATGTCACAAAATCGGTAATTTGATTTTAAGCGGAATTTCTTACTCCTTACTCATCATTATTGTACTTAATTTATATATTTACCCTGCATTGTTAAGTTTTTGCTCAATTTTTAACTACAGGTTTATTATTTTATTTTCAATTACTTCAAAATAATTATTTTGCTTTTCACGTGAATTAATATATGTACATAAAATAATATGATAATAATCAAGTGCATATTTACATGGCTTCACATAATATTGCTTCGTCTACTAAAATTTCATCTAAATACTGCGCATTTTAATGCATTTATATTAATAGGGAGCACAGGGTTATCAGAACTCCTGGTCCAAACAGCCTTCAGCTGGTAGTGGAGAATCTTCGAGACACCGACAACGGAGATTATGTATGCGAAGCGTTGCCAATCTTTGCTGAAAATGAAAAAGAGAGACTCTCACTTTCAGTCAAAGTCAACATAAAAAGTATGTAGAAAAATTTCTGTTTTTAAATGAAAATAAATGCAATCTCATTTTTTTTGAATATAACAATTTTTTGCAGTCAGACCTTCATGTGGAACTGGCATGTACCAGTGCCCAAATGGGCAGTGCATCGGGCGAAGGTACCTGTGCGACGGACGGGAAGACTGTAAATCGGGGGCAGATGAGTCTTCCTTGAACTGCGGTTAGTTCAGAAATTCTTTGTTAACAAATGTAAAGCAAGTTTTATTGCAACAGGTGAAGCCCCGTGCATAAACAAGCTGCACTGCAGTGATGGGCGGTGTATTCCGTTTTCTTGGTGTTGTGACAAGTACACCGATGTGAATTGCACCATTAAAGAGAAGCTCCCCTGTTGCCACAATATGCCTCGTAAGTTTATTTTTATTTGTGCAATAAGATGTTTCAGAACTTACAATGACATGAAAATTTAAATCTACATAAATTTTTTAATAAATGCATACTGAAAATGACCATTATTTCTCTCATGAAAATATTTTTTATGAAAAACAAACGTTTGCAGTTTATCGAGATTTTGATGAAAGAGGCCATCACATGGATCACAAACGCTATCACGATGATGGGATTCTCCAAACGACTATCTATGTAGCAGTAGGTATGTGAGCAGAGCACCCTTAAAATCAAATTAAATTCTGTAGAAAGAAATTCAGGTATGAGAATACATAACTGAATTTATTGTTCCTTTAAAAGGCACTAAGAGTATATTATTCTAGGAAATTTCTGACTATTCCAGAATAAATTTTTTTTAATGATAAGATTTTTAAACACAAAAAATTGCTTGCTTTTCTTTTTCGTTAATTTAAAATTTTAATAAAAATCATACCAATAAAAATAACAGTAAATGTGCAATTTCTTGATTGCAGGTAGTGCGATGGCCCTTTTGTTCATCGTGACTGTCCTAGTTGTAGCCATTTGTCGCATTCACCTGAAAAGGCAGTCGTTGCTCAACAACAGGTGTCAGACTAGCCGCAGTTCCTCGACAAGCCGTTCCCACCACCACCACCACATCCAGCCGCTGTACGAAATGTGCAGGGAACTGCACAACCCTGCCAATGATTTCCAGCCGACGCCTGGCTTCCTGGTAACGTACAATATCAACAACGGCGTCCAGTTTGTTGGCCGTCCTGTTAGCCCGCCACCCTACACTGAGGTGGTGAGCACCCCTCCTAGAGAAGGCCCGCCTCCGCCGTACATATCTCAAGAGAACCTGGTCAGGGCTGCCCAGCAGGAGCAACAGCAGACCAGCCAGAGTGAGGAGGGCGACGTCACTGACGCTTCAACTCCGTTGACCACCTCCGAGGACTGAATTTACTCTCCCTTGAAAATCGCCATTACCTGAGTTTTTTGAACAAATAATTTAGTTTCCTAGGTGACTTTTAGATGCAGTACAATGATGTAGTCTTAGAATTTTTTTTTATCAAAGTTTGGCATCATATCTTGATGGAATATATCGAAGAACCAAGTCTTCCACCCACGTATTTTAAATAACCTGTTGAAATCTCAAATCTTGTTTTCTCGTTTTGACGGAAAGCTATGAAATTTAATATTGTGATGTAGGTTATAAGATGCATAATGAGTCGATCATGATTTTTTCTGACTTAATTAACAACTATGATAGACAGTTGAATTAAAATTAATGAGCATGCTGCTTGCATTGATTTTAACAGATTATAGATGTAAAGACTTGATTGAAACTATATTATCATTTAATTCAAAATGCAGAGATATACTGTGTAAAGTTTTCAAATCTATCAGATCATACTTATTTGCCACTTAACATAATTTAATTATCCTGGAAAACATATCCAATGTTGGCAATTAATATTATTATTGAATTTATATAATCCAATTAGATTTTTTTAAATTTCAATTCAAGGGAATCTACTTGCCTTCTCTCTTTAGCTCTTTATTATATTGAAAATGTGTTTTATTATTTTTGTTCAGTGCCATCTATGTGAAGTTTTGGATAAAGAATAAAATATTTTAAACCATCTTTAAAAATGACCTTTAGTACACGTAGTGTCCTTATTATTTTTTAATTTCTCAAAATACAATCAAAACTTAATTTCGCTATTTTATTACTACGAAAAAGTGCTTCCGCATCGGCGCATCCGCAATGCAATAAAAAATAAGCACAAATTCGGAGAGGGCGTTATAATAAAAGGCAAAAAGGAATTCCATCTTGCAGTTTGCCATCTTGTTAAAAGGGTAAGGGGGCGACGGGGGCGTCGTCGTCGCCGCTTAAGGGGCGAGGCAGCAGCCTGAGCAGCCGCACCCGCAGTCAGCACTTGTTTACAAGTAGACTGATGTGAGTAGACACGCTAGTACATAGACAGTTATTGTGTGGATTGCAGAGTAAAAAAGTCAAAGAGTGCCTTAAATAACATTCAGTCCATTGTCTTATTCTGCCTCCAAATCCAAATGCAATCGTGCCAAAAGCAATCTACATATTGAACTATGAAATCGCCTACTCTACTCTCAGGGAGAGGGAGAACTTTGGTTTTTGATGCATCTTTTAAATGTTGGCATTCAATCTATTCAGTGTGTTATTTGGTCAAAATAATATTTATATAAGTATAAAGTCAAATTCAACCAGGCATTTAACACACACAAAACTGCGTCGGAGGCTAGCGCGGTGTCGCATTGCTATTTTTAATTATGTTTGCCCGTTTCTGCCAGCTCCAGTTTTTTAGATGCATTTTGGACAGACCCTAGAATATTTTGTCTATTTTGTCATAATTATGTATCTGACTCGCTAATAGCCAGTTGATAAATAAAAGGCGATAATTTCTGGGGGTCTTAATTAAATTTGGGTGTTGTATGTGGCGGTGGGCGTATCAATGTAATTTAACAATTATTAATTTTGTTTTCTATTGCAGTTATGTAAAAAGGAAAAAATATTTAATTGACAGCATCAAGAAAAGACTTTCAAGACTGCTTTGTACACCGTTTATAAATTGGTCAAATGAAGGAAATATGTATGTAAATAAAATTTTGTCGTAATGTACTCAATTTTATAACTATTTTCACTAGGGAGTAGAAACAAGGAAGTCATGGTAATGCATTGGTTGATAAGTCGGACGTGTCACGTCTTCATAATACTTGCCTGCTTAAGTACGGGTGAGTCAGACAGCAGTAAATAAATTAAAAGTTTAGGAACATCCTGACGATATATTGTCAGGTCAATAATTAAGACATCATCCATGTGCATTTTGCAATTGGTGTCTGGAGACACATTAGTTTACTGTATCTTTTTAAATGGATAATATGTGGCGCAAGGTTTTATAAAGAACTTTTAAATTAAATAATATCTTGAAAAAGACAACCTATGATGCTGTCCAAAAAACTACTCATACAATCTTAAAATATATTATCTTGATGTATGTTTCAGCCTCCGTCTTGGCGCAGTCACCACCAAAAGTTGAAGTTGACGTGAAGGAAAAGGTGGTCAAGGTTGGAGATCCCTTCGAGTTTGTCTGCAGGGTCGCCAGGCCAATTGAATATTGCGGAATCAAGTTCGGCACCACCAGCATCAAGATCAAGGAAAACACCAAGAGGGACGATCTCGAGTACTCTGGTCGTGGCTTCCAAAATGGAGAATGCGGAATCAAGATTTACAGTGTCAAGGAAAACATGCACGGAAACTTCACATGCACAGTCGGTTACCCTGACCTTAGTCTAGAAAGTGTCGGATTAACTCAATTAACGGTGGCCATCCCACCCACCAGCATCAAACTGACCACCAACAAAGAGGAGTACAAGGAGGGAGAGCAAATGGTAATGACCTGTTCAACTTCTGGTGCCAGGCCAGCACCAACAGTCACCCTCTTCCTTGGTAATTTTTTTTCAACAATACAACTGTGTTAAATTTTAATTATTTTATTTTAGACAATAACATCTTGAACACTAGCCGAAAGACTTCTGAGTCTGTCATCTTCAACCGCACTGCCAGCTACAAGGACAACAACAAGAGACTGGTTTGCAAAGCCACTCACCAGGCCCTCTCTGAGGATGATGTCAGGAGCAACGAGAAAATTCTGATTGTCTACTTCAAACCACAGCCTGGAGAGTTCATAAAAACATCACTCAAGGAAGGTGAGGAGGGAACTATCTCCGTGGACGTCTTTGCCAACCCAAAACCCAGATTTGACTGGAGGATCAATGGCGTCTCTCCAGACAATGCTGCTTTCAAAACTGTGACTGACCAGGAAATGAACAGTGTACGTTTTGCTCTAAATATTTTTTAAAGTTAATAATTTAATGAATATTATTTTAGGATGGTTCATACAGAGCTAAGCTTCTGATCAACAAAGTGACGCAAGATGACCTAACGAAGGAATTTGTTCTGACAGCTACCAACATACACGGCTCCGAGACTTACAGGGTCGAGATCACCTTTGCGTCTTTGGAATCTGAAGGTAAAATTTTACTTAATTATTTTGGCCAAAGTATTATTTAAATCTTTTATTTAGATGGAATAGGTGCTGGGGGAATAGTTGGCATCATTATGGCTATTCTAATTACCCTGGGAGGTGTTGGGCTTGCCTTATTTGCTCGCAGCACAGGTCGCTGGTGTTTTGCCCGTGAGTAAAATCAGTCGTGGTGTCCATAAATCCATCGTCTGCTACCTTGACATTGGAGTGTATATCAGGTCTGTAATTTTAGAGAGTCTTTGGAATGTCCGTTTCTAGGGACAACATCCTTTGCTTGAGAGACAAATTTATAGTTTTGAGATTTTTTTCCATTATTAAATAACCAAAAACAACATTTTATAACGATTTGAAATGAATTAAGAGCTGAAAATATTAATTCAAATATGCCTTTAATGGATCTATTTTACACAAAAGGTAAAGGGGCAAATAAACACCAGCAAATCCAAATCCGATAAGCTTACTTAAAGTTAGATTGTGAATTGTAAATATCTCCTAAATTTAATCTATTTTATGTATCCATCGTAGCAATATTTGTGGGAGTCTGGGGAATTTTTTTGGAATCAAGGAGCAAATTTTTTGTACCTTGGTCAGGCGTGAAAAAATTCCTGGAAAATAGAGTTCTTAGAATAAAAAATTTGTCCTGGTAAATGCTACACTTGATGTGCTTGACTTACACATGATTTCCGCTTTGAGAATATTTTAAACAGCATTCATTATAAATCAATTTGTGCGAAATTCAATTCAATGTACAAAATTGGACTAATTGCTATTAATCATGTATGTACCTGGCACCTGCTTATTATTATAATGATTATCTACCTCTGCAGAGAGTTACAAAACAAGAGTTGTCTCATTTTGTTTATGAAAATGTCAATAAAAAATACTCAGCAAGATCTGATCTAAATCAACCAAAATAAGCAATATAATTATTATTATGCTTGAATTATTATTTCACAAAAATTCACTTGGAGTTTTTTTATTATTCATTTAATCTTTTTATATAATTTAATAATATCATATTTTTTCTTTGCTTGTGAATTTCGTGCATTTTGTCCACCGAAATCGATTCCCGCCGAAACATTGTCTGATGTAATACAAAATTTTGCCACTCGTCCTCGCTCAAATTTTTTGACTCTCAGTTGATGCCGCGAGATGTCGGGAAGGTCGAAGCTTCGCGATGCGCGCGCAGCCGTAACTAGTAGCTGGTGGTTTTGACCGGGAGTCGGGGAGGAGAGTTGTAGCGTTTTCAAGGACCTGGTCGCATCTCAGCTTGTGTTCGGCATCAGCGTTGGACGCCATCCTTTATGTGTATATGCACCTGACTATTGTGTGAAGGAAGCCGACGGCACACACGTGGTGGATTAGCCATCCTCAGCAGCTCCTAATTATATACTTTCTAGTGACTGGAAAAGTTGAGCTCGTCCGATTCGTCCACTCGTCCGAGGAAGAAAAACAATTCGAATCATGTTGTGCTCAAGAGGTCGGACGGGCAGCGTCTTCGCGCTCCTCGCATTATTCACAGGTGAGTCTCTCAACCGGCACCTGATGCCCACCTTTACGAAAGCAATCACCACGCAAATTCAACCCCAAATGTCGCGCCCTCCACCCCTCGCCTGGGGCACAGCACAGATCCTCCCTGTTGATAACGCGCGCGAAATCGATCGCGGCGAATTTGGCCCGCCTCGCCGCCCTCAGGGCACGGGGAAAGTTCTCCCGATTCGCGCGATTCGGCCGCTGGCTGCCCACGAGGAGGCTCCGCGGCATTTTTATTTTCCCTTGATTGCCGGCAGACGCCAGGTGGCTGCTAAGCTTCCCCTTGCTAAATGAAATAGAAAAAACGCACAGGTACCGTACATACTCGAAATAATAATCTACCTGGCGGCTTCACCTGTCCCGCCGAGATAAAAGAACCAGCACCCGCTATTATATTTATCGCTGCGTTAATATAATTCGACTAGAGCTTCCTGCTTCATATTCCGTGTATGCAATTGCGCGAAAGGGTGAACGAAAGGGAAATTAAAGTAATAATCGCAATTATGAGCACGACACAAATTTCTAGAAATGATGAAAAAATTGTTTGAAGTTTTTATGATTTGGGATTTAACTCTGATTTTAAATTTAATATTACATTAAATTAAATCAAAGTTTTAAACTCATTTTCACTGGAAATTTAGAGGATTAAAACGGCAGTAAAATTTTATCTCAAATTTAGTCGTGAAATAATAAATCTATTAATTTTGTGAATTTTTAAACTTCTGTTGAAAAATGTTATCCTTTTAGCATCTTCTTCAGTTTCTTTCAGCTTCTTTTCAGTAGGACTTCATAATGATTTAACTGCTCTTATAAAGCTTTAATTTTTATCAATTTTATGATAGTTTTTCTTGAAATCAGGAAAAAAAATTTGAAAAATTTTTCAACGTAATTATGATCAACTTGTAAAAAAAACTCTCTTAAAAAAAAAATTCACATTGGACAAGACAAATCTAATTTTCCCCAAAAAACAGCTTTCACCAAATTTTGACCTTCAGTTTATCAAAGCGAACCCTTATTAAGAAGAAGTTTCTTGTTCCTCCTGTCGTTGATTTTTTTTTTTACCGATTTCCTAAAAGGAATGCCTTTTGTGTAGGTACCTGTGTATTTATGTAGGAACCAAATTTCCTCGCCAAGGTCAAGCCCGTAACAATACGCACAGCGCGGACAATGGCTGCCCAAGTTAGCCGAGTTTGAAGGAGTAACGGCCTGGATCTGCTACTATTATATTTGTAGCTCACACGTTAGTTTTGAACTCGCGGCGATAATAATACCTGATACCGTGTGCACTTGCGTGAAGTTCCCTGCGTACGTTGGTATAATTATCTGCGTTGTTTTTTTCATGTCCGATTTCAGTTCCGACTGCTTTGCGTAAATGAAAATACTCCAGAGGAAAAAATGCAATTAAAACCGGACAGAGTGATTTTCCGGCCGGACACGAGAGTTGTGTATTTTCGGGTTTTGTTTTTGTTGCGAGGCAGCGCAGCGCCGGGATGGAAAGGAAAGAAATATAAAAAGCCTCCTCGCTCACTATCTGCCTGCCTGGCTCGCCGGCCCGCCTCAGGTTAATTTCACGTCGTTGCAAGTTGAATAACCCTTTAACCTTCAGCGGTGTAAATGTATAATATTGTTGGCACGGCAAGACGAAAATTCAGATCTCCTCGCGCTTCCAAACTAGAGAATTGTGAAATTATTTTCTCGATTAAGTCAGATTAAAAAAATTTCAATTTGGTCGACGAAAATTAAAATTAAATGAAAGAAATCGAATTTGGTGACGTATGTTGGACACCGAAACCGGAGAATGACCAGAAAAAAAAACAACAGCTAATGCAAGTGACGCACGCTTTGTTCGTAATCCCTCTTTTGATCTGCAGTTGTTAGACAAAAGCAGAGTTGTTTTATATTTAATCCTATTAAATTTGGTGTAGGTGTCGACCGCGATGAGAGGCCTTGCAAGGTTAATAAAGGTTGAAATCAAATTTCTGGGTTGGAATTAAAAAACTTTTAAAGTCTTGAAACCTTTTGGCGTTAATGAACTTAAATAAGATTATATAGGTTTCATTTTGTGAAGACAATATACCTTTGTTCGCGATTAAAATTAAAAGTAAAAAATAAAACCTTTTAGAAGTGTTGTAAAAATTAAAATTAGCATTGGAATTAGTTTTTAAATTTGATACAATGGAGTGAATTAAATAGATTACTTACATAAAAATCATTCAACTTCGCCATTCACTGATGTAAACTTTGAATAATTCCAAATATTTTTGGTGAAAAACAAATGATATAAATTTTTAAATACTCGGAATTAAATTTAGAATGAATTATATTGAAAAAAAAAATTAAATGGTAAAATAATATCCAAGAAATTTAATTTAATCTTGTGAAAGGTTAACAAAAATCCAACGAAGAAGTTAAAAATATACCCTTTGGTGTTTTCCGAGCGAGACCGAGCGACTTCAGACTCGGTCTTTAACTCTAGAAGGGAATCGCCTACCACACCCACACGCATACTTGTGCATTTCGCCAAATCACTTGAGCATATTTGATATTTATGCATTTCGTTGAGACCTGCGAGTGACGACCAGGCCGCTTTAAAAAGGTGATTGTTTTGTTTGGCGTGGCCTGTGCGTCATTATCTTGGATGAGTGACTGCGTGTCTGTGCATCACGAAATCCACATCCATATCAAGAGAGAGACACAAAAAAACTCAGCGTCCATGCTTTTACCTGGGCAAGATAATTAAAAATCGGCTTTTGTGTGTACGTGTCTCTGAAATCTGTACAAATTAATGAAAATCAGAGAGAATGTGGATCAAAATGAATTGGTTTTGCGACCGCCCATTGCGATTCGGAATTGTGCCGTGAAAATTGATGCTGCACATTTTTGCAGCTGAAATGAAGTGGCGATAAATAAGATTTTGCCAGAGTAATTAATGGTGGTTGCGAGTCAATAAAATATTTCACCAAGTGTTGCGTACCAGCTGCGGTCGTAAAACGAAAAAATGCCACAAGAAGATGTATTGCGGCAAATATTGCAGCGCGAGTGAAACGCTTCGAAAGTGCGTCGGTTGGATTATGCATTTTCTCACTCCTTTCTCCGAAGAGACACTTCTTCAAATTAATAATGCAAACGAAACTTTTTTCTTATCTCGAAATTTATCTTGGGAAAGCAAGCGATTTCAGATCAGAGGTGAAAATTCGCGGACCTTTTGTGGCGGCACAAGCGTTACAATTAAATTTTCATAATTTGCACACGTGAGACAAGGTTGGTCGCGGAATTCCGATGAAAGTGGTTTGCCGGAAAGACGTTATTTGTCAAGCAGTTGTAAACATGATAAACGCCAAGGTGGATTCCAGGAAACGAATTTTATTGTTATCAATTTCGATCTTTATTCATTTGACCAGGAACTTTTGTTTGTTCAAGACTGCCAACGATGCGTGCTAAAAATTATCTTTGACTTTAATCAGAAGCGATAAAATTAATTCATTGACCTTGGCAAATATACAGAACGATACCGATACCGACTGATAAAATAAGCACATTTATGATACGAATCAATGATTTTTTCCATTCGTTTTGTCGTTTATTTGATCGATTTGAATATAACTTCTTTTAAAATTGAATTAAAAAAAATACAAAACAAAACATTCCGAATGTGTTTGGAAGAGAGCCGACCTGCGTTTCATCGGCCCGTGACGACCGCGTCCCCACAATTTCAATAGGTTTCGTCTCCTTCTGAAGAACGCTCAACCCACTTTAATTGCCGCTCTATTAGAAAAGGAGTGTCTTGCTTGAAACTCAATTCGAGTGTCATAACAATAAAAACCACTTTGCATAATCGCGCCAGACCGCGCTCGCAGATCAGATGTTCCGGTGTCGATTTCGCGCCATTCCGCAACAAGAAGGGAGACGAAAATATAATTATGCACACATGTTGGTACGTAATATTTATTTTGGTCGCTGATTACGTATGTACTCGGCAGAGTCAGGAGCAGGTTGCTCGGCAGATCCGCACAAAAACGTTGGCTTACCCTTGACGGTGAATCGGCACATTTTCCACCCGGGAGCCAGAGAGAAACCTGAACTGGCGAGAAAATTTCTCATTAATGATGATGAAATAGAATTTGATACGTTAAGAAGGCTTCTCACTAATGCTCTTTGAGAAAAAGAGTGAAAAGCAGCTTATGTTAAAAAAATTATGATAAAAACGAAATTAATTACGCAGAAGCAATGTTCAGAAATATTATTTTGAAGTTGAAATTCCGACTTGAAGTTATTTATAAAATTTTTTTTTTTTTTAAATCGTTCTTTATCAACTTCAAATAGAGGGAAAAATAACAAAGAGTTCGAAAAAATTAAAAAACGAATGATTATTTTCATGGCGTGTGAAAATAATTCTCACTTGGTTCCAGTGTAAAATTTAATAGGTTTTTTTTCCAATTTTTCAACATGAACAAAGTGACTGTGAGAATTGTACATAAATCATAAAAATGGTGCAAGGCCACACCCGAATTGAAGGGTGCTACATTTTTTAACGCTTGGCCTGCTGCACTAGCGTGCTGGCGGGGGCTGCGTTTGCAGTTAGCCAGAGAGGAAGTGAAGCGGCCGCGCATAAAATAAATAGGAAGTACAGTTTCGAGCAAACCAGGCATGGCCGGCGTTTTCTTTCTTCGCCGATTGGCGATGGTGGTTTTCGCCATGCCCCAGTACATGCCTATACCTGGAGAAAGGGACACGCTGCACTCGTCGCGCCTATTGTTCGCTGCGGGCAGATGTATGTGCGGCTAGATAGATCGATGGATGCACTGACCCACATTGATACTTGCTACACTTCAGTATTGCCAGAATCGCTCTCTGATTAAAGAGGAAACTGCAGGTCGAGTTTCTTTCTGACCGCAAGAAGCGCACTGATGAGCATATTGGCGGTTTTCCTCTGAATATATTTATATGCAAGCAACTTTGCAGCCGAAAGGGCGGCTATTGTTTCAAGTA